TTTATTGATCCCAATTTGGGAAATGTTTGCGTTGCAGCAGCATAAAAAACAAGGCAATGTACATCAAAGAAATGAAGACACAAGACATAAACGGTGCACAGTGCTCTATATGTGCTATGGAAAATATTTCTCATCATTCATGTTCATCACATTTGGCCAAATAGAGCAAATGCAATGCAACAACAGAACTAGCCAAACATTTACCGCCATCCCCCTTTCAGTGCCACGTTATGAACATGTTATATATGTTACATGTTAAACAGCATGTTAGCATAGTCATTGTTAGCATGTTAGCTTGCTGATGTTAAAATGTAGCTTTAAGCACTCAAACAGCAGGCTAAATATTACATAGCTACAATTGTCACAACACGATGTTCTCCTTTTACAGGAACATTTTAGTTTAGCTAGTAACATTTACAAAGAAAAGACATGTTTGAGTAAAGGTGTTTTTTTTTCAGTTTTGCCAAGCAACAAAACTGTTGTGGTTAAAACATTGAATTCACCTGAGCTGTACCCATGTGGTAACATATGCAGGTGTGCACATAACTTTTTGAGTGAGTTACTCAGATGAGTACCAGGAGACAGTGTTTGGTACTCACCCCACATGAAGCGTGGTGTTAATAAGTGCAGTCTTCCTCACTGTCCTCCTCAGTGTCTCCTTCACTGTCCTCTATTTACACTTCTTGCATGCTAGATGATGAAGATGATGAAGATGCACCTCCCTGTCTCTTTGTAAGCCTCCAATTTGCTTTCTCCAAAACTTGTTGCCAAAACTGTGAAGTCCTTGCATTTCCTGAGGCCAAGTTGAAGGATCAAATACTAAGAAATTATCACATGACTTGAAGTCATATCTGATTTCAGAGGTGGGAAGTAACAAAGTACACTTATTCAAGTACTGTACTTAGGTACAATTTAAGATACTTGTAGTTTACTTGAGTATTTCTATTTTATGCTACTTTGTACTTCTACTCCACTACAGTTCAGAGGTAAATCATGTACTTTTCTTCCACTACATTTATTTAATACCTTTAGTTACTTTACAGATGTGGATGAATGATGTGAAAATATAATCAAGTGTTAAATCAGACTTTAGTTCCACCTGGAGTAAATCCACAAGCTACCTTGCAGTATACAAAGTCATTCAAACTAATTTTTAAACACTTTAATGATCAATAATTATAAAACATATCATATACATTATTATGAAATGGACCAATCTGCAAAATGACTACTTTTACTGTCGCTACTTTAACTAGATTTTGATGATAATACTTTTCTAATTTTACTTGAGTAACACTTCTTCCACCTCTGTCTGATTTCAAACTCTTCCATTAACAGCCTGAGTAAGTTTGCAGCTGTGTGTTTTACTCCACTTTGTTGTAAATAAAACTGCAGCAGCTTGACCACAGAGCGTGAACGTTGTGATCAGCTGATTTTGCGCAGTTCTGCAGTGTGTGCGCGGGGCACAGAATGTGCACAGGGGAGTCTCCCACCGCAGCCAGTTGACGTAGTTTTGGTACAATTCTGTTGTACACACCGACGTTAACAGCAGTCCGTCTGTGCACACGGCGACCAACTCTGTCGTCCAGTCCTCTGCCTCCTGTGAAGCTTCACAGGTCCGTCGGTTATGTCCTGCGCGGCACGGCCAGCACCCAGTTCAATCAGTCATAGAAAGTCTGAAGATTTTAGCAGGGAGCGAAACGGCAAAGTGGCTGCTTAATGTCTTTGTTTTTTTTGGACATGTCTAATAATTTACTCCACTGAGTATTGACAAGAAATATGTGTAGGCGAAATATGTGTTTTGTTTTGATGACCTATCAGGTACGCAAAGGCGCGTTGTGACACAAGTGACGTTACGCATTTCAGATTGTTGCCGCGCATGCGTACCTGCGTACCAGTTATGTGCACCCCTGAACATATGACACTTTTAAAGTCACTTTATAGGCAACATTGAAATGCAGAGGTGGGAAGTAAATATGAAATGAAGCTCCTTTTCACTTATATTAATGTGATATTATATTATGATGTAAGGTTCAGTTAGCGTTGCACAAAAACAGCCAGTTTAAAAGTTACTTTTAACTTTTAGTACATTTCAGAGACTGTACTTTTGTACTTTTACTTAAGTAAAAAGTTGAATCAGTACTTCTACTTTTACCAAAGTCTTTTTTTTACACAAGTATCTGTACTTCTACTTAAGTAAAGAGAGTTTGTACTTTTGTCACCTCTGTTTAAATGGAAATATCCATATTTCAAGGGAATATTTTAGTTTACGTGTCTCAGAAGATGACTGGTAGTTAATTAGTTCCCATTAATGTCAGTGGCAGTGTAAAACGTGATGGAAGTTCTTTAAGAAACTCACCCAAAAGCAGCAGCTTCACCTCATTGTGAGCCTTGTTTTTGTCCTGTCGAAGTTGCCTCTCTATTTCTTTGTGCACCCTGAGGTTCTCCGTCTCCTCCTCAGACAGGCAGCACTCCATTGTTGTAAAAGTCCTCAAACTGCACCACAGCTGACAAGGAGCAGAGAGGAAGAGGATTGGAAAATGATTTTAGTTTCGGGGGAAAGGCTTCTGTCCCGGAGCAGGTGGATTGGCGACTTTCCGCAGGCATTCTTCCTCGTGCCAGATCCAGTTCAGGTGCATTCCACATTCCTGAGGATGGGCGGACAGGAACCGAGCTGAAAGTTATGTAAATGTGGACAGAACCATATGGAAAGCCAGCAGTGCCATAATGTGCAAGTTTTTCTCTATAATGTATACAAATAAATTGAAAAAGTGGAGTTTTATGGCACTGTTGGCTTTCCATACCACAGGTCAATACTGCCATGAGCATATCAAATCATTTTAAAGAGTCCCTGTCACTAACCTGTTCTTCTACTGTGACTCATAAACACTATCATTAAACTGAAGTTAGTTTCCTCCCAAGTACATTTCACCTGCCAACACTTGGCACAGGAGTATGAAAAAACATCCTGCCTGTTTTATAGTCATTAACTCTTTCATGGAAACAATCAGACATAGAAAATGGACGACAAGAGTCTGTGTACATTTATAAATGTGCCAGGCTTGAAACTTAAAAAACCTAAAATCCTGTGTAAAAACATGGAAGTTTGAAAGTCTCTACTTTAAAGAGTCCTCTCCTGCTGATGTTCAGGTGTATATCAGTATGTAGTGTCTCTACTTTAAAGAGTCCTCTCCTGCTGATGTTCAGGTGTATATCAGTATGTAGTGTCTCTACTTTAAAGAGTCCTCTCCTGCTGATGTTCAGGTGTATATCAGTATGTAGTGTCTCTACTTTAAGAGTCCTCTCCTGCTGATGTTCAGGTGTATATCAGTATGTAGTGTCTCTACTTTAAAGAGTCCTCTCCTGCTGATGTTCAGGTGTATATCAGTATGTAGTGTCTCTACTTTAAAGAGTCCTCTCCTGCTGATGTTCAGGTGTATATCAGTATGTAGTGTCTCTACTTTAAAGAGTCCTCTCCTGCTGATGTTCAGGTGTATATCAGTATGTAGTGTCTCTACTTTAAAGAGTCCTCTCCTGCTGATGTTCAGGTGTATATCAGTATGTAGTGTCTCTACTTTAAAGAGTCCTCTCCTGCTGATATTCAGGTGTATATCAGTATTTAGTGTCTCTACTTTAAAGAGTCCTCTCCTGCTGATGTTCAGGTGTATATCAGTATGTAGTGTCTCTACTTTAAAGAGTTCTCTCCTGCTGATGTTCAGGTGTATATCAGTATGTAGTGTCTCTACTTTAAAGAGTCCTCTCCTGCTGATGTTCAGGTGTATATCAGTATGTAGTGTCTCTACTGTGACATGTCTCCATGCTCTAATGTTCAAAAAGCTCTTTATTTTTCGCATACTGCCTGTGCTGCAGCACCTCTTTTCACCCGTCCCGCCCCTTAGCCTATCACGTACAATGTGTTGGAGCACTAGCCAATAAAAGCACAGAATGTTAAATAATGTCACTATGTTCCGTAAGTAAACAAAGGAGTCCAATGGAGGCCTTTGCAGACCATTTACATTCACAAAAACCTATATAACACACTTCAGGAGAGGTAATACCCAAACACAAATCATAATTGGGTATCTTTTGTAAGTAAACATGTAGAGGCATGTTTTTATACTACCTTACACTACAGTAGTCACTCTAGGAGCACATTTAGCAATGACTGACACACACACAACTTGTCGTGTGCTGCTGCCACATTACATTCGGTGTCTGTCCTCAACAGTGGCGAGCCGTGACTTTTAGACCTTCTACCACACAAAACAACACCTGTGAACCCAATTTGTGTTCTTTGACATTGAAAATGATATTGCATTGTGTTTGTTACTTTCGTTGCAGTTGTATGTCTCAAGTGTAATTTGGCATGCTTTTATTTTGAAGGCGAGTTCACGCTGTTGACAGGAAGTTGTTGTTGCTATGGAAACAAGAAAAGCTTCACAGCGGGCGGAACTTGTCATAAAGTCCGCGATTATAAAACCCACCCATTTAGAGGGAAGATATGATTGGTCAATTGTACTGTCATTTGACATTAGTTCAGTTACTATAGCGGGCCCTCTGTGAATTCATAGCAGGACCACCAATCAGCTCCTCTCTTCACAGTAACTCGCAGAGACGGCTCAAGGAGCTTCTGTCATTTAACCCTTCACATTCAATTTATTTCTTTGGAAATGTTATTTTAAATACAATTAAATCAAGTTATTTTGGTCAAACTAATGCAAAATATAACTAAAAAAAAATATATATTTTGTAATGTTTTTAAATATTATTTTGTAGAATATCTTAATAACGGCTCGCCACTGGTCCTCAAAAAATAAAGTTGTTTTTACTGCTGAAGCTATGGACCTCAACAGAAGCCAGATGGATTTCCCACAGAGGAGATTTGGGGACCAGCAGAGCTCCAGATGAGCCAGCGGAGAGCCGCCAAAAGACAAACACTCCAAAGCTAAACCCACAGTGTGCTGGAGCTGGGCTGTAAACACAGACGGAGAATGAAAAACTGAGCAGCAAATGTGTGTTTATTTATCCAATCGCATCAAATACATGCACTAAGAATGCGATAAGCGACAGAAAAACCTGAAATGATACCAAATTAAGCAGTTATTATTTCTAACTGAAGAGTTATGTAAACTTTAGTGCAGTGGAAACTCTCTTATTCGCTTTTTGTTCATGCATTTGGTACCTTTGAAAACCAAAAGATTAATGCATCAGATAGTATTGAACATAACAGTTCTCTCTTTCAGCATTTTAACACTGACCTTGATGCGAGTAAAGGTGAAAATGTGCACCATTAATGTACCGTGTGATATTTACAAAATGCATACAGATAAATACTAGGGCAAGTTCATTTAAGTGATGATTCTGTGGCAAGAAAAACAATTGATTAGTACCTGAAACACTGGATTCTCAAGCTTGAACAAAATAAAAACTTGTGTGTTAAATCACATTTAAATATGTTAATACTAAGCTGCTCTAAAAAGTGGTTTAAGATTGATTAATGCCATCATTGGAAACGAAGAGACCCAACAAAGTGAAGTACACATAAACATAATATCAGAACAAATAGCAATGCAATAACGTGTGTCATTGGTATGGTGGCCTACAGGTTAAAACCTGCTGCAGCTTCAGAAACAAAAACACAAATGTGCCAAAACACATGAAGAAACATCTTCAGCAACTTGTGGAAACATGGGCAGCGTTTACTAAAAGATGCACAAACCAAACGCTGCAAATACAAAACGCTGCAAGAAGCTCAAAACACAGCTGGGAGACCAGGGGACACTAAAGAGTGACGCACACAGCTGGGAGACCAGGGGACACTAAAGAGTGACGCACACAGCTGAGAGACCAGGGGACACTAAAGAGTGACGCACACAGCTGGGAGACCAGGGGACACTAAAGAGTGACGCACACAGCTGGGAGACCAGGGGACACTAAAAAGTGACGCACACAGCTGGGACAGCTTGGTGACATTCAGGATTATAAAGCTGAACCACTGTCTGAAATGACCAGGTTAGCTACGTAACATCAGAAGGAGTCATGTGATCACAGTGTTAAAATAAGACCATAAAAGATTTTAGGTACGTTTCCAACAACAGAGACAGTTGTTCAGCGTTATAATCCGGACATTTTTAGTGTCCCCTGGTCTCCGTTGTGTTTTGAGCTTCTTGCGGCGTTTCGTATTTGCACATTTTAGTAAACGCTGCGCATGTGTATTTTTTACTTGCATTGTTTCTAAAGCCTTAGCGTGTTACTTCTAATGTAAATATGTTGTGCCGTTGTAGCGTGTTCGCACCTCTCGGCCACCGTACATTAGTGTTAATTATTACCCATTAGGTCTCGACACATCTAAACGTTTAGAGTATTTAAAACAGTTTTTAAGTTAAAAAGAAATACACTGGGGTTAGTGGTGAGAGGTGCTGCATTGCAGAGTCTCTTCCACGTGTTCCCTGAAGCAGAGACCCGGTACATCTCAAGTCCTCGGAGGCTTTTTGAGGCCATGGAAATACTTTTTTCTCCTCTCAATCCCTGTGCTTTCATACTGTTGCTTCTCAAAGAGCTCCATATATTTCAGAGTGCACACTATAATAGACTGCTCACTAAGGCAGCACTTTAATTGTCAGGACACACTTCATTATAGCTGCAGACATCCATTCTGAAAGAGCCTAACAGGAGACATTTGAAATACATCAGTAGTACAGTCATTTGGCGACGTGCTCGGCGGCTTCTCAGTTTTCCTGTTGTGGATTATAGTGTTCGGCAGCAGCAGGAGTTTGCAGAGCTCGCAGCAGGCTGTACGAAAGCAGATTGAATTATAGCGTTTACACCAGGTTGTAGACTTCCAGGTTGATTTGCAAGATGTAGTCCTTCACCGCTCTGAAGACAAATCGAATGTTGTTTGTGTCTGTGGCGCAGGTGCAGTGGGAGTAGATGACTTTCTTCTCGTTCGGATTGAGACTGACAAACATATTTAAGATGAATTCTTTCCCCGCTTTCACATCCCGCTGAGGACCTGGTGGGAAGAGACAGAAAAGAGTAGATAAAAGTCTATCAATAAAGCGCAAGAATATAACAGCAGCTAGAGGTTTTGAAAGAGGGAATAACACAACATTTAAGAAGAAAAGGTACATCCAAAAGCAATAAGACACACCTTTGATTATTTTCTAAAGATTGGTGCAGTAATGACGTATGTTTGTTAGGCCGGAGCTCCCTCCGCAAAAAGCCGTTTTGTTCAGCAGGATAATCTCCACATGTTAACACCACTTTATGATTTCTGAAATAAAAATCTAATGTTGGGCTATAAAGGAACTACAGCACGGTCACATGACTTCACGTCACCACCGCTAAGCTAAAGGTGGCTAATGTTGGGCTATAAAGGAACTACAGCACGGTCACATGACTTCACGTCACCACCGCTAAGCTAAAGGTGGCTAATGTTGGGCTATAAAGGAACTACAGCACGGTCACATGACTTCACGTCACCACCGCTAAGCTAAAGGTGGCTAATGTTGGGCTATAAAGGAACTACAGCACGGTCACATGACTTCACCACCGCTAAGCTAAAGGTGGCTAATGTTGGGCTATAAAGGAACTACGGCACGGTCACATGACTTCACGTCACCACCGCTAAGCTAAAGGTGGCTAATGTTGGGCTATAAAGGAACTATAGCACGGTCACATGACTTCACGTCACCACCGCTAAGCTAAAGGTGGCTAATGTTGGGCTATAAAGGAACTACAGCACGATCACATGACTTCACGTCACCACCGCTAAGCTAAAGGTGGCTAATGTTGGGCTATAAAGGAACTACAGCACGGTCACATGACTTCACGTCACCACCGCTAAGCTAAAGGCGGCTAATGTTGGGCTATAAAGGAACTACAGCACGGTCACATGACTTCACGTCACCACCGCTAAGCTAAAGGTGGCTAATGTTGGGCTATAAAGGAACTACAGCACGGTCACATGACTTCACGTCACCACCGCTAAGCTAAAGGCGGCTAATGTTGGGCTATAAAGGAACTACAGCACGGTCACATGACTTCACGTCACCACCGCTAAGCTAAAGGTGGCTAATGTTGGGCTATAAAGGAACTACAGCACGGTCACATGACTTCACGTCACCACCGCTAAGCTAAAGGCGGCTAATGTTGGGCTATAAAGGAACTACAGCACGGTCACATGACTTCACGTCACCACCGCTAAGCTAAAGGTGGCTAATGTTGGGCTATAAAGGAACTACGGCACGGTCACATGACTTCACGTCACCACCGCTAAGCTAAAGGTGGCTAATGTTGGGCTATAAAGGAACTACAGCACGGTCACATGACTTCACGTCACCACCGCTAAGCTAAAGGTGGCTAATGTTGGGCTATAAAGGAACTACAGCACGGTCACATGACTTCACGTCACCACCGCTAAGCTAAAGGTGGCTAATGTTGGGCTATAAAGGAACTACAGCACGGTCACATGACTTCACGTCACCACCGCTAAGCTAAAGGCGGCTAATGTTGGGCTATAACGGAACTACAGCACGGTTACGTGACTTCACGTCGCCACCGCTAAGCTAAAGGTGGCTAATGTTGGTCTATAAAGGAACTACAGCACGGTCACATGACTTCACCACCGCTAAGCTAAAGGTGGCTAATGTTGGGCTATAAAGGAACTACAGCACGGTCACGTGACTTCACGTCGCCACCGCTAAGCTAAAGGTGGCTAATGTTGGGCTATAAAGGAACTACAGCACGGTCACATGACTTCACGTCACCACCGCTAAGCTAAAGGCGGCTAATGTTGGGCTATAAAGGAACTACAGCACGGTCACATGACTTCACGTCACCACCGCTAAGCTAAAGGTGGCTAATGTTGGGCTATAAAGGAACTACAGCACTCTCTCTCTTTTTGTCCTGATCCATTTATATAAAAACCTGTCTGAAAATGAGCTGATCAGATTTTGTCCACTTTATGTTGTCATAGCGATTTTTTGGCTTGTGTAACCATTAGCCAATCACCAACCCCCCCACACCTTATCACCTGATTCTCCTCCTAGAGCACCATTGTGTTCTTTTTAACCAAATCTCTCTCAGAGGGGCGTGGGGAGGGGCTCCTTATTTTCATCTAAAGTAACAGACAGAGAATCAGCACTTTGGAAACAGGGCTGAAACAGAGGGGATTATGGGATGCTGCAATGATCTGTTTGGTGTTTCAGCCAATCAGAGACATGTTTTGTATATATCTGAGACCTGTGATATATTGATGAAAAACAGTACAATAGGGGACCTTTAAGGTGGTGAGATCACTAGAGGAGGAATCACAAATACCAGGGCTCCTACAGCTCCTTAAATATCAAATTGAAGGACTTTTCAAGGCCTCATTCCCTAAAATACAAGGACGACAACACAGTGTAGTTTCAGAGGCACATCTTTTATGAATTTCTTCTACATAAAATAAAATAACAAAATAGTCCAAGTGATGAAAGATGTCCGTTAATCTAGTTTGACTATTTATATGATATGTGGTTAGATCCTAAAATGACAATACTTCTATTTATAATGAATAAATGTGTCAGTAGTTTAGAGAATACAATTAAAAAGGGAATTTCATTAAAACACATCTAAAAAAAAAGGAAGAATGTCTTATTTCCTCTTTTTAAAACGCTAAAATACTGTGTTTAAAACCTAAATACTCTTACCGTCGTACTCGGGGAAGTAGTCGACCAGGTGAGAGTACATGATCTTGTCCTCCAGCAGGTCGATCTTGTTGAGGAACAGCATGACGGAGGAGCGGTGGAACCACTTGTAGTTGATGATGGTGCGGAACAACGCCATGCTCTCCTCCATGCGGTTCTACGAACAAACACACAACAAAACAATTGAACACATGCACAAAATACTGATTGAGCTAATTCAATGTGTGTGTAATGTCATCAGTGAGGGGTGCAGAACAGAGCGACTCAAGAGCTCCCCCTGCAGGCGGACAGGGATTATTCTGCAGAGGAGGGTGGAGGAGAGGTTCAAGATTCAAGATGCAAGGCTTTAGTCTATATACAAGTAAATGGAATGAGAGGTTCATCAATGTTTCCCCAGATTTAATTCGACCACATAGCATTAACTATAACCATGTCGGTTGTCATAGTAATTACTCCTTCAATGCTTCTGCAATACTGTATGTCATTATGGTCATGCCAATAAAGCTGAATTTGAGAGAGATCAGATGAGTGCAGCACTCTGGGAAATCACAGGAATTGCTCTATATTTACTTCTATACAGCATAGTTTGGAAATGAAACTCTTAAGTATATTATTAGATAAAATGGATAAAATGAATTATTTTATTAAAAAAATAAGATTAAAATAAGAATAAAATCTAAATAAATAAAATCATATCAAAGAAATTGTGCCAGTGATAAAAAATAAAAATAAATCCATTAATCTGATTTTCTGTGAATCAAATAAAATTCTCTAAATTAGATTTTTTTTTTGTTCTTATCATTTGGAAGACATGTTATCGGCAAATACAGCGAAACCACAGAAACTGATTTTTTTTTCCAGTGGTTTCTTAATTATTCTCACCTCGTTGACAGACTCCACCAGCACCTGGTCGTACTCGCTGAGCGCCACCAGGAAGATGATGGACGTCACTTCCTCAAAACAGTGAATCCACTTCCTCCTCTCCGACCGCTGCCCCCCCACATCCACCATCCTGCACACACACACACACACACACACCATCAGCACTACAATAAACCAACGAGTTGAAGCGTTTGTTTGAACAGTTTGCAGGAGGCAGGTACTTGCTTTCAAGCAGAACAGGGCAAACAAACTTAGCGGGAGTGTTTACGTGTTCGGCGTAATGACGTACAACGACCTCCACAACTTCTGTAGTCCTATTCAGCCACGTGTTAACAACCATCGTTTTTCAGACACGTAAACTTAAGTGGTTAAAACCTGACCCCCCAAAATACAATGTATGGACTCAGAAGGTGTGGGAAATCTATCAGATGGAGTAAATAACACATTCTCTGAGGATCCAGACAGAAATATTTATTAAAAAGGTGGAGTCCTTATGGTTTTCCCACATCTTCTGAACAGAAACACGGGGAAATGTGTGACAGTTGCATCATATTAGATTAAAATATAAAGATAGAGACACTGACTTCTAATCTAATCTGCTGCTTATAAAGAAAACACTTTCATATAAGGCTTAGAGAAACAAAACCATCTTCCACACTCGACAAGAGCTAATGAATTACTGTCTAAATGTGATGCAGAGCGAGACCTCTGATAATGAATTATTAAAGGTCCAGCTGTGCTCTAACACGATGTAATGGCTCTTAAGTCTTCAGAGGGAGAAACAGGATGAGAGTCAGCAGGTTGGACTGAGCAGGGTGAGCTAAAGGCTAATGCTAATGTTCACTATGACGCTGCAAACAGCAATGTTGTGTAATGTCATTATTTTGGAGGTATTCATCACTAAAATGTTTAAAATTCATCCTGACGGCCCGTCCACACGGCAGCGTGCGTTGCTTCAACGGAGACGCTTCCCATTCACTTTGAATGGGGTGACGTCACGCTTTGCCGAACTGCATTGTGGGTCCGCTTTGCCTCCGTTGCTCGCTTCGAAAGTTGAGAAAAGTTCAACTTTTCAAGCGCCGACGGAAGCGCCAGCCAATCAAATCATATGCCAGTACAAGCGCTAGCCAATCAAACCGCGTGCTTGTGTGTCTAGGGCGGGAGATTAATGTGATTGGTTATTGGTCGCACGCCAGACACGCCCACCAGCAAGCTTCAACGCGACGCTGCCATGTCGTGCGCCCTCATACCAAAATGTAGATTTTCCCTGTAAAATGTAAAGAGTGATGCCAGAAAACAATATTTCTGTTCGTCAAAAACGGTGTAATTACTCCAAAAATATGAAAATCGTGTCCAATAGAGCGTCAGACGGCAGAGACAGCTTTGTTTTACGGAGCTCCGACGTCACGTTGTTGTTTGCGTCCGAATCATGTTCTTGAGATAATTGATAAATCTTATATACAAGATCAGCGCCACAGTATCACCTCATACTAGATCTTTCTAGAAAAAAACCCTGAATATTATCATTAATTTATTACATTTAATTACTTATTTATTAGTTTTTGCATATTTCTTTGTGGAGGAATTCAGCTTTACATTTTGAGTAAATCAAGATACGATAAATCGACAAAATCAGTGTTGTAGTTAGTTACTGGTAACAAGGAGATGAATGGCTCACCTGAACACCACGTCCTCCAGGTCGAAGGGGTACTCGATGATCCCGGTGGTCGGCACCCGGACCCTCAGAACATCCTGCTGAGTCGGCAGATAAGAGGCGTCGCTGATCCGGTCCATTTCATCCAGATAGCTGCGGACAGACGAGGATAATCAATCAGGTTTATCACAAACAGTACAAGCATAAGACATAATGGAGATAATGGGAAATTGAAGCTTTGACTATAGGCACAGACACTAAACAGAAAGTATGTTAAATGTGTATTACTAATACTACATCTGGGAGAGTTCATGTATTATACAGACACATTTACAAGCTAAAAAAAACACTTAACATTGTTTAAAAAAACCATAACATAATTTAAATGTAACTACTAAATGGTCCCAAAACATGTATTTAACCCTTGTGTTGTGTTCGAAAGCTGTTACCGTTCATGGTGTTCGCGGGTACATTTTGAGCCATGATTTATCTCAGTCCAAATGTCTAAAGTCAAAGATGAATTTTGATTGGGCAAAATTTGACCTCGAGTCACCCAAAACAATTCTGCTGGGTCTCCCCAGACCCCAACACCAAATTATACACTTTCTTTTTTAGAGACCCTCAGATTTGGCTAAAATTGTCCAAATCAGTTTTGTAGTGTTTATATATCTGCTGTGGAGAATATCATGAAGCCTTGTTCCGATAAAAAAAACTAGAGCGTAGTTATTATATAATTTTAACTTGAAACGGGTCACAACATAAGGGTTAATCAGTCATAGCATAAGTTTGAATCTGGTTGGTTATAATAAACACAGATATATGAAAAAGGCCAAATTAATGGCACGAATTAAATGCATTTCATAGTAAAGTCACTTCAAAACGAGGCAATTCACGAGTGCTTCACAGAAGGGAAACACATTTAAAACAGCCATTTAAAAAGCATTTAGATATAGTGCAGCAGAAACACATTATAAAATGACAATAAAATGCTTTTAAAGAGTAATACAAAAAAGCCAAAATAAAAATAAACAAGCTAAGATAATCGGGATTTAGAGAAAACAATTGTTGATTAAAAAGCCTGATAAGACATTTAATGTAAATATAGTTTATATTCTAGCCACTTCACCCTAAGTGAGAATAGGTAGGTAGGTAGGTAGGTAGGTAGGTAGGTAGGTAGGTAGGTAGGTGGGTAGGTGGGTAGGTGGGTAGGTGGGTAGGTGGGTAGGTGGGTAGGTAGGTAGGTGGGTAGGTGGGTGGGGGGTGGGTAGGTAGGTAGGTAGGTGGGTGGGTGGGTAGATGGGTAGGTGGGTAGGTAGGTAGGTAGGTGGGTAGGTAGGTGGGTAGGTAGGTAGGTAGGTAGGTGGGTAGGTGGGTAGGTGGGTAGGTAGGTAGGTGGGTAGGTAGGTAGGTGGGTAGATGGGTAGGTGGGGTAGGTAGGTGGGTAGGTGGGTAGGTGGGTGGGTAGGTAGGTGGGTAGGTAGGTAGGTGGGTAGATGGGTAGGTGGGTAGGTAGATGGGTAGGTGGGTAGGTAGGTAGGTGGGTAGGTAAAGTCTGAGGAGTTTTACTTATGATATTTATTGTAAAATATAGTTTATATTCCAACCACTTCACCCTAAGTGAGAATGTAAACAGTGTTTCTAGCGTTTCTTAAACCAAACGAAAGCAGAGGAACAAATGGAAACTCTTCTGTAAAGTCTCAGAGTTTTCCTTCACTCACTATCTGGCGGAGTCAGAGAGCTGGTACTCCCTCTTGCGAAGGTAGCACTCCTGAATCCCCGCGTCGCTCCACAGACTCTTGATGGCGTCGGCGTACGGCTGAGGAAGAGTCGTGACTCGCTCCACATCCACCCCGCACACCAGAGTGGCGTTCGCCTGAACAACGACACAACAAAACACTACAATTAGTGACTCGACACTTTCAGAGCCAATTATACAGAAAAGGACTTTTGGTTTTGTTTTGGAAAACCTCCACAGCTCTCCACTTTGAATATAGTATTTGACATATGTTCTTATATCTTACTTATCTCAGTTTTTCACATATTAATATTTATTGTAAATTAGCTAAAGCTGCCCCATTTACTGTTTTGTGTGACAGTTGATCAATGGGGACTGTCCACGACACTATAACTAAACAAGCCAATCAGAGCGCATCGTCACATCTTTAAATCTCCTCTCTCCCCTCTTGACAGCTGTCATTTCAGGTGACTCAACGCCCCCCTCCTCCCCCCCCCCCCTTCCACTTCTTCATATCCAGGGTCAACTCAAATCAAGACCGGTTCTCCATCAATCCCTTCACCCCTCCTCCACCACCACCAGTTTCCATCATGCTCGGTTTCCCCCTCCCAAAATATACCTTTGCTCAACGGGGTCTCATCACCAAACACTGTTACATTCATCTGTGTGTTCTTGGCAATAAATACATATCGTTAAATCAAAACAAAGTCTCTCCTGATTGAAATAAAGTCATTGCTTTGTTTATTTCTGCAAATCAAACATTTATGAAAAGACACAGGAGTTTTCTCCAGAAAAAGAACCAGTTTTTTTGTCAACAGCCTCCCAAACGCTTCCATACAACTAACTCTGATGTGGTTGGTTGATAAATCGAAGAATGACTCTGATTGGTTTGCTGTTTATTCCCAAACAACAACATCCTCCATGCATCATATAGTAAATAAAGTTCAATCAAACTTAACTGGAAGATTAGTCATGACATACGAGTCCCCTTTCCCCATTCCTGTGCATTCACAGACACAGCTGAACGGAAAACACAAAGGCTGCTTTGTGTTCCTAACTTTACAAAGTGATGTCTTGTGTCTTCTTGGAATTCAAAATATATCCAGTTGCTCTGATCTATATCTGATTAACAACGTATATACTTCCTTTAATCGTGACGCCAGAACAAGGAACAAAAAGAGAAACAGATATACATGTCAACATACAACGCATCATTCCTGTGGGAAGCTATACCCTCAAATGCCCTTTTCCTTTGTGTGCATGTTTCAATAAATAAATAATTGCAAGGGAAACACATGCTGACTCAGACATGGTTAATGCTGCCAAACATCACATGACCCCCCCCCCCCCCCCCTCAGTTCAAAGGAAGTGGACTCTTCTTACCTGGAAACTCTGAAGATTTATGTGATTAATAATTATTTGCGGTTGGGATTCCGGTGAATCACTCGATGATTAACGGGAATGTCTTCTTCTTCTCGTTACCTGTCCTCACACGCCTCAGAGACACAGTGCTCTCACCAAAACACCGTGCAAGGAGACAGGATTGCAAAACTAAACAGAGACGCAGTTCACCAGAAGTGCTTCGGCCTGATAGACTGCAGGCTGTGAGTGTGTGTGTGTGTGTGTGTGTGTGTTGTGTGTGTGTGTGTGTGTGTGTGTGTGTGTGTGTGTGTGTGTGTGTGTGTGTGTGTGTGTGTGTGTGTGTGTGTGAGAGAGACAGTGAAGCATGCGACTGTTGGACAGTGTGTGCATCAACAACAAGAGACAAAGAGTTTTCACTTTGCCCTCACATGACCCTTCCCTTTATATGAAAATATAAATATTTGTTTGATAAATGTCTCAACACTGTAATATATTAGAAATTGCTGCTACTCATTAATAGCCATGTACTTTTGTCTTTCTTTTTATTTTCCATTGTAGTAATACCTGGTTGCGTGTGTGTGTGTGTGTGTGTGTGTGTAGTACCTGCTTGCGTGTGTGTGTATGTGGTACCTACAGTAGTTGTGTGTGTGTGTATGTGGTACCTGCTTGCGTGTGTGTGTGTAGTACCTGGTTGTGTGTGTGTGTGTAGTACCTGGTTGTGTATGTGTATGTGGTACCTGCTTGCGTGTGTGTGTGTAGTACCTGGTTGTGTGTATGTGGTACCTGCTTGCGTGTGTGTGTGTGTGTAGTACCTGGTTGTGTGTGTATGTGGTACCTGGTTGTGTGTGTGTGTATGTGGTACCTGGTTGTGTGTGTGTATGTGGTACCTGCTTGCGTGTGTGTGTGTGTGTGTGTAGTACCTGGTTGTGTGTGTGTGTAGTACCTGGTTGTGTGTGTGTGTGTGTGACCTGGTTGTGTGTGTGTGTGTTACCTGGTTGCGTGGGTGTGTACCTGGTTGTGTGTGTGTGTGTGTGTGTGTGTGTCTGTGTTACCTGGTTGTGTGTGTGTACCTGGTTGTGTGTGTGCGTGTGTGTGTGTGTCTGCCTGGTTGTGTGTGTGTGTGTGTGTGTGTGTGTGTCTGCCTGGTTGTGTGTGTGTGTCTGCCTGGTTGTGTGTGTGTGTGTGTGTCTGTGTCTGTGTGTGTGTGTGTGTGTGTTACCTGGTTGCATGTGTGTGTGTAGGGGATCTGCAGGGCCTCCATAGCCTGGACCATGGCCTGCATGGCAGTGAAGATGTTCTGGTGAACCAGCCTGGAGAACCCTCTCTTGTCTTCATCACTGTAGCCCCGGCCGTGGATGATCCTCATCTGCTTTATGAAGGTGCTCTTCCCACTCTCACCAGTCCCTACACACACACACACACACACACACACACACACAAACACACGCACACACACACCAGAAACACAGGGATTTTAGCCTCTGCAGACCATTTACATGCAAGGCAAGTTTATTTATATAGCACCTTTCAACACAAGGCAATTCAAAGTGCTTTACAAAAATGAAAGACATTCAGAAACATATTATAAAATGGCATTAAAAAACACTCATTTAAAAGCAAAGATAATACAACATGAATAACAAAGGTACATTAATTAAAGTGACAGTGCAGTGTGAGATACACACATCTGAAATGTTTAGCTCTGACTCGCAATCATTGCTCACTTTTTAGCAGAAATAGTTTTCCATGACCTCACTTACTTTCTTTCTACTTTCTTGTTTAACTTATCCTTTAGTTATTTCAAGTGTTTCATGCTAAACGAACGCCCCTTTGGAAAATTCCAATCTGACCCCACGGTACCTTTTAGGTTTCGCCGAAACTATTCCTCTTTTTTAAATGCACATTAGTTAAGTTTACCTTGTCTTTCTAGGATGCACACAACAACACACTACAGGGAAGGAAACCCCCAGAAAGCATAATAGGGCCCCTGTACATTGTTTTAATGAAGCTTTAATAACAGCAGGTTGTGTAGCAGGTTATCGCTGAATAGAAATGCACAAATAAAATAAAAAGCTGCTATAAATCAAGCTACTCTTTGCAGCTGCAGCATTAAAGTGATGAACACATTAATGCATAAATAATTCATTACAATAATATATATATTCTGAACTGGACCGTTGTGCAGAATAATACTATAAGGGCTTTTACTTGTAACAAAGTATTTCTAAACGATGGTACCACTACTACTGAAGATCAGAGCATCATGCAACATGTCATGTGATGGATCAGTTCTCCATCTTCAAAGTAACTGGTAAATGGGGCGAAGCCTGCGAGCTAGTTCGGGCAGTCAACTCGAGCACCAATGATACATTAACACATGACGCACCTCATCCCTCTAACAACCAACCAAACACATTCTCCTAAACATGCCGCTCTATTTAAGCTGCCAGGTCTTCCTGCCTCTGCCTCGCTATGCTGCTGCTGCTGCTGCTGTGTTCACTTGCTATTGCTACGTTCATGTTCCTGCTGCTGTGTTTCATGTTGCTGCTGCTCGCCTGCCCCACCACCACCCCAGCTTCCACCCCAGCTTCCACCCCAGCTTCCACCCCAGCTTCCACCCCAGCTTCTACCCCAGCTTCCACCACAGCTTCCACCCCAGCTTCCACCCCAGCTTCCACCCCAGCTTCCACCCCAGCTTCTACCACAGCTTCCACCACAGCTTCCACCACAGCTTCCACCACAGCTTCCACCCCAGCTTCCACCCCAGCTTCCACCCCAGCTTCCACCCCAGCTTCTACCCCAGCTCCACCTGTAAGCTCAGGGGGGTAGTTATCTAATCATCACTCAATGTTCTTTGTTAATCTGAGTGATGAGGCCCGAGCCTAGACGCCAAACTCAAACGATATGCTGGTTATAATAAACATATTAAGAAACACGTGAGTTGTCTGACTGAACTACAGCTGTCAGATAAAAGCAGTGGATTAAAAGTGTTATATTTCTTAGCATGCATGATTATTTTGGGCTTTTATGAAATCATCTCCAAGTGGCAAATCACAATAACAGGCATAATCATATTTTAATTCCACTACAGGAGACACAGACACCTAATGTTCTTGGTGGAAAAAGATATGTGCAAACATCGGCAATCTGCCAAAATAAGAGGTAAAATATTAACAAAAACGTGCCTCCTTTAGTAGAAAGTAGCCAACAAAGTAAAGATATTCAACCTAAAAATCCACACTAAAGTTCAGTAAATGAGCTTCAATCACCAATTATAAATAAATATATATTATACACAGTCCCAACCAAGCCCCCAGGAAGTGCGCCGGACTCTGTGCCCAACATTCGTTGTGTCCAAACGGCGGTACTGCAACTTCCGTATCAGTCCGTGACGTCACCCGGCCCAAAACTACTTTTTCCCATCGACTAACATTGGGAAAGAGACGTCTGTAAATCAGCGGATAATTTTTTTTAAACTAAATAAACTACCCAGTATAGCCCTTATTATAATAATTAAGTCCTTAAAGTTGTAAAATGCACTAAAAGCCGAATCTAGATGTATTTTCTCTCTCCATTCATTCTAGTGAGCCGAGAGCAAGCCCCCAGGAAGTGCGCCGGACTCTGAGGAAAATATTCGTTGTGGCCAAACGGCGGTACTACACTTCCGTATCAGTCGCCGTGCCCAGAAACACTTTTTCCCATTGACTAACATTGGGAAAGAGATGTCTGTAAATCGTTGGATAATTTTTTTTAAACTAAATAAACTACCCAGTATGAACATTTGTATAGCCCTTATTATAAACATTCGGTCCTCAAGTTGTAAAATGTGCTAATAACGTTATGAGAGTTATTTTCCTCCGCTTTATGAACGCGCATCTGAGAGTGGGAGCTCGGGGGCGGGGCTTAAGGGGCAACTCAACTGCGCATGTTCTATGAGCGCACATACGGGTACTTCTGCTCTGACAGCCAGGCATGCTGGGTAATCCGTGACGTTTCGCTCTTTCAAAAGTTGGGCCATTTTGTCCTCATGCGCCAATGAGCAGCTCTCATAGGAAAGAACGAGACCCCGCCTCCCACGCTGTATCCAGTTCTTATTATACATCCATGGTACTAACGGGTAGATAACTGTATGCTTGCTTTATTATCTTTAGAGGGCCATATTCTATTTGTGTTACTTGACAGAAGGTGCATCAACACTGTGAGTATCTTTAAGGTGTGGTGGATATTTCTCTTTCTGAAATGATTTACTAATACTGAATGAATCACCACTCCTTTAGGGTCAAAAGTCCGATGTGTAGCTTCTTCACACGTCTATCAAGATTCTTACATTTTAACCCCGTGCTCCATATCATATATTTCAATAAATCATATCATGTGTAAACCCTTTAAACTTTCCAGTATTATTTATGGATTTAAAGATACGCCCATGATTTTACTCAATGTTTCTAACTGTTGCCAGTAAATGATTTCATTATAACGAGGTCAGCTACAGGAGCAAATGCTGCACATTGTTGTCATTAGCATTTTACTGGCAGCACTGGTGGGATGACAGAATGTTGTTTATAAAACTTGAGTTAAAGAATAAAAACAGACCCACAGGGCGCTAAAACAAGATGAAACCCAGACGTGAAACATCTTCACACTCAGGCTGCTGATATTCTTTATTCCTCTTCATACTGACAACAATGGGAAAATAAAAACACGGCAATAAATTGATGCCATATACAAGAATCCCTCTGTAGTTTGTGGTTAATGTATGCTAAATGCTAACAGCAGCATGCTAACAAGCTATCAATGCTGAAAGGCCTCCATTGGACTCCTTTGTTTACTTCCAGAAGATGGTGACATCACTGTGTAACACTCCCACTTCTATTGGCTAGCGCTCCAACACATTGTACATGATAGGCTAAGGAGGCGGGACATCTCTAAGCAGTTGACCAATCACAACAGAGCTAACAAATCAGAGCAGACTGGGCTCTGGTTTCAGAGGCTTTTACTTGTAAGACCATAGCAGAGGTGTACAGTTTTGAGCTTTGATAACACTTTAATGATCAATAATTATAAAACATATCATGTTTTATTCTGAAATGGACCAATCTGCACAATGACTACTTTTACTTTTGGTACTTTAACTATATTTTGATGAAAATACTTTTCTACTTTTACTTGAGTAACGTTTTGAATGCAGGACTTTTACTGTAACAGAGTATTCCTACACTCTGGTACTTCTACTTTTACTCAAGTACAAGATCTGAGTACTTCTGCTTTTACTCAAGTACAAGATCTGAGTACATCTACTTTTACTCAAGAACAAGATCTGAGTACTTCTACTTTTACTCAAGTACAAGACCTGAGTACTTCTACTTTTACTCAAGTACTAGATCTGAGTACTTTTAGTAAAGTAACATTTTGAATGCAGGACTTTTACTTGTAACAACGTACTTTTAAAATGTAGTATTGCTACTTTTCCTTAAGCAAAACATCTCAGTACTTTTTAAGACCATGCATTTCTACTTAATTAGAGTATCTGTAAACTTCTTCTCGCACTATAATAAAAGTACTTGATAAACCCGTCCCCCGGTCCTCACCGAGCAGCAGCAGCTTGTACTCCCGCCTGGAGTCCCTCTCGTCCCGGCGCAGCTGCCTCTCGATCTCGTCGTTGATCCGCCTCGCCTCTTTGGCCTCCGGGCTGAGGCAGCAGGCCCCCACGGAGCTCAGAGTCATCTCTACCGGGGGAAAATTGCACCTTCCCGGGCACACACAGTCACACAATGTCGGTTACAGAAGAAATGAAACACCCCAAAGTCCCCACATTCCCATTAACCCTCCACCAGCGGCTGTGCGTAAAAACTGCAGATCTATCTGGAAACAAGCTTTAAGAACATCTCAGGAAGCGATTAAGACTAAAAGGATGTTAGTGTTACCTTGTTTCTCTCTTGTGATGAGGAAGTAAAGTTTGTGCAAACAACTTAAGAAGCAGAGGCTGTTCTCCGGGCGTGGTGCGTTGAATATGGCGGAGTTTCACTTCATAGCGCTGCAAAACAACGCGAACATGCGCTAAAAGCCCGTTTCCAGAGTCAGAAAAGATGCAACGGTTATTTTTCAGTGTACGGAGATAAATCTTGGAGTGATCTTCCTTTAGCGTGCAGTTTGCCGTCCTCTATCCTGTGTGAAAAAACAGAAACAACAGAGCACCATGTGACTGACAGAGGGCTGATCTGATGGGAAGCCGTGTGGGAGCTGCACTATTACATTATGGGAACTAATTTCCGGTGTTAGACTGCGGATGCATTGGACAGGCTGACACAACTCACCGGAAACCAAATTACAACCAGGCAGATTTCTTATGAAGACACAGAGGAGGAGAAGTACTCAGATCTGGTACTTGTGTAAAAGTACTCAGATCTGGTACTTAAGTAAAAGTAGAAGTACTCAGATCTTGTACTTCAGTAAAGTAGAAGTACTCAGATCTTGCACTTGAGTAAAAGTAGAAGTACCAGAGTGTAGGAATACTCTGTTTCAGTAAAAGTCCTGCATTCAAAATGTTACTCAAGTAAAAGTATAAAAGTATTATCATCAAAATATAGTTAAAGTAGCGACAGTAAAAGTAGTCATTGTGCAGATTGGTCCATTTCAAATTAATATATATGATATGTTTTATAATGATTGATCATGAAAGTGTTCTCAAAGCTGGTAAAGGTGCAGCTAGTTTGAATGACTTTGTATACTGCAGGGTAGCTTGTGAATTTACTCCAGGTGGAACTAAAGTCTGATTCAACACTTGATTATATTTCACATCATTCATCCACATCTGTGAAGTAACTAAAGGGATGAAATACATGTAGTGGAGTAAAAGTACACCATTTACCTCTGAACTGTAGTGGAGTAGAAGTACACAGTAGCATACAATTATCATTCTCAAGTAAAGTACAAGTACCTCTAAATCGTACTTAAATATAGTACTTGAGTACATGTTAGTTACTTTACACCTCTGAGCAGAAAGTAGAGCCACTCTGCAGAACTGTGACAGACTTTATTTACTAAACTCCTGCAGGAGGTAACAGGACAACCAACATGGACTCTGTATGCTCCGAAACACACTTAAAAAATGCTTCAAAATTAAACACACTCATGGATCAAACAGATCAGATATTAAGGTTGAATCACAGCCAGTCATGAGCGGCAGAAAAGACATTTAAAAAAAGATGACCTAACCTGCTTTATGGCGCAATCTCCTTCCAAGAAAGTAGGGCCTATTTAACGTCAGCACTCATGACACTAATGTTTACTTCATGTAAATATATACACACACTTTATACAGCTTCTATTTTTGCTTCATCACACTGGCACATTTATCCCAACTTAAAGCAAAAGTAGGACATCTATTTGGGAAAACCCCAAAACCAAAATAGGGCCTCTTTAAGTAGGATTGATTTCCATACACACATAAGAACCAACCAAGCTCTTGCAAGAAGGAAAAGTCAAACTACTTCAATAAAGCCCCCTCTTACAAAAAAGCACTTTAAAAGTATGCTGAAATTGAGTAAAAATCAAAGTTTATTTTAATGGTACTTCACCATTCTGATACCATGCAGCTTCATTTTGAAAGTGTGCTTAAAGGTTTTAAGGAGGGGAAGAAACAAAATGTCTTGACAAAGAGATTACATTCTGCATGCTGCACTGAAATAAAAAACACAGATGGGTTCACTCCACGAGAATCTGTCCGACAGATTTGAGATTCAAATGAAAATCGTTGTGTTTTGTGAGAAAGAAAAGGGGAGGAGAAGCAGGGGAATGTCGGCTCTGAGGAAGAGGAGGAAACAGTATGGCGGCATGGCTTCACTCTTCTTCTTTATCGCTCTCCTTTCTAGAAGAAGCGACCAGAGTACTGCCTCACACTGAAACCAGAAACACATGAAAAGTAGGACAACATTAGGAATATTTATTGGAAGAGGAACGTGAGATCGGACGCTTCACACACACATTTTTATTGTGGAATGATAGCATTTATTTTAAAAAGCATGCCAATAAATAGAAAAGCTTCATGACTGCTTCGACATGTAGAGAAGGAGGGAGGAAGTGTGTCAGAAACTCAACATTAAAATACCAATATATTTCTTTCTTAAAAGGCTCTTTGCATTACGTCCAAAAGTTACACACTGGTTTCAGATAAGGCTGAAGCTTATGATTGGTTGTGTTGTGGAATGACGACTTTCTCCATTGTTTCGTTTATAAAAAGGGTTGACAATTCTATATATAACAAGTATATATTTCCATATTATTCCCAGAAGCAGCAGGTCCTCACATTTGAAGAATATAAAATCTCTCTAGACTCAAAATAATAAAGACTTTTGAAAATGGCAAATATCCGATTCCAGAAATCCATGCAAATTTGCACGGATTGAATACATGAATGCATCATTAGCAAATTAAAACACAACATTTAAGAACCGTTATAATGTAAAAAATGACTGTTCTAATGACCAACAGGGGAAGTTTAATTGTTATATTTGTTAATTAAACATTTCAAAAAGTACTTTCTTCACATTTCAAAACAGAGCCTGATTTATGGAGCATTTTTTATTCCTCAAAATACAAACAGATTATCAAAACTGAAAATGAAACAAGAACATTTAACCTAACAAATCCAAATTAGCACAGATTTTAATACATAATGCCTATCTTGCAAATACAACATTTTAGAAACCTCAATAGGAACAATGATTGCCTTTATTATACTAACGATCTGGGGAAGATTTAAGGAGATATCTATATTTTCCTTCACCTGCAGCGTTGCCCTTCAGAACGACAGCAGGACCAGAATATGGTTGATGTATTTCTTTGTGTGTGTTTTACCTGGCTGCAGACACTCATTAAAGGAAATCAACTATCTTAAAAACAGCAACAAAACCCATGTTTACTTCCATGCAGAGCAGACCCACAGATAGCAGCTCTTTGTGGGTTGGGGGGGAGGGGGGTGGGGGGGGGGTGGGGGTCACTGGAGAACGTGCCTGTTCTGCAGCAGGTACTGGGCGTTCTGGATCTGGTCCTGCGTGCCCGTGATGGTGATGATTCGGTCCTCGGAGCCCTCTAGTGGCTCATCAATCTTGATGGAGGCTCCGGACTCGTGGCGGATCTGTTTGATCCTCTGGCCCCCCTTCCCGATGATGGAGCCCGCCAGCTGGGGAGCAAAGGAGGGTTAGGTCAGCAGTGAAATGTGTTTTAAGGTCTTTATTTACAGCAAAATGGGTGGTTTGTAACGTATAAATCACACGTGTCAAACTCAAGGCCCGGGGGCCAAATCAGGCCCTTGGTGGATTTAATTTCGGCCCGCAGGATAATTTGTAATTACTAATAGATCTGGCCCACCGGTATATTGCACGCACACCTTCACTCAACCCTGAGGGTCTCCTCAGCTCAGAGCCTGAGCCCAAACATTGATGAACTTGCACCCAAGATGAGATGCCAAGTATCTGGCTTGAACTAGCATCACAGAGCAGCACACTGAGTTTACATGGATGTTTCCTTCTGCACTTTGTTTCTTGAGACAACAGGGCATGTTTGTTTTTTTCTTTGAGGGAAATAGTTTTCTTGAAGCTGTTGTTGGCCTGTGGAGAAATGTAATCATAAGAAATGACTCTGGACAAGCTGCAGATAGAGCCATAAGAAATGAATGCAACTGATTATTTAATGTTTAATGTTGTTTTTATAGGCAATCATTTAAGCGTTGTTAGTTCCAGGTTTAATATGTGCAATAAGTTCATTTCAATAAGTTCTCCAATAAACATTGAACCAGTCCGGCCCACGACTAGTACCCATTTTTTTATTTTGGCCCACTGTGTATTTGAGTTTGACACCCTTGGTATAAATAGTCGTCATTTTCATAACTGTGCGTTTAAATGACAATATATTAATAGAACACAACTTAACACACTAAAAAAAAAACATTTTAATTTATCAAAGCAAAAACTAATTTGTATATCATATTTTTTTATTTCATATTTAAATATGTTACGATTTATTATTGTCTGTGTTTGTTAAATTTGAAAAGGAATAACAAATGTATGTAAAAAAAATATATACATTCAGTTTCAGTTCTATATATTCCTGGTTCTGCTTTTCGATTCCAGTTATTTTCGGTTCTTGATTTCTAAAAGGTGGACATACTGTGGGTGTTTCTCAATGTCGAGTAAAGCTGCCCCAGAGCCACTATTTCAAGCATACTACGTCATCGAGTGCCGCAGAAGGACTGTTCCAAAGTCCAGCATACTTGGGATGTGAGTAGACTCCGCCGTCTTAAAATCCCCACAATGCTTTGCGCACGGACCAATTTCCCCAAATCTGTGGCGGAAGATGTAAGAGGCGGGGCCTCTCATATGACGCACACCTGCTCGCCTGTTCCACTCTTCGTTTTCCGAATGGCAGGAAGTATTCTTGCCTCGCTTCTGAAGCAAGTGACTCGGCAGACATGTGCTACCAAGCAAGCGTACTCGACATTGAGAAACACCCTGTATCTCTCTGATTGCACTGTACAATCTCTTGTAGATTTTCTTGCCAATATATATATATTCCTGGTTCTGCTTTTCGATTCCAGTTCTTTTCGGTTCCTGATTTCGGTACCCAACCCTAGTAAGGACATCTTTATTCATCCGTATGAAGGGTCCACACTACACCAGTAGATGTGTTTATCCGGCTCGGATTGAGGATCAAATAATCAATGTTTTACAACTTTTACAAACAGGAAGTGCTTTATGGCGCGTTTCCACTACAGCGCGGAGCACGGTTTAAGAGGGCTGTGACGTCAGCGGCCCGTTTTTGGTTGCGTTTCCACTTGGCCTAGTACCGGCCGGCGGGTCCTAATTCACAGTTTTTCTGGCCTCATAAAATCGTGGGTCTAGGGCCAGAGACAACGAGGCTGAGTCGGGCTGAGTATGCTAAACTAGAGAGAGCATCGCTGGCAAGGGGGCTACAACTACAACAAGATGGACATATTTGACCGTGATTTAATTGTAATACACGTTTCTAAATGATGCCGAAGTAACAACATACTGATACCGGTTAGTAAAAACCATGAATTAATGCTTTGTCAAGTCTGCAGACAGACGGCAGGCGAAAAACCTTTTAAAATGCGTGTTTTCTGAATGGAGATTGGCTAAGCTAACGCAGTATATGCTCCGACCGTCCACACTCACAACAACGGCCTATACAGACATAAATAAACCAGCGACTGTATTCACCATGACACAGACAGTCTGTGGTGTGTACTTGTTTAACTTTTGTCCAGTTTCTGAACAGATATGAGGAGCTGTGAGCTCTGAGTGCTAACAGCTAACGGCTATGTTGTTTTTCTGGGGTTCTCATTGAAGATGACGTCACGGCTCCGCCTACACTGCGTTACTATAGATACTACCCCAGTTCCTAAACTGTAATGGAAATGCGCCATAAAGTGAGCCAGTCCTAACGAGGCCTAGCCATACCGAGCGAGGCCGTGTAGTGGAAATGCGCCATTAGACTGACTGCTAATCTGTTGATTGGATATTTTGGCAACAGCATGGTGTTTTTTAACTCCATATTTGAACTAAATTAAGTTTTTTGAAGCATGGACACTCACGTCTTTTGGGATGGTGACTTGTGTTGTGATGACTGGGCCTCCGATGTCGCTGTACGATCCTCTGCCGCCTGAAATCAGGAGATAAAGAACATTTCAGGTGGTTCTATCTTTGACTAAAGCATGCAACAAGAAGCCCTTTAGGTGAGGGGTCAAGAGAGAAGAGACATGTATACGTAATCCATCCCCACTCACCAGACTGGAAGTGCTCCCAGGAGGAGTTGTTGTCTTTAGGAGAGGAAACAAGAGAGTGAGAAATGGGAGGAAGAGGAGGGAAAAGTGATGGAAAACATAAATACAGAAAACACCTAAAGTGAACCGTTCCTCCCTCTATGTGCTCTAAAGAATAAGGAGAGTGAGGCACAGGGACCCCCAGGGAGAGATCTACATTATTATGATGTATTTAGGTAAAACAAGGGAATTATTCATAAATAATAAATAAAATCATTTTAAAATCTAAAATAGTTAATAATGTTGTGTTTATTATTTTTAAATGAAAATCCGAAACTGTGTTTTATTGACCCTCAACATGCACCAAAAACGCCCTCCTTTCTGGATACGCGCGTGTGTGTGTGTGTGTGTGTGTGTAAAGTACCATGATATATTACATTTATAGCATTTAAATAGTATAACAATATAAGCTGATCTGAATAAAAAAAGTGTTATTATATGATAATCAGAATCTGTGTTTTATTTAGCCTACGTATGCATGCTGTGTGTGTGTGTGTGTGTGTGTATGTATGTGTGTGTGTGTGTGTGTATGTGTGTGTGTGTGTGTATGCGTGTGTGTGTGTATGTATGTATGTGCTGTGTGTGTGCTGTGTGTGTGTATATGTGTGTGTATGTGTGTGTGTGTGTGTGTGTATGCGTGTGTGTGTATGCGTGTGTATGCGTATGTGTGTATGCGTGTGTATGCGTATGTGTGTATGCGTATGTGTGTATGCGTGTGTGTGTGTATGCGTATGCGTGTGTGTGTATGCGTGTGTGTGTATGCGTGTGTGTGTATGCGTGTGTGTGTATGTGTGTATGTGTGTATGTGTGTGTGTGTGTGTGTGTGTATGCGCGTGTGTGTATGTGTGCTGTGTGTGTGTGTGTTTATTTTCTGAAATCAACTTATAATGATCCCATTTCTCTGAATTTGAAATGTTAATATATTGGATTACTACTTTTAGCCAATTTAATTTATATCGGTTATTTGATGTTGGGGTGGGGCAATTGAATTTAAAACCCGTAAGATGTTCCTATTTCTCTCGTTGTGTATGTATGGTCGTTAGGGGGTCCCCAGTATTTCTTCTACCTTCTGAGTGTTCCTTGTCTGAAAAACAATTAGGAAACTCTGCATTAAAGAAAGATCATTGTCCAAGTGTCCCTGGTGAAGTGGACAATACGCAACATGTCTAAAACTATGTCTAAAACAATGACATGACTTTGTTTGATTAAATAATGAATGTCACTCACCATATCCTCCTCCACCCTGCGTGTCAGGATCGATGGAAAGGAAAACAAGAAACAGTTTAAAGGACGGCGTAATAAGAGGACATTTTGATAGTGCTGGTGTTAGCATTAGCTGTGTACAAAATATCGTATTACATCGTAATTATTTTAATCCTATAAATTCAATAAATGCAGTTCTGAATCCCGCCATATTTTTCCCTACATTTTTAGAAATATTTTAAACATTTTCTTATGTATATGTTCTTGCAGTTCAGACCTAAAGGACGCCTGCTCAGGTTCAGTTTTTTTTATTTTCAGCTCAAGTTCATTTGTGCTAGCGCCGGTGGATCTCCGGACTACGTACTCAGCTGCTCCGCGGTAACCACGGAGACAACTGTTGCCAGGCAACAACAGGCCCCGGATCAGTGTGCGCACACACACACACACACACACGGGGGGGAGCAGCACGGTGACCATGCCTGTGTGTGTGTGTGTGTGCGTGTGTTACACTCATAAAGAGGAATCCCAATCACCTCGTCTGAAGCATATTTCACAATAAAAGACATGCTACACACACACACACACAATATGAAGACACACACTCACCATGCTCTCGTAACGGTCTCCTCCTCGGCCTCTTCTGTCACTAAACACACATATAATTATATTATATTAAATGCATTAATACATCAAACCAATAAATGTTTTATACCAATTTATTTACATTTCATTTTACACTGATTTATTTAGGTATAAGGCTTATTGCAGGAAGGGACATGCAGACTATGTGACGACATGTGATCAGTTCAGACTCTGAATTGTTGGTGTTTTTTCACCTCTGTATTTTATAAATGTATATAATATCTCTATCAAATCATGAGTTCTAGATAATCCTGCCCTGTCCTCACCTCTGTCTGTCGTCCATGCCGCCGTGATAACTGCCGTGAGAGAATCTGTCCCCCCTGGAAACAAGGACAGGGAAAATGTTGGAAAACTAAAATACAAACTTCCTACGGTTCCTAATCTATGGAGGGCTAAAGCTGCCGTTACAATTGACACATTCAAAATATACTTTGGAATTGAATTAACAAAAAAAAGACATGTATAAATAAATTACAATAAATAAGCAGGTTATTGAGAACATTATTAATACATAAAAACATTTATATTTTGTTAATTTATTTTATTCATATTTGATTAATTCCGTTTTTGTTAAAGGGGACCTATCATGCAAAATGCACTTTTTGATGTCTTTTATACATAAATACGTGTCCCCGGTGTGTCAGGGAACTCACGCAGCGTCAGAAAATAAAACCCTCTCTCTTTTCCTCCGTACCCAAATCTCTAAAAACGGGGGAACAACGGAGCTGATCCAGATTTGCGTCCGATATGACGTAATATCTGAAATGTGGACCCACGGCCCAATCAGAAATGTTGCTATCAGAAACAATGCCCGACTGTTTTGGACGTAATATGGTCGGTGTTTACATTAGCATCGCTAACACTCAGAGCTAACCTGTACTGGAGAGCATGTGTGTGAAGAAGCAGGAAATAAAAAGGAACTCACCTTGTGGTATAACCGGCAAGAGAGAAAGCCTTTGAGCTCCATACTGTTTCAGAGATAATCCTTGATAATCCATGATATGGCGTTTCATCACGGCAGCATTTAGTTTAGACAGTAGCTGCCGGGTCCTGCATGAGCTCAGCCCCCTACTTTTTTATTATTATCAATTATTGTGAAATAGAGGGATATGAGGCATGGCTACAATGGGTGATCTGTTTTGGTATTTTGAGCAAAATACTTCATAGACATGTTTTTTATATATTTGTATATATCTGAGACCTATGCTATTGCCTAAAAATAGCATGATAGGTGACCTTTAATACTTCTAACCACACCACAGTAATCCATGCTTAGGAACTGTTTGTCTTACCACACTAATTATGTGACTGGTTTCTAAAAACAAATGTATTGGACATGTCCCCCACTGTGGGACGTTTAAACCGTCTCTGTTTCTGAAGACCTTCCTTTTAAATAAAGCCTATAGATAGAGAGCTTAGATGTCCCTACGTCTGTCCTCCTGAGTCCGACATTTTATAGTTTTTACTGTCTTTTTATTGTATTTTATCCATTCTTTTTAAACCCTTTTTGACTTTAAAGGGCCTCTCCTCACCCTCCTCTTGGCAGCGGTGGAGGAGGAAGAGGCAGATTTCTCGCTCGGCTCCCTCCTCTACCTCCTCCTCGGTTCAATGGAGGAGGAGGAGGACCCCGTCGCGGGCTGATGTCATCATAGTCCCGTCTGGAGGAGGGGGGCATCGGCCTGCTGCCTCTGGAGGGGGGAGGCATGTGATCGAAGCCCCCCCGAACCCTCATGGGGAAACCCCCCCCTCCGATTGGTCGCCTGCCTCGCTCCTCGAAAACAACGGTGAAGCCGCCGTAGTCGTACGTCTCGTTGTAGAAGTTCGGGTCGTAAGGCTGCGCTCGGCCTTTGATAGGCGCCTGTGGAATAAAAAGGTAAAAGGGAATTATTAAAAAATATATATATATCTATCTAACTTGTATTTATTTGATTATTTCACAACATTTATTTCTGGAAATTTAATTTAAAAAGCTGTACCAAACAAAAAAAAGATTGCTTGTTTAACATTTACTTTATGAGATTTAAAGTTGTCTTTATATAATGTAATGTAATTGTATAACGAGTAAAAACTGTTTTAATTCTTTAACTTAGTTTAGCAGTTTCTTGTTCTCGTTTAAATGTATTTTTATAGGAAATGAAAAAACTGTGAAAAACAGCCGTTGTCATATTGACCTCTAAAATGTCCGAATTGACCAATCAGAATCGAGTATTCAACTAAGCCATGCAGAGATGGCAAAAGTACACACATCCTTTACTCAAGTAGAAGTACAGATACTCGTGTTTAAAAAATACTGACTAAACTTCTTTACTCAAGTAAAAGTAAAGAGGGCTTTGAAATGTACTTGTACTTGTAATGTAAGAAGTAGAAAGTACAGGTATTTGTGTTCAACATGTAAGAAGTAGAAAGTACAGGTATTTGTGTTCAACATGTAAGAAGTAGAAAGTACAGGTATTTGTGTTCAACATGTAAGAAGTAGAAAGTACAGGTATTTGTGTTCAACATGTGAGAAGTAGAAAGTACTGGTATTTGTGTTCAACATGTAAGAAGTAGAAAGTACAGGTATTTGTGTTCAAAATGTAAGAAGTAGAAAGTACAGGTATTTGTGTTCAAAATGTAAGAAGTAAAAAGTTGTCAGAAAAATAAGTAGTGGAGTAAAATACTGATACCAGAAAAATGTACTTAAGTACAGAAACGTATTTGTACTCCATTACTTCCCACCTCTGAAGCCATGCAATAAAGTAAATTAAGACTGACCTCGGCCACCAGCTCCAAGATAACTTTTATACACTCGACGACTCGCTCTGGTTTCCCTCCGACCAAAACAACTCTGTCGGTGGAGTGAGGACAGCATTCCTGGAACAGCTTGATGGTGGTCTGGGTGTTCTGGGCAGGAAACGGGAACATATTAAACCAATTAAATCCACTTTGATAACTCTGCTACTAATCTATGGAAGGATAATGCTGCCATTACAATAAATAATGACACTAAAATATGCATACATGAAATGTGCCTGACAAACATTTCCGTATTTAATTATTTATGAATGAATTATATATATATATATATATATTTTATTTTATTACAAAGCATATTTTTTTTACATTTTAGGCATTATTGCATTTATTTATTGTTTTGGCAGCTTTAGTCCTCCATACTGAACTAACCAATAATGCCAGATAAAAAGTAGTGTTTTCATACATGTATAAACTCGATTATTTTAACAATTAATCTCCTGTTAATCTGGCCTCTGTCCTACCTCTCTCAGCTCCTTAATCTTGGCTCCTTTCACCCCGATGATCCCCCCCGCCAGGCTCTGGTGGATCAGCAGACGAAGCTCCGAGTCAAAATCTGTCCCACTGTAATGCTGGTACTAAAAAAAAAAACACACAAAAGCAACATCAGAGCGGTCCGTAGAGCCCAAAACTCTTTCCAACCCTTAAATACGAAATATTGGGCCATTCCCAATTTCTATTAAAGGGGTCATATTCTGCAAATTTCAGGTGTATATCAGTATGTAGTGTCTCTACTTTAAAGAGTCCTCTCCTGCTGATGTTCAGGTGTATATCAGTATGTAGTGTCTCTACTTTAAAGAGTCCTCTCCTGCTGATGTTCAGGTGTATATCAGTATGTAGTGTCTCTACTTTAAAGAGTCCTCTCCTGCTGATGTTCAGGTGTATATCAGTATGTAGTGTCTCTACTTTAAAGAGTCCTCTCCTGCTGATGTTCAGGTGTATATCAGTATGTAGTGTCTCTACTTTAAAGAGTCCTCTCCTGCTGATGTTCAGGTGTATATCAGTATGTAGTGTCTCTACTTTAAAGAGTCCTCTCCAGCTGATGTTCAGGTGTATATCAGTATGTAGTGTCTCTACTTTAAAGAGTCCTCTCCAGCTGATGTTCAGGTGTATATCAGTATGTAGTGTCTCTACTTTAAAGAGTCCTCTCCTGCTGATGTTCAGGTGTATATCAGTATGTAGTGTCTCTACTTTAAAGAGTCCTCTCCTGCTGATGTTCAGGTGTATATCAGGATGTAGTGTCTCTACTTTAAAGAGTCCTCTCCTGCTGATGTTCAGGTGTATATCAGTATGTAGTGTCTCTACTTTAAAGAGTCCTCTCCTGCTGATGTTCAGGTGTATATCAGTATGTAGTGTCTCTACTTTAAAAGAGTCCTCTCCTGCTGATGTTCAGGTATATATCAGTATGTAGTGTCTCTACTTTAAAGAGTCCTCTCCTGCTGATGTTCAGGTGTATATCAGGATGTAGTGTCTCTACTTTAAAGAGTCCTCTCCTGCTGATGTTCAGGTGTATATCAGTATGTAGTGTCTCTACTTTAAAGAGTCCTCTCCTGCTGATGTTCAGGTGTATATCAGTATGCAGTGTCTCTACTTTAAAGAGTCCTCTCCTGCTGATGTTCAGGTGTATATCAGTATGTAGTGTCTCTACTTTAAAGAGTCCTCTCCTGCTGATGTTCAGGTGTATATCAGTATGTAGTGTCTCTACTTTAAAGAGTCCTCTCCTGCTGATGTTCAGGTGTATATCAGTATGTAGTGTCTCTACTTTAAAGAGTCCTCTCCTGCTGATGTTCAGATGTATATCAGTATGTAGTGTCTCTACTGTGACATGTCTCCGTGCTTTAATGTTCAAAAAGCTCTTTATTTTTCTCATACTGCCTGTGCTGCAGCACCTCTTTTCACCCTCTGTCTGAAACCAGAGCCCAGTCTGCTCGGATTGGTTAGCTGGCCGGCTCTGTTGTGATTGGTCAACCGCTTAGAGATGTCCCTCCCCTTAGCCTATCATGTGTTGGAGAGCTAGCCACTAGGAGCGCGATTGTAACATACTGTCACCATGTTCAAGAACTTTGGAGCCTTTGCAGACCAGTACAGGCACAAAGACCTATACTACAGGGAAAGGGAAAACCCCCAAAATAGCAGAATAGCGCCTCTTAAACTCGTTGACTTACCTCCTCTAGAGTAGGGATGATTTTCAGCAGAATGTCTCCGATCGTGTCGATGCTGGCGTTCACGCTCAGGATTCTGTCAGGAACAATGTCGGCCGAAAGGAATCAAGGCATTATAGGATGTAAAGAAGAACAATTGACATACACTCAATATAAGATCATTTTGGGAGAAGGGGGGGGGCGGCTTCAATAGCGTGGCCACAAAAAGTTGGGAAGGAGAAAGAGAGAGAGGGGGGGGTCTTCTATAACAATCCCACCACAAGGAAGTTGGGAAATCAAACAAAAGCTTTTGAAAACACGATTTCACCACCAGCACGTCTTCTTATATTGATCAGGGGTTGGGATAAGGGTGGGGGGGGGGGGGGGGGCAGAAGAAGAGAGTAAAAGAGCAGAGGGGTGTAGTTTTGGGTCGGGGGAGGGTATGGAGCTCTGATCGGATGTTTCCTGGGAGAAATTTGACATAAGGGATGCAGCACAATGACATAAAGAAGAATACATTAATGATGAGTGACAGAAAAGTGGGCGGAGCCTCTCGCAGAAATCATTGACAGTGATGTTGACAACATTGGGGGAGAAAGGGGGGAGGAAGTGGGCAAAGTGGGCCACAGAGGACAGAGCGAGAGTTTCTACAAGTTTATGGTGAAATAAAAACATCACTGGAAGGGAAATTTGTGACGCTAACCAACATGATGCTAACTCCCAGTAGGTAGTTTGTTGTAGGGCTGCACGATATAGGAAAGACACTTTTTTCTGCGATGTAAAAAAAAATGCAGTACTGTCGCCCTAAAGATTGTAGGCTAGATTAAAACTCATCGATCTGTGAAAGCGGTACGAAAAGCTTATTTTTACTTAAATCATAAGAAAATGTTGTGATGGTTATATTGGGTAATACCACAGTAGAATTATCGTGAATGCAGGATCTTTCTCAAAAAGTATTTGCAAATATTTTGAATCTTGCGTTGTATACATCCACGATTACAAGCTTGCAGACTTTTTTTCACTGTGTTTAATAGCTATGCTTGTTAGCGTGTAACTGCAAAACCAAAGAAAGGCTTCTAATGCTACTGTGTCCGTGTGCATTAGATAGTGAAATTAATATTCTACATAATGATATTTCTTTCTGATCTATTAAGTCTGACAAGCAACATATTTCCAATAGGACATTTAAAAAGAATATGATCACACGGTGAAGTTGAATACCGGATTGTTATTGGTCAATTTCAGAGGTTAATACTCAATAACAGACCGATGCCAAGGATAACAGACCGTTACTAAGGATAACAGACCGATGCCAAGGATAACAGACCGTTACTAAGGATAACAGACCGTTACTAAGGATAACAGACCGTTACTAAGGATAACAGAACGTTACTAAGGATAACAGAACGTTGCTAAGGATAACAGAACGTTGCTAAGGATAACAGACCGTTGCTAAGGATAACAGAACGTTACTAAGGATAACAGAACGTTACTAAGGATAACAGACCGTTGCTAAGGATAACAGAATGTTACTAAGGATAACAGAACGTTACTAAGGATCAGTGCAGACAATGTCCCACCTACTGGAATGTGCCGATGCCCCCCGGTGCAGTCCAGAAGACCTGGCAGAACCTACCCCATCAGCTGTGGCCTGTGCCCGATACTGGCAGAACGACATCTGAGATTGCTACGGACTCGAAGAAGAAGACTAAGGATAGCAGACCGTTGCTAAGGATCACAGACCGTTACTAAGGATAACAGACCGTTGCTAAGGATAACAGACCGTTACTAAGGATAACAGAATGTTACTAAGGATAACAGACCATTGCTAAGGATAACAGACCGTTGCTCAGGAGGATCAAGTGACTATTTACAGTCATATAAATCAGCAGGTCAATTTAACGTCAGCTGTGGATATTAATGACCGCCTCGCTGCACATTATCCCTTACTTATTACACGGCGGAGTGGAATACTCGATTCTGATTGGTCAATTTAGACTTCTCAGAGGTTGTTAATACTCAATAACACACCGCTACTAAGCACAATAATGACTGTTGCTGCGGAGGATCGAGGGAGAGAAGGAAAGAGGTTAAAAGACGTCAGATAAATTCCTTACTTATTGATTCATCATGAAATAGTTGCATAAATAAGTCATGGAAAAAGTTGTAGCATGATGTGTTTGAGTACATTTTCCGACACGATATATTGTGCAGCCCTAGTTGGTCGTCAGTGATTCTCTGCATGGTCAATAAACAAAGTCAAACTCAATGAAGATGCTTAATAATGGACAGAGAAATCAAAAGGAAAAACAACACACGTCTCTTACAAAGTGAAGAAAGGGGGGTAGTTTAGGGGTAAGGAATGGGGAAGTAAACCGTCATGTGTATAAAATATGAAACAGAAGTTATCAAAAGACATGTTTTTTTTCTCTGTTCTAATCAGGCAGTGAGGCAATAACTGGTGGGACATACCGCTCTGGGCCACTGCTGTCTGGGACTGAAACACTGGCATTGAACTGCAGGTGGAGGTGGAGGAGGAGGTGGAGGTTGTGGTGGTGGTTGTGGTGGAGGAGGTTGGCATTGGGCGGGGGTTTTCAATCACATTTAGGGGCACGGTTTATGGGCGGGGCCAACGTCAGTGGGTGGGGCATGTCGATCCAGTACATGGACAACGGAGAGGAAGGTTGGCCGAAAATAAAAGCAAAACAAAAAAAGTACAGGAGAAGGGGGGGGAAGAGGGGGAGAAGGAATACATTTTAATTGAATACAAGCTTTACTTTGTGTCCCAATAGTGAAAAACTGTGGTGAGTGAAGAAGGAACAGGAAGTGTGACACGATTGGACACGATTTAAACAACAGTTTGGAGATGTAAAGCCCTGAGACTCAGGCTTTGAGGAACCTTCCAGAGGAACTGGATCACAAGAGGACTGGGAACAAATGAGCCTGCTAGTCTTTATCATTAGAGCGGACATTATACTCACTTTCAGGTATATATCAGTATGTAGTGTCTCTACTTTAAAGAGTCCTCTCCTACTGATGTTCAGGTGTATATCAGTATGTAGTGTCTCTACTTTAAAGAGTCCTCTCCTGCTGATGTTCAGGTGTATATCAGTATGTAGTGTCTCTACTTTAAAGAGTCCTCTCCTGCTGATGTTCAGGTGTATATCAGTATGTAGTGTCTCTACTTTAAAGAGTCCTCTCCTGCTGATGTTCAGGTGTATATCAGTATGTAGTGTCTCTACTTTAAAGAGTGCTCTCCTGCTGATGTTCAGGTGTATATCAGTATGTAGTGTCTCTACTTTAAAGAGTGCTCTCCTGCTGATGTTCAGGTGTATATCAGTATGTAGTGTCTCTACTTTAAAGAGTCCTCTCCTGCTGATGTTCAGGTGTATATCAGTATGTAGTGTCTCTACTTTAAAGAGTCCTCTCCTGCTGATGTTCAGGTGTATATCAGTATGTAGTGTCTCTACTTTAAAGAGTCCTCTCCTGATGATGTTCAGGTGTATATCAGTATGTAGTGACTGCCTGTGCTGCAGCACCTCTTTTCACCCTCTGTCTGAAACCAGAGCCCAGTCTGCTCTGATTGGTTAGCTGGCCGGCTCTGTTGTGATTGGTCAACCGCTTAGAGATGTCCCGCCCCTTAGCCTATCACGTACAATGTGTTGGAGCGCTAGCCAATAGAAGCACAAGTGTTCCTTAGTGAAGTCACTTGTTCCGGAACTTTTTGGATGTCAGGCTTTGCAGACTATTGACATGTATAAAAACCTATAGAACACACTACAGGGAAGGGAAAACCCCAAAAAAGCATAATACGGCCTCGTTAAAAGGATTTTAGGTCTGGATTATATAAATGTAGCCTTCTAAATTTGCTCCTCAGCTGCAAAATATTTTTTCTGAATATCATCCGTTTACTCACGTCAGTGCGCAGGGCTTTTATGTTCTTGCCACCCTTTCCGATAACAGCACCAGCATTCTGTAGGTGAAAAGAAAGTGTTTTCAGATTGTGCAACACACACACACACACACACACACACACACACACACACACACACACACACACACACACACACACACACACACACACACACACACAACACACACACACACACACACACACACACACACACACACACACACACACACACACACACACACACACACACACACACACACACACACACACACACACACACACACACACACACACACACACACACACACACACACACACACACACACACACACACACACACACACACACACACACACACACACACACACACACACACACACACACACACACACACACACACACACACACACACACACACACACACACACACACACACACACACACACACACACACACACACACACACACACTTCTTAGAAAGAAAATCAGTCACAAATTGGGAAAAGGCAAAGAAAATGCAAATCAGTGCCTCTCTACTTTGATCATCGGAGGTAAACAGTCCAACACATACATATCCAAGTGTACATGTTAACGGTGTTTACTTTGCTCTGCAGAAGAACTCGCAGCTCCACCATCTCGTCTGCGTTGCGAGAACGTTTGAACACGTGCTCTTCCTCCATGTCGTCCGCTGGCCGTTTACCTGCGAGGGAACACAGCTCAGGTGAGTCTGTATCGAGGGTTTCATCATTAACAAACAGAGTAATACCTTCAACGACACTCTGTAGAGTTCGACCATTTCCAAATGTGGCACGGCAGGACGAAGAAATAGGGCTGCACAGTTTGGAGCAAATAGCTTATTCCGATTATTTTGAGACCGTTGTATATAGACTATTCTGCACTATTATATTCAATGTTATTGTATTTACTTGCACTGTTTTATTGTGTTGCACTGTTGGAGTGATATTTTCCTAACAGTGACCTCAGATTTTCAATGTCATATCTACACTGTAGCTATGTACACATGACAATAAAAGCCTTGAAACTTGAATTGCAATATGATTTAGGATTTTAGAGGGAATTACTACATCTGAAACATTTGTCACATTACCACTAATAAGTATTTTCTTAAAGAGAATCTGTACAATACAAGGATTTTTTTATTAAGTCTGCAGAATGCTGTTAGCAGGATGGGATTTCTCTGCAGCTCCAAGATATTTTCACACATTTTGCATTTACCAAATATCGCACCTACTGTGATATGAATATCGCACTAATTTATAAAAAAATATGTTGGTGACGTGTCTTTAAATATGAGATAAGATAAGAGGTATTCTATTGATCACAAATTGGGAAATGTTTGCATTACAGCGGCATTAAAAACAACAAACCAAAACAAGGCATTGCACATAAGTAGAAATTAAACAATACTAGAATTTAAACATCTCAAAATAGAATTAAAGCAGTATTCAATAAACAGTAGACCGTGAAGATAAAAAAAATCGATCAACTCGGACAATAAAACACTATTGATAAATATTTATATGGGATGCTCCGATCGCCAATTTTGGGGCCGATCGCCGGAATCAGTAACGGCCGATACCGATCGCCGATTCGATCGAGTGGGCGGGGCCTATGGGGATCTTCCATTTAAAGTGATGTTCAAAACTCAGTTAATGGGGCTCATTCACTGGCGCTTCCACAAACAACAACCTACATCATTATTACATTCAGATGAAGTACATTATTCAAGTTTACATTAACTTTGGATAATAACACGGGAGAAATGAGCGCTCTCTCCCCCTCTCTCTCCTCACAGCCCGTCTGTATCGTCTCATGCAGCTCACTGATCCAGTAATGAGTGACCCGACAGTGAAGAATAAATATATGTATAACTAGTTTAGCTTGTTCCAGAGGTAGATCAAATAGTGTGTAAGGTAAGTGTGTGTGTTGCTCCGCTCACCGGTCCGTCACATCGGGCGGAGCTGCAGGATGTCTGCTTCACACACACGTTGCATACCGCTATTTTACTGTCTTTTTCGGACACCTTAAAATACTGCCAGACTGGTGAAGCCATTTCGGCGAGCTTGTTTTGCCGCGCACAGAGAAAAGTGTCATGTATTTTACGTCATGTGATCGGCTCTCCTGATAGGCATTTATAGAGAGAATATCGGCTGATAGCGATCGGAGCATCCCTAATATTTATATATTAATGTCATTGTGTACTTGTATTTCTTCTTCTAACCTTTCTTGTATGTAATGATGTGTCTTTGTTGTTGTTAAATATATTTAAAATGTTTTAAAAGTTATCAAAATAAATGAAAATGGAGAGTTCTTGGTCTACAGTTTGTTCTGCCCAAACAATGGGTTTCATACGGGAGCCAACTCCATCCTGGAGTGTTAATAAATAATAACGAGCCAAATCCACTGAAGGGTTAATAGTGAGAAATCTCCCTCTTTGGCGTCTTAGTTATTTATTGTTATGATATATTTATGTCATTGTGTACTTGTATGACTTCTTCTCACCTTTCATGTATGTAATTATGTTTTGTTTTGCAGAAAGAACATTTAATAAAAAAATACGTAGGAAACAAATAAAGTTATCAAAATGAATGAACATGGAGAGTTCTAGGTCTACAGTTTGTTCTGCCCAAATAATGGGTTTCATATGGGAGCCAACTCCATCCTGGAACATGTCCGGCACCATGATGTCCGCTTCCTGGATGAAAAAGCGTGCAGATCAGATGAACAGCAGTGTCCTGGACAGGAGACACCCTCCACCATCTGACATGTCCACATGCTACGTAGCGGTAGCCAGGAATTCTCTTTTTGCCTCCTTTCAAATGGACTAATGATCAGGTGCTGTGTTCAAACCTGGATATATAACACCAGCTAAAGACACATCTTTTTAGATTAGCTTTTTATATTACTTAAATATTATTTTTAATACTTTATATGGATTTCAATGACTACTTTTTTTACGATGTTGTATTTTATTGTTGCCTGTGTTTAGTGTCCTGTCTGTCTGTAACTTTGTGTGGTAGTGTTACCACTGACAGGTCTCTCTTGCAAATGAGACCTTGTGTCTCAATGAGATTTTACACCTGTATAAATAAAGGCTAAATAAAATATTGTTTTATTTATCTTAAAGGTCCATGGCCATTTCTACTGATCATAATTCCATTGATAAGGTCTACTAGAATAGATTTATATTGTGCAATGTTCCAAACTCACATTGGTTTCTCATACAGCATCTCTGTATAGTATGTGTATTCACTCTCTGTCCTACACGGCTTGTTGGAGCTCCTGCCCCCCCCTCCCCCTGTGAGCCCAGTGTGCTCTGATTGGTCGGGACGTTGCGAGGCTCGCTGCCCAATGATCTGGCTTACTGGTGTGGTTTCCGGGTCGGCGATACAGCGGGAAACTCATCCTGAGCACACACAAACACTCACAGCCGAAGTAAACACAATAAGTGTGGCTTGATATTGAGTTAGAAAAAGGTTTATAACGCTGTGAGAATGCGTCTGCGGAGAGCATTTCTCCACCATCCCAACTCGTCTATTACCAGCGTTCAGGGAGCTCTATGCAAGTCAATGGGACTCCCTGTTAGTTGAAAATGTCCTGGTGTGTGAGGAGCTCCGCAGATTGGTCCATTTTGGTTCCGGGAACCGCATGACGAAGAAACAAATGGAAAAAGAGAAATCTCCAACGAGGCGTTCTGGGGCAGCATAGACAGGTCTTTTCTGTGTTAGAGTTTTACTCGCTACAGGGTGTACTTTGAGGGTTTGAGACTCTGCAGACCGTTTACATGCAGAACAACCTTCATAACACACAAGGGGACGGGTGATAACCAGAAAAGCATGACATGGGACCTTTAAAGGATTTTATCTTATTTTATTCATCTAACATGCTTCAATAGCAATACTTCTTTTTACGTTGGTCTTTTTTTTCTTAATCGTTTAACCTTCATTAGAATGATGGCATTTTTATTACTATTATCTTTTTCTTTCTGTTGTACCTATATGTTCACTTTGCTTTATGGGGTTTTACATTGTTGCATCGACTCAGTTGTCTTGTGTCTTATCTGTCGGAGAGAAACCATTATTTATTTATGTTATTATATTGTTATAATCATACCTTTTACCTCCGTGTGTCTATTAACATGATAAAATGTTATATTGTGCTGCATGTACCTGTAACGTTCTTAACGAGGGGAATTTCTTGTTTGTTTTTACATTACATGTCACTTGTTAGACGCTTTTATCCAAAGCGACTTACATACTCAATACTGTGGGCAATCCCCACAGGAGCAATTTGGGGTGAAGTGTCCCATGCTGACTGCAGTGGGGTTTGAACCTGTGCTCCCCTGATCCGAACACCTACGCACAACCCACTGCACCACACGCCTCCCGTTTTTAACTCGTGATGTGTCATTTTCTAAAGCACTTTGAGCTGCATGTGTTGTGTATGAAAAGTGCTGTTTAAATGATGGTCTATATGTGCTGGATCGTACCATTTGTGTCAGTGTTGCTGAATGAGTTGTCTTCCTCCTCTTCCATTTTCACCTCCATTTTCTCCATTGTTTGGCAGTGGAATGGAAACAGGCTCCTCTACCTGGATCTGCAACAACAACAACAACAACAAAATATATAATTGAAAAGAAAGGTGGTAAAAGCCAGGCTACATTTGAACACACACAGGCATAGACTTGTACTGTAATACATAAATAACAATAAGTCTCCAGCATGTTTTATATAAATAGTTGTGGTTTAGTTACAAATAAAAGGTATATTTTTTATCTGGTTGTCCGAAATCTAAAAGGTGATATGTCATGCAGGAAAAAACAAATTCAGTGCCAGTTCTTTCTAAAAATAGCTTCTAAATATAGCTTTTTAAGATGTTTTTTTTCCAAGAAGGATTATTTTAATGTCCTTGAAACCTTTTAATGGAAGTGTTTCCATTGCAGATTAACATTAAACATAGCATATCAGCGATATTGTGTATATCCCAATGGGGGGGGTCTAAGGACACAGGATGTAGTGTAATACTGCTCATGATAACTAACATTGGCTTTAGCTGAAATGCAAAGTATGCATGCTGCAGAATAAATGTTGTCCGTGTAGTTCAGTGTTAAAAACAGAAAGGATCTAGCAGTGAAAACTTTAAATATAGTCTCAAACTACCCTGCATGCATTCCTCCCACTTGCACTGCCCACTGTTACCAGTTTTACACAAAAATCAAAAGCCGGTTATACTTCTGCAAAAAAACCTCACTGTGCTGAGGCCTTGCTAAGTTATATAGAGAAGCTGTTTACCGCCTACACAGCTAAGGAATTAGCAGCATTTAACTAGCATGAGCCAAGCAAACACAGCTAGCAGATGTATCCGGGTTCACCACACAACACATATATTCATAGGTGCATTATTGCATAACAATTTATATGTAGGAAAGCTTATAAGGAGCATTTTACCGTTTTATCTCCACCTTAATCCAAAATACATACCAAAAATGTCTGCGCAAAAGGAGAATGTTACATTTTAGCTCATCGTATTCTAAATAGCATATATTTAACTTCCCCATCATTACGTGCATATCCGTCTTGCACTATTGTATTTCTATCCTGTTATTTATTGCACTATTTGTATTGTTTTATTAATATGTTTTATGTCTTATATGTATATATCAGGTTGCATTGTTGTAAGAGCTTGGGACTTAATATGTGCATTGCCATAAGTAAACTGTAGCTACTGTGCATATGACAGTAAAGCCTTTGAATTGAATTACCTGGAAGCAGAAGTTGACTTTGCTAAGCTAACAGCTAGCCAGTTGCTGTCTGCGAGGCGTGTCTGTCCACAAAAATGGCACAATTTAGCTCTCCTAGTGAAATGTCAGCGGTGAAATAAACCTATAAGAACCGTAACAAGCTAAAATGCAAACTGGCAAAAATGTTTAGTATGAAGGTAACAGCATTTAGTGTTTAGGAAAACAAACCTGCAGCCACGTTCACTGCGGAGCTCCTCGGCTTGCACGTTTTCAGCATGGAGTGTTTTCGACATTCACCCGGTGGGGTTTGTTAGATAATTGTATCAAGTCAGCACGGGCGGGCGGGGCTAACGCGGGTTACACTGAAAGAGAGGATTCCATGTACCCGCGAGGCAACGCCGAAAAGATATCAAGCGCTTCTCTCTGTAAACGGGTGTTTTTGCCCAAATTGAAAGCTCGCAGGCAGTGCTTTTTTCTCGACCCCGCCCCCTCAGGCAACCGCTGCGTTATTATAAGGTTTTTTTTACGCCCTGAGCATAGACTGTCAGGTTATGATAGATAGATATAGATAGATAGATATATAGATAGATAGATAGATAGATAGACAGATAGACAGATAGATAGATAGACAGATAGATAGATAGATAGATAGATAGATAGATAGATAGATAGATAGATAGATAGATAGATAGATAGATAGATAGATAGATAGATAGATAGATAGATAGATAGATAGATAGATGTCCCCTCCGTCCATTTCCTGGAGATCAGCATCATGACTAGTGCCAACACTTTTGGTAATTTGCAGTGATTTTAAACGGACCATAGCTGGCCGGCTCTGTTGTGATTGGTCAACCGGTGAGGGATGTCCCGCCCCTCAGCCTATCAAGTACAATGTGTTGGAGCGCTAGCCAATAGGAGCACGAGTGTTACACAGTGATGTCACTATGTTCAGGAAGTAAACAAAGGAGTCCAGTGGAGGAGTTACAGGGAGGGGGGGGGGGGCTTTAGCAGACCATTTACATGCACTAAAACCTATATAACACAGTAGGAAAGGCTACACATAAAAGAGCATAATAGGGCCTCTTTAAACCTCCTTTTCTCCCTCGTGGTGTTTTCATGCTCCTTCAGATATAGGCAGAGGATCTATTGCGAAATAAAGAGCTCTCTTCCCTCTGCTATACTCTGTGGTTACCATGGAGACAGATATAATTCAGTTCTTGATGTTTCTCATATAAAAAAAAAAGCCTGCGTACATATTTTCATCTGCAACCATAGCGACACTTGACATTGTCAGCGCTATTTGTAAAAAGCAAGTCACCATAGCGACACTAACCATCCCGGCTGTGTCATAGATCATGTGTTGGGGGTGGGGGGGATTTTAGGAATCCACCGGTAAACAGGATTTATTTCTTGCACTGTAACTCTCAAAGGAGTGAAAAATAATGGGTTTAAGATGTGTTATTTGGGGCATTAAAGGTAAAAGAAACACTGAATTTTGCAATGAATGTGTAATGTATGTATATGTTATTAATATGCACACATTGGGGATTGGACAACTACTTGCAGGGCAGCTTTTAATATTTGTGGGAAATTAAAATGTATTTAATAAGTCAGTGTTTAGTCAACTTCAATCTAATTAAACCTTAAAACATTGAAATAAAATGCATAATCATTTTAAATCCAGATTATTTTTCTTTCTGTGTTATTTGGGGCCTTAAAAGTACAAAAGAGTAAAGTACAGATGTTTTTTCTCATCTAATTCCTGTTCCCCACTCTGACCAGTGATTGGAGCCATTGGAAGCTCTCTGCACTCATAGTATAGGTAATTATTTTTCATAGATGCACCCCGTCTTGTGCGTCAACCGTACGTCACACTATAGGCCTTTAATGGCCAGCCGTACAACAGTGTTGCTGCTCTCCAGTGCATGGAGTTTAACATGCATGCTGCTGTTCATGCTGCACATCTGCACACAGCTGAGACTCCAGGAACACGCTTTCTGATGCATGTTAAAAAATTAAAAAATCTGCAAGAAATTCCTATAAATACAACTTGGTGGTGGAGGTGGGGGGGGGGGGGGGGGGGGGGGGAGAGATGTGCTCGTCCTCGGCTATAATCGATAGACGCATGCAGGTATAGCCTTCCTCCCTCACACACTCACTCACTCACACACACACACGCAGCATCCTCCTCTACTCCGCTGTGCACTATTTTTCCTCCCCATCACCGCCACACATATGAGAAATCGCTGGTGCTGGTGCTGGTAGTGGGTGGGGGGGGGCGCTGCCTATTGATCTCTAAACATCTGGAACACCTTCATATTTGTTTTACAAGGCAGAGGGACGGAGCACTTGACACCTTCGCTTCTCGATACAGCAGCTCTGCGGAAGGCCATCCATGGCATCTTGATATTAAAAACCGTGGGCTTTGCGCATTCCTCCCCGACATCTTTCCTGCTTCTTCTTCTCCTGCGGAAAGGATTAACTTGGCCACATAAAAGCGACGAGGAGAGGGAAGGAAGGGAAGGGAAATCTTGACAGTAATTCAGCCTTATTCTGTGTGTGTAACGGGGGGGATTCGTCCATCATTGGACCCACCGCAATGGACTCCAGCCAGTGTGGCACGGCTCGGCTCGGATTGTTTTTGGTTCTGATTTTTTTGGGTCTGTGCAGGAGATTTAGCGATGCCTGCCCCGCATCCTGCACCTGCACCATCACACGGATTGTTTGTATTGATCCTGAGCCGGGGATCGAGGATTTCCCTGTCCTCACGTTGGATGACATGGAAAACATCACGGAGATGTAAGTGTGTGTGTGTGTGTGTGTGTGTGTGTGTGTGTGTGTGTGTGTGTGTGTGTGTGTGTGTGTGTGTGTGTGTGTGTGTGTGTGTGTGTGAGGAAAAAAATCATCGTGCAGACACAAGTTGTTAGGATGCAATGCGTAAAAAATACCCAAGGGTTAGGGTTATGATCATAAAGGTATTAATAGGCCTTATATGCCCCCCCTCAGATCAATAAATGCCACATTTTTCTTCCTTATTACCAATGGGTTTGTCAGATCTTAGTATATGCATGCGTGTGTGTGTGTGCGTGTGTGTGTGTGTGTGGGGAGGGGGGGGGGTCGCGCTTGCATGGATAGTGAATGTGTGTGTTTGGATTAGTCTTGTTTTCTTTAGGTAGTGATGGAGTAAACGTTGAGGCCCTGCGCAGACACGTTGGGCGGCGCTGTGATATAACCAAACATTAGAATAATAAATATAGAATAAAAACGTAGAATAAATGACCACAATGTGGGCAGATTACATATGAGATCTCATATGGATGTGCGTCAGTGTGTTGCATGATTGGGGGAGAAAGGGGGGAGACTGGGTGAGTTTCTGAGGCAGACAGTGTCACTTTCCCATCATGCATGCAGTCTACTGAAGAACCATATTCACTTTGTTGGAGCAGAACACCTCTGCTACGCGCCGTTCGTTGGATGAGGCTGGATCTCTATTAAATTAAGAAAGGAATTGAAAACACCGGAATCAAAGTTATAACAAATTATCTGAGTTTACTTCTAGTAGGAAACCAAACACATATACAAGTTATACAGAGTACTCGAGTACTCCGGGCTTCAGGCTTGTGACGCGGTTTACAGATAGACAGACCAGCCTTCAGGAAACGAGAAGTACAAACTTCAAGTTTGGGATGCGGTTTACACGTCTCTAGACCTGCCTTCAGCAAACAAGAAGCATTTTTACATACAAAACCAACCGTATACATATCCCTATTTTGGGGCGGAGATGTGTTGAATTGTTCCTTCCCATTTTCCTCCCAAGCGAATTAGAGAACCCCTGGGGAGGAGCTGTGTAAGCTGACCACCTCCCCCAAGTGTCCTGACTGGCTGGATTCGCTTCTGGTGAGGTCAATAGTTCTCACCAGGACTTGAAATTCCCCTAAGGTCAAAAGTCAATTCTTATCTCCGTCCCGATCTTAACTCCATTCCTTTTCCATGAGAGTTTTTACATAAACTATCCTATTTCAGACATTTAAACTTTCCTTCACCTATTTAACGATGTCTTTAATGACTTAATGACCGCATCTGGCTTTTATGGACGATAAGAAGGATGTTGGTGTGTTGAAACACAGAATCTCTGGATCAGTGAGTTTGAAAGTAAGAATAACATTCCTATTCTAAATGACTTATCAAAACCCGTTTGTGATTACCTAAAACAGTTCAAACAATACATGTTTACTTCAATACAGTGTAGAATCATATCTTTTTACTTCAACTTCTCATAACTGGACTAAGAAAGAATATTTTACAACATTAACTCGATCTTTAAAGAGGTTGAATAGTGTTTCAAGTGATCATGAATTTAATGTATGGATTTTATGGCCTAATGATTCTCTAATACAATTATACTACTACAGTATTTTGTATACCTGGTTTTATTTTATTGACTTTTATTTAATTGAAATGTCTCATGTATCCAGGTCATGACAGCGCAAATTGCAAAACTTTCATAATATATGTATGTATTTGTTCCTATACTTATCAGAGGTATATCTTAAAAGAGTTTGAGTAAAACACAATAAATCGAATTTGAAGTAATCATGAATTTAATTTAATGTTATACTTTAAAATGTGCCCAGGTCAATAGCAAAGAAAGTATACAATATTTGTGGGATTTCTTATTAAATAGTATGCACAACAAGTAGTATTTCAAGTGATATATACACAGCATATTTCTGATGTAAACAACCTTTCGCATGCCGGAAAAAAACCACTTTGATTACCTTTAAAAAACATTTTTACTGCACGTTGTTTATAAATATTTGTTGGTGTGGAGACAATTTTGTTTGCCTTTAACACGGCTGCAATATATTACAAGTTCAAGTATCTAAAACTACCTTAAGATTCTGCTTCAGGAGACTTGTATATATTCCAAAGTACAAATAGGGACACAGGATATTTTATTGTTATAGTTAGATTTGCAAAAAGATGCAGCTTCGTGATTTTCTCACCAAAGCTGCACATTTACCAGAGGTGGGAGGAGTACTGATATCCTGTACTCAAGTAAAAGTAGAAGTACTCAGATCTTGTACTCGAGTAAAAGTAGAAGTACTCAGATCTTGTACTTGAGTAAAAGTAGAAGGACTCAGATCTTGTACTTGAGTAAAAGTAGAAATACTCAGATCTTGTACTTGAGTAAAAGTAGAAATACTCAGATCTTGTACTTGAGTAAAAGTAGAAGTACTCAGATCTTGTACTTGAGTAAAAGTAGAAGTACTCAGATCTTGTACTTGAGTAAAAGTAGAAGTACTCAGATCTTGTACTTGAGTAAAAGTAGAAATACTCAGATCTTGTACTTGAGTAAAAGTAGAAGTACTCAGATCTTGTACTTGAGTAAAAGTAGAAGTACTCAGATCTTGTACTCGAGTAAAAGTAGAAGTACTCAGATCTTGTACTTGAGTAAAAGTAGAAATACTCAGATCTTGTACTTGAGTAAAAGTAGAAGTACTCAGATCTTGTACTTGAGTAAAAGTAGAAGTACTCAGATCTTGTACTTGAGTAAAAGTAGAAATACTCAGATCTTGTACTTGAGTAAAAGTAGAAGTACTCAGATCTTGTACTTGAGTAAAAGTAGAAGTACTCAGATCTTGTACTTGAGTAAAAGTACTCAGTAGTCTAGCAAAATGCTCTATCATGACCTGGACAAATTAGTAAAATAGTTTAGCATTAAAATACATTTAAAAAAAGGAAATGATCACTGAAATACTTTCCGTGGATTGCTCAAACTCTTGTAATGATATACCTCACTTTTTTTTTTAGATGAAAATAAAATTCTGCGTTATAATAACTCTATTTTATACATATTTTACCCCCTCATGGCCTGGACACATTTGTAAAGTAACTTAACCTATGGTAAACAAAATGCTGCTACACTACTTATTAGATATACACTTTAAAGGGCTGTCATTTTACAAAAGAAATGTGGAAAAGGGGCAGTTGTTGCATCATGAGAACCAAAAAAAGCAGCTATATATGATCTTAAACCTAAATAACACGAACAATATCAGCAACAGTGTCTCTCACTTAACAAGCGAACAGTGTGCAAATACATGCTGTTGTTTTATATTGACAATCAATGCTGAAGAGATTCCCTTCAGTACAGAAATACGACAGCAGTGTATATATCACATTTAGCTGGCTATGTATACATCATTACAACATTTTTTTAAACATGGCATGGATCTAGTTTTTAAAGTACAAAAACTATTATCTTGTCTCCTACTGCTATTGGAGAATATATGCATCAAATAAAGTGTGTACATGTGATATCAGATGTTCTCCTTCTGTTTCGCAGATACATAACGAATCAGAACAGGCTGTTTGAGATCACAGACAACAGTCTGCGGCACTACATACACCTCAGAAACCTGTAAGTACCTCATCATGACTTTTACAAAGACTTTTGGTATGTTTGAAGCTGTATTTAAACGGCTAACTCAACATCTTATCTTCCCACAGAACAGTGATGGGGACCAGATTGACGTCCATATCATCAGATGCATTTTACAACAACACAAGACTTGAATATGTGTAAGAAGCATTTTAAAGAGGCCCATTTCTGCTTTTAGGTTTTTTCCTTTGCTGTAGTGTGCATAGGGTTTTTTGTGCATGTAAATGGTCTGTAAAGGCAAAAATCCCAAAGTCCCTGGACATAGTGACATCACGATGTAACACTCAGACTTCTCTTGGCTATTGGAGACACTACATACTGACATACACCTGAACATCAGCAGGAGAGGACTCTTTAAAGTAGAGACACTACATACTGATATACACCTGAACATCAGCAGGAGAGGACTCTTTAAAGTAGAGACACTACATACTGATATACACCTGAACATCAGCAGGAGAGGACTCTTTAAAGTAGAGACACTACATACTGATATACACCTGAACATCAGCAGGAGAGGACTCTTTAAAGTAGAGACACTACATACTGATATACACCTGAACATCAGCAGGAGAGGACTCTTTAAAGTAGAGACACTACATACTGATATACACCTGAACATCAGCAGGAGAGGACTCTTTAAAGTAGAGACACTACATACTGACATACACCTGAACATCAGCAGGAGAGGACTCTTTAAAGTAGAGACACTACATACTGACATACACCTGAACATCAGCAGGAGAGGACTCTTTAAAGTAGAGACACTACATACTGATATACACCTGAACATCAGCAGGAGAGGACTCTTTAAAGTAGAGACACTCCATACTGATATACACCTGAACATCAGCAGGAGAGGACTCTTTAAAGTAGAGACACTACATACTGATATACACCTGAACATCAGCAGGAGAGGACTCTTTAAAGTAGAGACACTACATACTGATATACACCTGAACATCAGCAGGAGAGGACTCTTTAAAGTAGAGACACTACATACTGATATACACCTGAAAATCAGCAGGAGAGGACTCTTTAAAGTAGAGACACTACATACTGATATACACCTGAACATCAGCAGGAGAGGACTCTTTAAAGTAGAGACACTACATACTGATATACACCTGAACATCAGCAGGAGAGGACTCTTTAAAGTAGAGACACTACATACTGATATACACCTGAACATCAGCAGGAGAGGACTCTTTAAAGTAGAGACACTACATACTGATATACACCTGAACATCAGCAGGAGAGGACTCTTTAAAGTAGAGACACTACATACTGATATACACCTGAACATCATCAGGAGAGGACTCTTTAAAGTAGAGACACTACATACTGATATACACCTGAACATCAGCAGGAGAGGACTCTTTAAAGTAGAGACACTACATACTGATATACACCTGAACATCAGCAGGAGAGGACTCTTTAAAGTAGAGATACTACATACTGATATACACCTGAACATCATCATGAGAGGACTCTTTAAAGTAGAGACACTACATACTGATATACACCTGAACATCAGCAGGAGAGGACTCTTTAAAGTAGAGACACTACATACTGATATACACCTGAACATCAGCAGGAGCTTTGTTTGGATTTTAATTGTTGTTGTTTCTTCTTCCAGAAATCTCAGAGACAATAACCTGTCGACATTGTCATGGAGAACATTTCAGAACTTTAACATATCAGTACCGTAAGTGTCTCTTTTTTCTCTGTGTGTGTGTGCAGAAACTTTCAGAGTCTCTTTACACAGAGGGGACACATGTTGATGTAGAAGAGACATGAAGAAGAGGGGACACATGTTGATGTAGAAGAGACATGAAGGAGAGGGGACACATGTTGATGTAGAAGAGACATGAAGAAGAGGGGACACATGTTGATGTAGAAGAGACATTGAAGAAGAGGGGACACATGTTGATGTAGAAGAGACATGAAGAAGAGGGGACACATGTTGATGTTGAAGAGACATGAAGAAGAGGGGACACATGTTGATGTAGAAGAGACATGAAGAAGAGGGGACACATGTTGATGTAGAAGAGACATGAGGAAGAGGGGACACATGTTGATGTAGAAGAGACATGAAGAAGAGGGGACACATGTTGATGTAGAAGAGACATAAGGAAGAGGGGACACATGTTGATGTAGAAGAGACATGAGGAAGAGGGGACACATGTTGATGTAGAAGAGACATGAAGAAGAGGGGACACATGTTGATGTAGAAGAGACATGAAGAAGAGGGGACACATGTTGATGTAGAAGAGACATGAAGAAGAGGGGACACATGTTGATGTAGAAGAGACATGAGGAAGAGGGGACACATGTTGATGTAGAAGAGACATGAGGAAGAGGGGACACATGTTGATGTAGAAGAGACATGAAGAAGAGGGGACACATGTTGATGTAGAAGAGACATGAAGAAGAGGGGACACATGTTGATGTAGAAGAGACATGAAGAAGAGGGGACACATGTTGATGTAGAAGAGACATGAAAAAGTGGATTTTGCATAATAGGTCCCCTTTAATATTCATTCCCCAGCATCCTGCTGTCCGGTAACCCTCTGGATTGTGTTTGTGAGAACTTGTGGATCAAGATGAGGATCCTGGAGGACAGCGAGGGTCCGGATCCGGAGTGCATGGACGAGCGAGGAGTCACGCAGGAGTTCGCCACTCTCACTCCTCCAGACTGTGGTAACGTGACACTGAGTTTATAAAAAGCTCATATTGACCGTTCAGAGAGCTGATCGCTGCATGCAAATAAATCCGGAAACAAATCCATGTAAAGCTCTGGTTGCATGTTCCTTTTTCTTATTGACTCTCCATGTTTCCTGTCCATAAGTCTTCCTCCTGTGAAGCTCCTCCACACACTCCTCCTGAAGATAAGATCAGATAAATACTTTATTGATCCCAAATTGGGAAATGTTTACGTTGCAGCAGCATAAAAGACATGGCATTGTACAATACAAATTAAAAAGACTAGAAATACACAAAAAATAAGAAAATATACATGTTGAATTTGCAAATTAACAATAACAAAAACAAAATATGAAGCAAGTTATTATATATACATAAGTATGTGAGGGATGGAATATTAAACTGAATATATAAATGTAGACAGTGTCTTCTCTCACCCAGTGGTGTAAAGTACCTCATTTACTTGAAGTACTGTACAATTTTGGGGTACTTGTACTTTACTTGAGAATTTAAATGTGTGGCTCCTTCTACTCCACTACAATTCAAAGGTACATGGTGTACTTTTACTCCACTACATGTATTTAATACCTTTAGTTACTTTACATATCTGGATGAATGATGTGAAATATAATCAAGCCTTAAATCAAACTTTAGTTCAAAGTCATTCAAACTAGCTGCACCTTTACCAGCTTTGAGAACACTTTCATGATCAATCATTATAAAACATATCATATATATTATTCTGAAATGGACCAATCTGCACAATGACTACTTTTACTGTCGCTACTTTAACTATATTTTGATGATAATACTTTTCTACTTTCACTTGAGGAACATTTTGAATGCAGGACTTTTACTGTAACAGAGTATTCCTACACTCTGGTACTTCTACTTTTACTCAAGTACAAGATCTGAGTACTTCTACTTTTACTCAAGTACAAGATCTGAGTACTTCTGCTTTTACTCAAGTACAATATCTGAGTACTTCTACTTTTACTCAAGTACAAGATCTGAGTACTTCTACTTTTACTCAAGTACAGGATCTGAATACTTCTACTTTTACTCAAGTACAAAATCTGAGTACTTATACTTTTACTCAAGTACAAGATCTGAGTACTTCTGCTTTTACTCAAGTACAAGATCTGAGTACTTCTACTTTTACTCAAGTACAGGATCTGAATACTTCTACTTTTACTCAAGTACAAAATCTGAGTACTTCTACTTTTACTCAAGTACAAGATCTGAGTACTTCTACTTTTACTCAAGTACAAGATCTGAGTACTTCTCCTTTTACTCAAGTACAAAATCTGAGTACTTCTACTTTTACTCAAGTACAAAATCTGAGTACTTCTACTTTAACTCAAGTACAAGATCTGAGTACTTCTACTTTAACTCAAGTACAAGATCTGAGTACTTCTACTTTAACTCAAGTACAAGATCTGAGTACTCCTACCTTTACTCAAGTACTCCTCCCACCTCTGCTCTCCCCTGACCTTCCTCTCTGATACATACAGTAGATGTTGCTACTTCCTGCTGGCTTGTACTCCTGACGAGGATATAAAAAGCTCATATTGACCGTTGGGAGAGCTGATCGCTGCATGCAAATAAATCCATGTGAAGCTCTGGTTGCATGTCTAATGTTGCTCCTTTTCCTTGCAGTGGTTCCTTTAGTAGAGGTCAACCCAAAGTCAGTGACGGAGATGCAGGGGAGCAACGTGCGGGCGGTGTGCAGCGCCTCGGGTTCTCCAGCTCCGGAGATCACGTGGAACCTCGACTTGTTCTCTACACACCACGAGGTGAGGCCAAAACACACATTACTTCCTGTTTATTATGCTTATTTACCTTTCCTGTAGTGTGTTAGGCTTTTGTGCATGTAAACCACATGTGTCAAACTCAAGGCTCGGGGGCCAAATCAGGCCCTTGGTGGATTTAATTTCGGCCCGCAGGATAATTTGTAATTACTAATAGATCTGGCCCGCCGGTATATTGCACGCACACCTTCACTCCATCCTGAGGGTCTCCTCAGCTCAGAGCCTGACCCCAAACATTGATGAACTTGCACCCAAGATGAGATGCCAAGTTTCTGGCTTGAGCTAGCATCACAGAGCAGCACACTGAGTTTACATGGATGTTTCCTTCTGCACTTGTTTTCTTGAGACAACAGGGCATGTTTGGTTTTCTCTTTGAGGGAAATAGTTTTTTTGAAGCTGTTGTTGGCCTGTGGAGAAATGTAATGATAAGAAATGACTCTGGAAAAGCTGCAGATAGAGCCATAAGAAATGAATGCAACTGATTATTTAATGTTTAATGTTGTTTTTATAGGCAATCATTTAAAGTGGACCTATCATGCTATATTTGAATAATATAGCTTAGGACCATATAAGGCATATTTATACTTTTTTTTTTTCAAAATACCAAACAGATCATGCATTTTAGCCATGCCTCATTTTGCTCAATTTGACATTTTTTAGCCCTGTTTTAGCAAGGGCAGATTCAGTGAGAACAGCACCATCTACAGGCCTGGCATATGTACTACAGCGTCTCCAGCGCTTTCGAACGGCAATGGCCGTGGCTGTCTCCTCCTGATTGGTGGAGTTGGCCCAATAGCCGTAGCGCCACCGTCCTGACGTCAGGACAGTGTTCAAATCTGGATCAGTTTTTATCAGATCCGTTGCAGCCCCTTTTTTAGAGATTTGGGTATGGAGGAAAATAGAGAGGGTTGTGTTTTCTGACACTTGGTGAGTTCCCTGGAACACCGGGGACACATATTCATGTATAAAAGACGTACAAAAGTGCATTTTGCATGATAGGTCCCCTTTAAGTTTTGTTAGTTCCAGGTTTAATATGTGCAATAAGTTCATTTCAATACGTTTTGCAATAAACATTGAACCAGTCCGGCCCTCGACTAGTACCCATTTTCTTATTTTGACCCACAGTATATTTGAGTTTGACACCCCTGATGTAAATGGTCTGCAAAGGCTAAAATCCCTAAGCGGTTGACCAATCACAACAGAGCCGGCCAGCTAACCAATCAGAGCAGACTGGACTCTGGTTTCAGACAGAGGGTGAAAAGAGGTGCTGCAGCACAGGCAGTATGAGAAAAATAAAGAGCTTTTTGAACATTAAAGCTTGGAGACATGTCACAGTAGAGACACAAAATATAAATACAAAACCTGAAAATGAGCGTAATGGGGCTCCTTTAAGGAAATGTTTCCGCAATTCAGTGATTTAGACTATAACGTGTAGCAGGAATGAGCGTCACATGCCGGAATTCATTCAGATTGTTGGCATTTTATTTCCCTGGTTTCAAAGTCAATGTTTTATTTGAGTGGTGTTGTATTTGCAGACTGACATACAGTAAGAGCTTTGGTTCAAACATCACTAAACGATTTCAATGGTTTTGTTTTTTGTCAGTAAACACCCCCATCTTGGGAATGTTGAGACCTTTTTAAACATTGAAGCATGTAAACAACATCTTCCGTCACCCTGTCGATGTTGTTTCTTCATGAATGACTGCCTCACTGCACATTATCCTGCTTACACAGCTCCATACTGAAAGATCATCAATATTGAAAATGATCCTTATTGCTTCCGCTAAGAAAGAAAATGGTCCGTCGTGTTTGCTTCCTGTCTGTCTTCTTCTGCTGTTCCCTTTAGTGTTTACTTCCTGTCTGTCTTCTTCTGCTGTTCCCTTTAGTGTTTACTTCTGGTCTGTCTTCTTCTGCTGTTCCCTTTAGTGTTTACTTCCTGTCTTCTTCTGCTGTTCCCTTTAGTGTTTACTTCGTGTCTGTCTGTCTTCTTCTGCTGTTCCCTTTAGTGTTTACTTATTGTCTGTCTTCTTCTGCTGTTGTTCCCTTTAGTGTTTACTTCTGGTCTGTCTTCTTCTGCTGTTGTTCCCTTTAGTGTTTACTTCCTGTCTTCTTCTGCTGTTCCCGTTATTGTTTACTTCCTGTCTGTCTTCTGCTGCTGTTCCCTTTAGTGTTTACTTCTTGTCTGTCTTCTTCTGCTGTTGTTCCCTTTAGTGTTTACTTCCTGTCTGTCTTCTGCTGCTGTTCCCTTTAGTGTTTACTTCCTGTCTATCTTCTTCTATTGATGTATCTGACATCCAACGCTCTGTCTTTTAACCCCTTTCCTTCAATCCCTTGATCCTCCTCAATAACGGTTATGCTTAGCAGCCGTGTGTTATCGATTAATAACAACCTCTGGGTTCCCTCGACAAAAAGCAATGGGATTTCTCCATAGGATTTTGGAATATTGTAAAAAATAAGATCTGTGGAAAAGGAACCTGTTAGCAAAATGCTAACGTTATGTTATAAAGGAACTACAGCCGAGTCCAGCAGCACGACTTCAACGTCACGCCAACTTAAGATCCATATTCAAACACACAGATTCTAAATGGTACGAGTTGAAGCGTTTGTTTGAACAGTTTGCAGGAGGCAGGTACTTGCTTTCAAGCAGAACAGGGCTAACAAACTTAGCGGGAGTGTTTACGTGTTCGGTGTAATGACGTACAACGACCTCCACAACTTCTGTAGTCCTATTCAGCCACTTGGTAACAACCATCGTTTTTCAGACACGTCAACTCTTCAGAAATCCCCAGTGGGGTCACTGCTGATGGATTTCATGTCGTAGAACAAAACGTGACCCGTCTCTTCAATGTGTCTCAACCACAGACCTTATTTCCAGCTATTTTCCAAAAAACATGTTCGCTAAACCCATTGGCTCTGAGACGAGGGAACCGGAAGTGGTAAAATGCTAACTCACTTCCAGGTTTTAGGACTCGTTCCTGCACCACTCTATAACGTATAATATTACATGCATACTGCGTGGCGTGTAATAAATATAATACTGCTGTGTTTACAGATTGATCCCTCGGATACGAAGAGTATCCTCACCTTGACTGATTTGTCTCCTGATGATCACGGGAAGCTGATCATCTGCAGCGCTGAGAACATGGTCGGTCAGGGAGAGGCCACGCTGCTGCTCAACATCCTCTGTAAGCGCTTTTCTCCTAGTATCCACTGTAACTGTGAGAGACTGTAAGATAAGATAAGAAGGACCTTTATTGAGCGTCGTAGGGAAATTCAGGTGAAATAGCAGCAACAGAAAAAGGGAGGAACACAGGTAGTACACATGAGAATAAACACAGGGATACTAAGAGTAAGTTGACCTACAGCTCAGTTATTGAAACTAAAGTAACCCTCCCAACCCTGAGCATGCATGTGTTGTTATTTTCTATCTGCAAGTTTATTGTCTCTAATTTCCCCTCATGATTTTACAAATGCTTGCTTCTAAACCTTGTTTTGTTTCCAGTGGAAGCACAAGGCTCCTGCTCACTTTGTTATCATTACTGTCTCTGGGCAAATCTTATTGACTCTCCATGTTTCCTGTCCATAACTCTTCCTCCTGTGAAGCTCCTCCACACACTCCTCTGCTTGTTTAGTGCCACGTTTATCCTCCTGAAGTCACTGTGTACTCTCCCCAGCACATGGATACTAAGTACATGTACTCAAGTTCTGTACTTAAGTACCATTTTGAGGTACTTTACTTGAGTATGTCCATGTTATGCTACTTTGTACTTCTACTCCACTTCAGTTCAGAGGTACATGGTGTACTTTTCCTCCACTACATGTATTTAATACCTTTAGTTACTTCACAGATGTGGATGAATGATGAGAAATCTAATCAAGTGTTAAATCAGACTTTAGTTCCACCTGGAGTAAATCCACAAGCTACCCTGCAGTATACAAAGTCATTCAAACTAGCTGCACCTTTACCAGCTTTGAGAACACTTTCATGATCAATCATTATAAAACATATCATATATATTATTCTGAAATGGACCAATCTGCACAGTGACTACTTTTACTGTCGCTACTTTCACTATATTTTGATGATAATACTTTTCTACTTTTACTTGAGGAACATTTTGAATGCAGGACTTTTACTGAAACAGAGTATTCCTACACTCTGGTACTTCTACTTTCACTCAAGTACAAGATCTGAGTACTTCTACTTTTACTCAAGTGCAAGATCTGAATACTTCTACTTTTACTCAAGTACCAGATCTGAGTACTTCTACTTTTACTCAAGGACAAGATCTGAGTACTTCTACTTTACTCAAGTACAAGATCTGAGTACTTCTACTTTCACTCAAGTACAAGATCTGAGTACTTCTACTTTACTCAAGTACAAGATCTGAGTACTTCTACTTTTACTCAAGTACAAGATCTTAGTACTTCTACTTTCACTCAAGAACAAGATCTGAGTACTTCTACTTTTTCTAAAGCACAAGATCTGAGTACTTTTTACTCAACCCTCCTTTCATGTTCGTTTCTCCACCTCATTACTTTGGTGTTCCTGGTCAAATGTATTTAACTCCCTTGTCAGCTGTAAACAATGTTTCGGACTACTGGTTTACATTAATTATGTTCAAAGGCCTACTGTGGAGGCAATCAAATGTCAATCACAATATTTAAATAAATCGGTCAAATGTAAGCACAAGATGTGAGCACTTCGACCACCTGTGCTCTCCTCTAAGGATCCTCTCTAAACTCATAGATGTAGCTTCTTCCTGATTTTACTCCTGCTGTTGATGTCCTGTCTCCTTCCCTGGTATCACTATTCCTCTTCCTCTCCCTTCCTCTGATCACTCTTCCTCTCCCTTCCTCTGTCAGTCGCCCCCACCATCGTGCAGCTGCTGGTGCCGGAGCGGGACCACCACTGGTGCATCCCCTTCAGCGTGACCGGGAACCCAAAGCCCGACCTGCAGTGGTACCACGACAACGTGGCGCTGCAGGAGCAGGACCACATCCGCACCATGATCCACCTGGAGACGGAGAGCGAGTTCCACGGCTGCCTGCAGCTGGTCGACCCCACGCACATCCACAACGGCATGTACCGCCTGGTGGCCAAGAACAAGTACGGTCGCGACGAGAAGAAGATCTTGGCCTCGTTCATCGAACCGCCAGACTTCGGCCCGGGTGTGTTATTGATAGTGCTGGAAAGTAGCGGTTCTAGACCGATTTGCCTGGGGGGGCAGTTATTTCATGAGAGGGGCACAATGCAAGCTGGTTAAAAAGACAAAGACAGTATACAGTAATTGGTATTTGTTTTTGTAAAGTTATTTGTTTTAGTCAATTTAAGTTACAGTCCTTTGTTTCAGTATTTCTTTTAAGTTAGAGTATTTGTTTTAGAAACTTTAAGTGACAATTTAATAAAAATGTGTATATAAGGTAATGAACAGTTTAATCTCCTCTGTACATCCAGGTCTCTGATCTGATTTAGTTCCAATAAATCGTAATATTGTAACCTTTGTTTGGAGGGGGGCCACAGGGGGGGTCCTGGTCAGAGTTACGGGGGGAACTGCCCCCCCCCCCCCCCCCTAGGTGGAAAGTACAAATGTAAATAAAAACATCATAGCATAAAAATTATAAAAACATTATACCTTAACATAAGGATTGCCGTGTGTGTGTGTGTGTGTGTGTGTGTGTGTGTGTGTGTGTGTGTGTGTGTGTGTGTGTGTGTGTGTGTGTGTGTGTGTGTGTGTGCTAATACTTTTGTACTTGTACTTCTTCCACTGCTGGTTATTCATACATTTAGTAAGAAGTTTGCACAATTCTGTTTTAAAGTCCACTGCTAATGCACATTTTTGTTTCTTTTCAGCAGAGGATATCGGTAAGTACTGATTCCACTTCATTTTACAAACAATACTGGTGACGCTCGTTAGGAAGCCAATGTCTACAGTTTTTAATTATTTATTGTTTTTATTGTTCTGTCTTTTTATTTTGTAAAGAACAGTTTAATCTCCTCTGTACATCCAGGTCTCTGATTTGATTTAGTTCTAATAAATCGTAATATTGTAACGTGTTTTTGGAGGGTGGCCACAGGGGGGGTCCTGGTCAGTGTTACGGTGTGTGTGTGTGTGTGTGTGTGTGTGTGTGTGGTGTGTGTGTGTGTGTCTGTGTGTCTCTCTGTGTGTGTGTGTGTGTGTGTGTGTGTGTGTGTATGTGTGTGTGTGTGTGTGTGTATGTGTGTGTGTGTGTGTGTGTGTGTGTGTGTGTGTGTGTGTGTGTGTGTGTGTTTGTGTGTGTGTGTGCATCTGTGTGTGTGTGTGTGTGTGTGTGTGTGTGTGTGTGTGTGTGTGTGTGTGTGTGTGTGTGTGTGTGTGTGTGTGTGTGTATCTGTGCGCGTGTCTGTGTTTTTTATTCATACATTTAGTTAGAAATTTGCACAATTCTGTTTTAAAGTCCACTGCTAATGCACATTTTTGTTTCTTTTCAGCAGATGATATCGGTAAGTACTGATTCCACTTCATTTTTACAAACAATACTGGTGACGCTCGTTAGGAAGCCAATGTCTACAGTTTTTAATTATTTTTTGTTTTTTATTGTTCTGTCTTTTTATTTTGTATTGAAGTATTCCAGTAATGTATGTTGCATGTTTTTATTTGATTGTATTTACTTGTTTAAAATGAAATGTGTCTTTAGGTTGACTTACAACATCTGTCCAGGGACTACAGATGAAAAATTGTCTCTTGGCTAACTGGCACATTTACAGAAATGTTAATTAATGTGCACTGTCCCTGTTAAATAAATGAATAATGAAATGAATAAATACAGAGTAGTGTCGTGATGACGTGTTAGGACATTTGTTAGGAAGTTAGTTCCAAAAAGCAATGGGATTTTTCCATTTGGTTTTGGATTATTCCAAAACGCTGTGTAGACAATGGCGTCATATAAAGCTTTTATTTGAATGATGTCTGTAGTTAAAATGAACCTTTTCATGATCTGTCCGTCCTCCTGTCTCTCTGTCTTTCTCCTGCTTTGACCCAGACATGACTGGTAGGTTCTTGTACTTAAAAATTAAAATGTTATTGTTTAATCCCTGTACTCTAAAATATACTGTTTGTTGTATTATTTTCACTGTCATTAATACTATTTTTGTTCATTTTTATTCATATTTTTGTAAATAACTTCGGAAATATTTACAGATAAAGTTATTATTTTAACATTTTCTGACAAACATTGTAAAAAATCTTGTTATTATTTATTTGTTTGCACCTATTATTTAGTATTAATTCAATCATTTCATTTTATGTGTTATTAATATTACAGTAATACTTGTTATATCATATTTTCATTTTTGTAACACTATTTGAAAAATCTGCAATGTGTACTGGCATTATTTAGATATATTGAATTCTACAACCGATATTTAAGAATACAAATACAAATATTCTGACAAGCATTTCATTTTTCCAGACCCTCAGCTTCCCCCGCTGGACGACAGTGTTGCAGTAAGTCACCATTTATGTTTAAATAATTTTTCAGGGAGATTATATTATAATTTGTGAGAAAAATAATAACAAATGACAGGTTAGTGTGAGAAAAATATAGATATTTTTGATGCAACTTAAATATTATTTTCTTGCATTCCTGTCATGTAAATAATCTCAGAACTCCTCAAATTAAGTGGGGATCCTGACCCCACTGAAATAAAAGAATACCAGAGGTTTTTGTTCTTAATTATGTTTTAAAATTATCATTTTTTTGTGTTTTCAGGTTTATGTAGTGGTGGGAATCGCAGGAGTTGCTTTGACTGGCTGCGTTCTGATGGTGATCATTCTGAAATATGGAAGAAACTCCAAGTTTGGCATCAAAGGTGAACTACTTTTCATATCCTGCTGATGTTCAGGTGTATATCAGTATGTAGTGTCTCTACTTTAAAGAGTCCTCTCCTGCTGATGTTCAGGTGTATATCAGTATGTAGTGTCTCTACTTTAAAGAGTCCTCTCCTGCTGATGTTCAGGTGTATATCAGTATGTAGTGTCTCTACTTTAAAGAGTCCTCTCCTGCTGATGTTCAGGTGTATATCAGTATGTAGTGTCTCTACTTTAAAGAGTCCTCTCCTGCTGATGTTCAGGTGTATATCAGTATGTAGTGTCTCTACTTTAAAGAGTCCTCTCCTGCTGATGTTCAGGTGTATATCAGTATGTAGTGTCTCTACTTTAAAGAGTCCTCTCCTGCTGATGTTCAGGTGTATATCAGTATGTAGTGTCTCTACTTTAAAGAGTCCTCTCCTGCTGATGTTCAGGTGTATATCAGTATGTAGTGTCTCTACTTTAAAGAGTCCTCTCCTGCTGATGTTCAGGTGTATATCAGTATGTAGTGTCTCTACTTTAAAGAGTCCTCTCCTGCTGATGTTCAGGTGTATATCAGTATGTAGTGTCTCTACTTTAAAGAGTCCTCACCTGCTGATGTTCAGGTGTATATCAGTATGGAGTGTCTCTACTTTAAAGAGTCCTCTCCTGCTGATGTTCAGGTGTATATCAGTATGGAGTGTCTCTACTTTAAAGAGTCCTCTCCTGCTGATGTTCAGGTGTATATCAGTATGTGGCGTCTCTATTCTGATTCTGATTGCGATAACAACGTCTGCTTTTGATTTTCTGATATCTTTCTTACATCAACTCACCAGTGTTTTTCCTTCTCCTCCTCCCCAGGCTCCTCCTCGGTCATCAGTAACGACGATGACTCCGCCAGCCCTCTTCATCACGTATCCAACGGCAACAACACCCCTTCGTCCTCGGAGATGGGTCCGGACGCCGTGATCATCGGCATGACAAAGATTCCCGTCATCGAGAATCCGCAATACTTCCGCAACTCGGGCAGCATGCTGAAATCTGACACCTGTGAGTTACTGTAACCCGGCACCTTTTCAGATCAAATCCATTCAGGGGTCACTGCCACCGGACGCCATGTTTTTACCGCCAGCATCCGCCTGCACGGTGAAACTGAAGCAGATTAGATGATGCTCAGAAACATGAGATCCTTTAACAGAAGATACACTCAGCAGAATGAGCCTGAAGGAGCAACTTCAGTGCCTATAATGCATTAAAATTAGACTTATAATGTGTTAGAAACTGCCCTATAGCACTATATTATAGCTAGAGTATGCATTATGCTTTATAACAATACATCAAAACACATTATAAAGCATTTTGTAAATAATTACGAGGTAAAATATTAGTTGTCATGCATTTAAATCTTATTATAATGGCATATAATGCATTTAAATGATATTATAATACAGTTCAATCTTATTATAATGTCATATAATAAATGTCAAACATACTTTTAGTGTGTTACAATATCTGCTGAGGATTGGGAAGACAATACAACATTTTACATTCACTGAAACTCCCACTGGATAATCATGATGACCTCAGGATTGTTTGTGTGTTAAAGTTGTGCAGCACATCAAGAGACACAACATTGTTCTGAAGCGGGAGCTCGGAGAGGGAGCGTTCGGGAAGGTGTTCCTCGCCGAGTGTTACAACCTGACCCCAGATCAGGAGAAAATCCACGTGGCCGTCAAGGTACAGAACAATCTGTCTTTTATAAAAGTACACACATCCTTCACTCAAGTAGAAGTACAGATACTTGTGTTTAAAAAAATACTCTGGTGAAAGTAGAAGTACTGACTAAACTTCTTTACTCAAGTAAAAGTAAAGAGGCTTTGAAATGTACTTCAGTAAAAAGTACCCATAACTAGCAGCTGTTTTAAAGAGTACCTGACCTCCCTTTATATTAATAGAACAATAATGTCATTGTTAGCTAATGAATGTTTCCATGCTGAACAACGGCAACATGACAACGTTTTCATTGGTCCCTCTTCTTTAGAGAAGACCAGGAAATGATGGATACACGGATCGTGTTCAAATCAATAGGCACGCAATGACTCTAAATAATAATGATCACGCCACCAAACACACATTCAAACTAAAGGAACCAGCCTGTTTGGGAAATGTGAGAAGTAGAAAGTACAGGTATTAGTGTTCAACATGTAAGAAGTAGAAAGTACAGGTATTTGGGTTCAACATGTAAGAAGTAGAAAGTACAGGTATTTGGGTTCAACATGTAAGAAGTAGAAAGTACAGGTATTTGTGTTCAACATGTAAGAAGTAGAAAGTACAGGTATTTGTGTTCAAAATGTAAGAAGTCAAAGTAAAAAGTCGTCAGAAAAATAAGTAGTGGAGTAAAGTACTGATGCCAGAAGAATGTACTTAAGTACAGTAACGAAGTATTTGTACTCCATTACTTCCCACCTCTGATCTGGTGAAATGTATGGACTAGATTTAATTCATGCAGGTGTTTACTCTCCCCTTGTCTTTCCTCAGACTCTGAAAGAGGCCAATGAGAGCGGCCGGGCAGATTTCTACCGAGAGGCGGAGCTTCTCACCAACCTGCAGCACGAACACATCGTCACTTTCTACGGAGTGTGTGTGGAGAGCGACCCGCTCATCATGGTGTTCGAGTACATGAAGCACGGAGACCTCAACAAGTTCCTCAGGTAAGTAGAGGAGAGGACTCTTTAAAGTAGAGACACTACATACTGATATACACCTGAACATCAGCAGGAGAGGACTCTTTAAAGTAGAGACACTACATAATGATATACACCTGAACATCAGCAGGAGAGGACTCTTTAAAGTAGAGACACTACATACTGATATACACCTGAACATCAGCAGGAGAGGACTCTTTAAAGTAGAGACACTACATACTGATATACACCTGAACATCAGCCGGAGAGGACTCTTTAAAGTAGAGACACTACATACTGATATACACCTGAACATCAGCAGGAGAGGACTCTTTAAAGTAGAGACACTACATACTGATATACACCTGAACATCAGCAGAAGAGGACTCTTTAAAGTAGAGACACTACATACTGATATACACCTGAACATCAGCAGGAGAGGACTCTTTAAAGTAGAGACACTACATACTGATATACACCTGAACATCAGCAGGAGAGGACTCTTTAAAGTAGAGACACTACATACTGATGTACACCTGAACATCAGCAGGAGAGGACTCTTTAAAGTAGAGACACTACATACTGATATACACCTGAACATCAGCAGGAGAGGACTCTTTAAAGTAGAGACACTACATACTGATGTACACCTGAACATCAGCAGGAGAGGACTCTTTAAAGTAGAGACACTACATACTGATGTACACCTGAACATCAGCAGGAGAGGACTCTTTAAAGTAGAGACACTACATACTGATATACACCTGAACATCAGCAGGAGAGGACTCTTTAAAGTAGAGACACTACATACTGATATACACCTGAACATCAGCAGGAGAGGACTCTTTAAAGTAGAGACACTACATACTGATGTACACCTGAACATCAGCAGGAGAGGACTCTTTAAAGTAGAGACACTACATACTGATGTACACCTGAACATCAGCAGGAGAGGACTCTTTAAAGTAGAGACACTACATACTGATATACACCTGAACATCAGCAGGAGAGGACTCTTTAAAGTAGAGACACTACATACTGATATACACCTGAACATCAGCAGGAGAGGACTCTTTAAAGTAGAGACACTACATACTGATATACACCTGAACATCAGCAGGAGAGGACTCTTTAAAGTAGAGACACTACATACTGATATACACCTGAACATCAGCAGGAGAGGACTCTTTAAAGTAGAGACACTACATACTGATATACACCTGAACATCAGCACAATATTAATGCTTTTTTTCGTGCAAAAGTGACAACAAACTCTGCTTTTGCTTCTCAAATGTAAGTATCTTGTGTTCAGTGTTATATTTTCTGACCTATACTCTACCGTTTGCTTGTCTCTGTGTCCAGGTCTCACGGGCCTGACGCGGTGCTGATGGCCGACGGGCAGCACAGCATCATGGTGGAGCTCACTCAGTCCCAGATGCTGCACATCGCTCAGCAGATTGCAGCCGGCATGGTGTACCTGGCCTCGCAACACTTCGTCCACAGAGACCTGGCAACAAGGAACTGCCTGGTGGGAGAAAACCTGCTGGTGAAGATCGGAGACTTCGGCATGTCCAGAGACGTCTACAGCACAGACTATTACAGAGTGAGTACCACACAGTATTTACACCTCTAATTCCTTTATTAGGGCTACTTTTTTTTATGCATGCTTCTTAGGTAACATTAAGCTGTCTTTGGCTCTTTTCAGCTGTAACGATGTCCCTCTGTGGGACTAATACAGGTATTCTGATTCTGATTCTATTGATCCCAGTAGCGAAATTCAGAGTGAAACACAGGATACAAATAAACACATAAATGACCAGTAGTTTCATTAAATTATGAGTGTTTTATAAATATGTATAGCACCTGGTGTCGTTATTTGCAGCCATTAAAAAACCGAAATATGTCATAAAACAAAAGTGCTTTTTCTTTTAATACCTAAATATTATAATATCAAAATATATGAAGTATTTTTGTCAGTATTGCTGTAGAATCTGAGTTCTTCTTTGACCTCTGCTTCACATTGTGAAATATACACACAAATATGGAAATGTACCCCCATACGCTCAAATATGTAATTAGAATTTGATTCCAGTGTTGGCTTTAAATAACCGTGTAGCTGGAGAAATGACAGTTTTAAACCAGAGGTATTTTATCTATTTGTAATACCATTTAAATGCAAATTCTATAATCTGCATAAAATTACTGTTAGCCTGATAATAAGGGCACACGGTGCAGGAATTCTCTTTTTCCCTGGAGTTAATACGGCCCTTCACTCTGCATGAAGGCATCATATTAAAATAGCAGTATAAGAAGCTCCGACAAAGACCAGTAAAAAAGACTATCATTTGTCATTTTGAGGATTAGATGGGTGTATTTTCTTATTCTTCTATACCAGTTTGGACCCCACAGTGCCCTCTGCTGCACAGAAATATATAAAGAATGATAAATAAATCTCCATGCATCAGATAGGATCTCCACGAAGAGCGTCTGTCAACAACTGAGACGTTTTTATTAAATAAAGAGCAGGACAGGACGCAGCTTAACAGAGTTAGACCGTCTTATCTGCTAAAACAATATAAGATATCTATGCAATAAAATAAATCACATCAACCATGAATAAGACTTAGGGCAGGGGTGTCAAACTCAAGGCCCGGGGGCCAAATCCGGCCCGCAACTTCATTTAATGTGGCCCACAAGAGCTTGCAAAGAATATAATATGTTTATTATACGGTTACATGGCGATTTACAGAAGCACGTTGCCCATAAACTACATGTCCCACAATGCATCTCAAATCTGCCTTTTTCTCAGAATTTGCCTTTTTCTCTTCAAAATATGCCTTTTTTGACTTTCTTTCCAGAATGTGCTTTTCTTTTAAAATCATTTTGTGACATTCTCACTGAAGAGACTTGCAATTATTTGCCCTAGACTTCTACTTTCAGACGTAGTTAATTATGAAGTTATTACCCTATCCGATAACAATCCAATGCAGAGGCAATAATGTAATATAATACATTATTTTATATTTATTAAATATTTATATATGTATTTTTATATAGTCTTAATGTTACAACCGGCCCTTTTGAGTGCAACCATAATGCGAATGTGGCCCGCGATGAAATTGAGTTTGACACCCCTGACTTAGAGGATGCCAGGTTGATGCCATGTGAATACAACGAAACATACGTTATAAGAACTAGAGTTACAAGATGATTTGATATATTCATTAATTGCTCAACAACAACAACAACAACAACAAATATTATAATTATGATTTTTCAATACATTTTAATAATTGATTAATCATTAAAAAAATATATTGCGTCAAGCATAAATATGCCGGATTTTAGCTTGGAGCTACTTTCCATCCGCAGTCCCTCACATAAAACATTTAAGAACATGACAATTATAACCTGGATTTAAAAGTAGTAAGAGTTGCAGCGGACCTGCAGGTTTCTGGGAGTTTGTTCCAGATATTTGGAGCATCATAACTGAACGCTGCTTCTCCATGTTTAGTTCTGACTCTGGGGACAGAAAGCTGACCAGTCCCTGAAGACCTGAGAGTTCTGGATGGTTCATAATTTAGCAGGAGGTCAGACATGTATGTTGGGCCTAAACCATTCAATGCTTTATAAACCAGCAGCAGGATTTTGAAATCTATTCTTTGACACACAGGAAGCCAGTGTAAAGACTTCAGAACAGGAGTGATGTGATCCACTTTCTTAGTGATACCCTTAGGGAGATACCCCTGTGTTAAAGTGCGAGAGGAGATACCCCTGTGTTAAAGTGCGAGAGGAGATACCCCTGTGTTAAAGTGCGAGAGGAGATACCCCTGTGTTAAAGTGCGAGAGGAGATACCCCTGTGTTAAAGTGCAAGAGGAGATACCCCTGTGTTAAAGTGCGAGAGGAGATACCCCTGTGTTAAAGTGCAAGAGGAGATACCCCTGTGTTAAAGTGCAAGAGGAGATACGCCTGTGTTAAAGTGTAAGAGGAGATACCCCTGTGTTAAAGTGCAAGAGGAGATACCCCTGTGGTAAAGTGCAAGAGGAGATACCCCTGTGTTAAAGTGCGAGAGGAGATACCCCTGTGTTAAAGTGCATTTAGCGGTGATAGCACGTCTGTTTGTTTCTCAACCACTCTTTGAGTTGACCTTTGAAGCTGTTGAGAGTGGGACAATCCTGTATCTCAGTTGGGAGGCTGTTCCACAATGAGCTGCCTTTAACGGAAAGGACATTTTGTCCAAAAGTGGTCCGTCTGCGGTGGACTTCACAGTCTCCTCTGGTTTCTGACCTAGTGCAGCGTCCAGTGTGTTTTTTGTGGATGAATTTCATTTTTCATGAAAAGAAACGTGAAAAAAAATGTGAAGATTTGGTGCTTTTCTTTCTGACATCCTACTAAAGTAAATATCTTTGGGTTTTGGACGGACAAAGCAATACTAATAAGACATTTCTGAGAAACTGGGATCCATATTATTCACTATATCCAGACATTTCATGGACATGACGGTGGTGGGTGGGGGTGTAGGTGATGAAGGTGATTGGATAAAAGAGGAGACAGTGAGACAGGAAATGCGTTTAGCAGACAGGAAACATCAGATGGAAAGAGACGGGAAGACGCTGCAGAGTTCAAAGCATTTGATGTAATAATAACAGCCGACTTTCAGGAAAACCGGAGTGACTGAACCTAATTTAATATAGTAATTTAATACACCACATTACCTGTTCATGAGGTCCACTCAGCTCAGAGTAAACTAGCTCTGATGGTGTGGTTTCTAATGAAGACTCTCCCCCTTTTCTCTCTTTCTCTCCCTCATGTCTTCTCTCTCTCTCTCTCTCCCTCTCTCTCTCTCTCTCTCCCTCTCTCTCTCAATGGGGCTTTATTGGTGTTAAAGTTTCAGGTAACAGTGCTGCCAAAGCATCCGAATGCAAAAGTACACACTATAAAAACCATATGATTATTAACATACAGATGGACAGAAGTGTGTGTGTGTGTGTGTGTGTGTGTGTGTGTGTGTGTGTGTGTGTGTGTGTGTGTGTGTGTGTGTGTGTGTGTGTGTGTGTGTGTGTGTGTGTGTGTGTGTGTGTGTGTGTGTGTGTGTGTGTGTGTGTGTGTGTGTGTGTGTGTGTGTGTGTATCTCACATTGTGGCATGACATAGCAAGATATTGTCTTCTTCTCCTGGGAGTAATTTATTTTATTTTGAAAGTTCATTTAGTTATTTTATGGGTTTAAACAATGACTTTTTCAAAATAAAAGTTCCTTATTCACTATATTTTTCACATTTTAGGAGGTACACTGTGTGTTTGTGTGTGTGTGTTTGTGTGTGTATTAATACATATTGGGCTGCAAGATTTGTCTCCTTTTCCTCACTTTTATTTTGAAAGTCATTCAGTTATGGTATGGGTTTAAACGGGGACATTTTCAAAACAAAAGCTCGTTATTGGTTACATTTCTCACATTTTAGGAGTTAGTGCATCCCTGTACACTGTGTGTGTGTGTGTGTGTGTGTGTGTGTGTGTGTGTGTGTGTGTGTGTGTGTGTGTGTGTGTACTTAAATACATATTTGGCCGCAAGATTTGTCTCCTTCTCCTCTAAATACTTTTATTTTGAAAGTCATTCAGTTATTGTATGGGTTTTAACAGTGACATCAAAAGGTCCTTATTCACAAACATTTTCCAACATTTTCGGAGGAAGTGCATGTCTGTCCCAGCCTCACCTCTCTGTCTCTGTCTCTCTGTCTCTCTATCTCTCTATCTCTCTCCCTGTCTCTCTATCTCTCCCTCTCTCTATCTCTCCCTCTCTCTCTCTCTCTCTCTCTCTCTCTCCCTCTCCCTCTCCTCTCTCTCTCTCTCTCCCTCTCTCTTTCTCTCTCTGTCTCTCTGTCTCCCTCTCTCCCTCTCTCTCTCCCCCTCTCTCAGGTCGGAGGTCACACGATGCTTCCTATTCGCTGGATGCCTCCTGAGAGCATCATGTACCGACGCTTCACCACAGAGAGCGACGTCTGGAGCCTTGGAGTCGTGCTCTGGGAGATTTTCACCTACGGGAAGCAGCCCTGGTACCAGCTGTCCAACAACGAGGTCAGAGACTCCTTTAACACACACAATCATTATTCACCTCTAGCTAAACACACACACTCTTCTACGTATAGTCTTGTTAGAAATAGTTCTTTAGAGAAGACCAGGAAATGATGGATACACGGATCGTGTTCAAATCAATAGGCACGCAATGACTCTAAATAATAATGATCACACCACCAAACACACATTCAAACTAAAGGAACCAGCCTGTTTGGGAAATGTGAGAAGTAGAAAGTACAGGTATTTGGGTTCAACATGTAAGAAGTAGAAAGTACAGGTATTTGTGTTCAACATGTAAGAAGTAGAAAGTACAGGTATTTGTGTTCAACATGTAAGAAGTAGAAAGTACAGGTATTTGAGTTCAACATGTAAGAAGTAGAAAGTACAGGTATTTGAGTTCAACATGTAAGAAGTAGAAAGTACAGGTATTTGGGTTCAACATGTAAGAAGTAGAAAGTACAGGTATTTGTGTTCAACATGTAAGAAGTAGAAAGTACAGGTATTTGTGTTCAACATGTAAGAAGTAGAAAGTACAGGTATTTGTGTTCAACATGTGAGAAGTAGAAAGTACAGGTATTTGTGTTCAACATGTAAGAAGTAGAAAGTACAGGTATTAGTGTTCAACATGTAAGAAGTAGAAAGTACAGGTATTTGTGTTCAACATGTAAGAAGTAGAAAGTACAGGTATTTGGGTTCAACATGTAAGAAGTAGAAAGTACAGGTATTTGTGTTCAAAATGTAAGAAGTAGAAAGTACAGGTATTTGAGTTCAAAATGTAAGAAGTCAAAGTAAAAAGTCGTCAGAAAAATAAGTAGTGGAGTAAAGTACTGATACCAGAGAAATGTACTTAAGTACAGTAACGAAGTATTTGTACTCCATTACTTCCCACCTCCGTATATAATTAAACGTTCCTTACCTTACCTTGTTGTTTTTCATCCTGCAGGTGATCGAGTGCATCACGCAGGGCCGTGTTCTGCAGCGGCCTCGCACCTGTCCTAAAGAAGTGTACGACCTGATGCTGGGCTGCTGGCAGAGGGAGCCGTACATGAGGCTGAACATCAAGGAGATCCACGCCATGCTGCAGAGCCTCGCTAAAGCATCGCCCGTCTACCTGGACATCCTGGGCTGAGGCTGCTGCTGCTGCTGTACGTACGTGTGTGTGTGTGTGTGTGTGTGTGTGTGTGTGTGTGTGTGTGTGTGTGTGTGTGTGTGTGGTGTGTGTGTGTGTGTGTGTGTGTGTGTGTGTGTGTGTGTGTGTGTGTGTGTGTGTGTGTGTGTGTGTGTGTGTGTGAGGAGTGTGTGTGCAAAGAGGAGGGAATTAAGGTTGTGTGTGTGTACAGTACCCGGCTGTAAATGTTCCTGTAAATGCTATCGTCCGTGTCCTCATTACATTGAGAAAAAGCCTTAAACTTTGCTTTCTTTTTATTCTTATCCATTTGCAGAGGCATGTTTCACAAATGGAAACCAAAATGCATATTTATCACCGCTACAGGCGTAAAAAAAATAGTCATTGTGCATTAAAATAATCTCCTGTAATTTTACATTTGCTAGGAGTGAAAGGGAAAATAATGTGTCTCCATAAAGGACTTTAAATATGGAGGGACACACTTCTTTGTAGATACAGCTTTCTCTCACATTTTCTGCAGGACTCATGAAGCTTTTTTCTTTTATATGTCACAGACTATTTTAATATTTGTAGAATTTATAAACTGTTTTTCTTTGAGTCATCTACAGAAACGTATTATTACATGTTTAAGAAAAAACAGTGTGAAGCTCATGCTCATAATGCCTGTCTGTTAGTCCACTGGCTGATATGAAATCAATGTTAAAGGTTGTAAAAACACAAGGGCAAACATACGGTGGCCGACAACTGAAAATGCGCCACAACGTCCCAAAATGTTACCATTGGGAGAGACGCGCTGCAGCTTCAAAAACGATGCAAATATAAAAACACAAATGTGCCAAAACACAAGAAGATGAAAAGACATCTTCAGCAACTTGAGGAAACATGCGCAGCGTTTACTAAAAGCTGCGTGAACGAAACGCTGCAAGAAGCTGAAAACGCAACGGAGTCCAGGGGACACTAAAGAGTGACGCACACATCTGGGAGACCAGGGGATACTAAAGAGTGACGCACACAGCTGGGAGACCAGGGGACACTAAAGAGTGACGCACACAGCTGGGAGACCAGGGGACACTAAAGAGTGACGCACACAGCTGGGAGACCAGGGGACACTAAAGAGTGACGCACACAGCTGGGAGACCAGGGGACACTAAAGAGTGACGCACACAGCTGGGAGACCAGGGGACACTAAAGAGTGACGCACACAGCTGGGAGACCATAGTCTGTCTCATAACTGTAAGTGTTTGTCAGTATATCTGAAATGACTAGGTTAGCTACGTTAGCTAGCTAGCTTACAGCAGATCTGCAGTAACATCAGAAGGAGTCATGTGATCACATTGTTAAAATAAGATCATAAAACATTTTAGGGAAGTTTCCAACAACAGAGACAGGTGGCCAGCTTTATAACCTTAAAAAATAAGTTTTAGTGTTTTTTTTTAACAATGTGATCACATGACTCCTTCTGATGTTACTGGAGATCTGCTGTAAGCTAGCTAGCTAACGTAGCTAACCTAGTCATCTCAGATATACTGACAAACACTGACAGTTATGAGACGACTAACTCTGAAACAGAGACAGTTGATCAGCTTTATAATCCTGAACGTCACCAAGCGCTCTCGTCCCAGCCGTCTGCGTCACTCTTTAGTGTCCCCTGGTCTGCCAGCTGTGTGCGTCACTTTTTAGTGTCCCAGCTGTGTGCGTCACTTTTTAGTGTCCCAGCTGTGTGTGTCACTTTTTAGTGTCCCCTGGTCTCCCAGCTGTGTGCGTCACTTTTTAGTGTCCCAGCTGTGTGCGTCACTTTTTAGTGTCCCAGCTGTGGTGCGTCACTTTTTAGTGTCCCCTGGTCTCCGTTGTGTTTCGAGCTTCTTGCAGCGTTTTGTATTTACAGCACTACACAGTAAACGCCGCCCATGTGTTGTCAAGTTGATGGAGGTGTTTTTGCTAATTTGTGTTTTTATATTTCTGAAGTCTTCCTTCTAATGGAAGTGTTGTGAGTCGTAGTATCGTGTTTGCACGTGTCGGCCACCGTACTTACAGCATTTTATCGTCATATTTTGTGTAAATATCTGCACACGAGGTCATCTATATTTACAAAGTGGTGTTTTAAACGTCGTGGGAGTGCTCTCCTCATCTCACAACCTTTTTTTATTTCATGTATCTAAAGCACAGAGAATGAGGACTCGGCTATATATATATATAAGTATTAAAAAAAGAAAAAATATGAGCACAGTTTTGCTTTTATTTCTTCATTCACCAGCAATGCCATTTAGCAAAAAATATCTGTTGTTCGGTGGCCCATATGTGTGTGTGGTTCTGTGCATCTTCAGAGGAAAATGTTGTGGCTTTTAATGAGATTGTTTTATGATTTAAAAGCAGAAGATTAGATTCATTTTCTGTTTGATTAACGGGGAATTTGATGCAGTTAGTTGTGCACTGATTTGTTTTTGCAGCACTTTGGTTTTTGTAAGCATTAAAGCTGTCCCCGTCATTAACATATATTACAAGAGCGTGCTTTAAAGATGTCATTTTTTCATTTTACATAGTACAGGCTGCAGCAGAAGGATTATTAAGAGCACATTTGTACAGGCTGCTTGGAAAAAATGTCCTAAAAATGCATATTTTGTGGTCAAATTCACAAATTATCTTCAAATGTTCTGTTTTGAGATAAAAATATTGAAGCTGTACTAATTTTCACAAAATCTGCAGAAATCATGATGTTGTTATAACAGATATATATAACTTAACCCCCAAAATGCACAACCTGAGTGGTGACTCGACTTAAAATGCACTTAAAAACTATTCATATTTTTCTGCTGCCAGTCCGAACTCTGAAAATACCTGAGTGTCCTCTCTATGTTTTTCTTACAGCGTCTGTATTAAAGTCACGTGTCAGCTGTACATAAATTGCTGTCCATTTTGTACATATATTTGTCTATATCAAAAGTAGGCTCTGTTTAATAGTATAATCTGTTTGAAGCAGGTATCATGTCGAAATTGTACGGCGGCCGACAGGTGCAAACATGCTACAACAATTCTATAAGGAATAACGTGCTGCAGATTCAGAAACGATGCAAATACAAAAACACCAATGCGCCCAAACACATGCAGCATTGAGAAAACATTCATCAACTTACGGGAAACATGCGTAGCGTTTACTAAAAGCACTTTTAGTAAACGCTACGCATGTCTCATCAAGTTGGTGAAGGTGTTTCTTCATGTGTGGCGCATTTGTGTTTTTATATGTGCATCGTTTCTGAATCTGCAGCACATTTCTCACAACGTAAGTGTTTTGGTTTTCGTCGTAGCACATTTGCACCTTTCTGCCACCGTAAAACTGTCTAATGAAGAAGACGTTGTTGTTGTTGTTGTTGTTATGGGCCACTGGCAATACATATTAAATGTAAATACGATTTTATTCGTGCCACATTGTATGATTTCTTTGTGCTCGTTCATGATACCGGTGAGAATACAATCTGCGGAGGACTTTATTTGTTTCTTTTCCTCTGAAGAAAGATATATATATATAAAAAATAAATAAATGTGCTCTTTCCTGTGCACTGTGAGGCGGGAGCAAAGACTCGAAACATCAGGATCTCTGACTGACTGTAGCCTACTTTGATCCTCTTCAGATGAATAACTGTGACTTTGCATCATGAATAGTATATTATTTTGAATGTAATCTAGAGGGGTCGGGACCTTTTTTTGAATGTAATCTATCTCGAGGTGTGTGGGGGGGGGGGGGGGGGGGGGGGGGGGGCGTGGGGGTGTTAATGATTTTTTTGTAAATATATGGTAAATGAAAAAAAAAACGATTACGACAAGTTTTCATTCCTGTGCAGATAACAGATTTTACTTACTGTGTGAATACAAAGAGTGTGTGTGTGTGTGTGTGTGTGTGTGTGTGTGTGTGTGTGTGTATGCAAGGACGTGTGTGTGTGTGTGTGTGTGTGTGTGTGTGTGTGTGTGTGTGCGTGTGTGCGTGTGTGTGTGTGTGTGTGTGCTCTCCTGGCAGATTTAATCCTGCTTTAATCAGCCAGTTCTATCAATCAAATTCAATGCTTTGTGCATCATGTGAGTAGCTTATCCACAATTAATGGAAATGTTCCTTGTGATACTGTGCATTTAATAAAGGTGGTATGTCTTACAATAGGTCCGTGTCCTCACCGTTATTTATTACGTCTATTTAGAGTTAGGGAGGACGACTTTAAGCCCATTTGGAAAATGAAACTAACATATCTTTAATACATACACTAAAAGGGTTAGTTTGATATTTAGGGAATTAAGCTTATTCGCTTTTCCATTGTTTAATAAGAAGGTTGATACCACTGTGGAGGACTAAAGCTGCCATTACATTTCATTTCAAACCTTTATTTATCCAGGTGTATCCCATTGAGATCATTGCTCTCTTTTTCAAGGGAGACCTGCCAACAAATAAATACTGTATATGACTCAAATAAATAAAGGAAATAATAAAGAAGAAAATGTTGCATCTGGTCAGGGTTAGGCTCATTTTAATTAAAGGAAGGCTAGGTAATTCACTTCAGAAACACTTGTTATATTCCATGGAATGCTCTTAACATCCCGATAGCAATGAATATATTAAATGCTTTGACAATAAATACATTAAAAAAAAAATATCATCTGTGGAAGCCGTGGCGCTGTAAAAAGCACGACCAATCATCTGAGCCGGCCCGGCTAAAGTAACTGGATGGCCTACCTGCCTGTCAGCCTTCCATCTGTGCACAAACTTATCTCGTGCCCTCATTGGTCATGTGCGCATTGGTGTGTGTTGGAGGAGGGGCTCAGTAAGGAAGTTTGAAGGAAGGGGCAGATTTTTTTCGGCTGCGTACTTTCAAATTCTCGCGCACTCGAGCTGGTTTCTCCATTCTTACCTACCCTACATTTAATATATACACATTTTATGGTTAAAAATGTATTTATAATGTATTTATTTGGTCAGGGAACCAATAATACATTCCATTTTTATTTTATTCTGTATTTTTAATCAGAACATGCAAACTATGACAAAAAAAAAAATTCTCGTATTGTGTCACGTAAAGTGTGAAATGAACTCGTAACTTCAGTTCAATTTAATGGAGTAAAAAGTAACAAATATGCAGTTAAATTACCATTGTTGGAGAAGCCTGTGACATAAGATTTTCAACGACATAATTACTCTGTAGCTATGTTAGTTTGACAATAAAGAACCTTGAACCTTGAATTGTCACCTTTGTTTACTGTTCTAGCTGACAAAAACACACATTTATAGACAAACAAATGTTTAAACCACATGGTATTTAACTCACCTTTATGTACTGCAGACGTGTTTCTTCAGTCGTCATCGTCATCATCAAAGGAGGAGTCTTCATCATTTGTCACTTCTTTCTTCAGGAATTTCCTCAAGAAATAATATTTAATAACTACCCCCATTTTTCTTCAACATTACAGTGTAATAGACTTTTAAAAAAAATATATTTTTCTGGCTGGATAACCCTGATTTGATATAATTTCTTATTAAATATTTATAAATGTTGTTTTTTCCTTTATTTGCTTTAACTCGACCTAAAATAAATCTATTTCCGATGCAGATTCGTTAAATAAGAGAAAACAAACTCTTCCTTTTCGCTGCATTAACATGAACACTCCACTTTAACCATTTAGCAAGTATATACTGACATTTTGAAAAGCTCTGAATTGTTTACCAAAAGTTACATTTATTGAACCATATTTTCATTCAATATGTTCTTCAGTCAGCAAAGTAGGCATAGTTGCTGGGAATATACAAAAAATAAACTAATAGCTACTTACAACTTACACAAATTATAGTTTTATACAATTTATTCTGTGTTTACTTTAAAGAGTCCTCTCCTGCTGATGTTCAGGTGTATATCAGTATGTAGTGTCTCTACTTCAAAGAGTCTTCTCCTATGTTCAGGTGTATATCAGTATGTAGTGCCTCTACTTTAAAGAGTCCACTCCTATGTTCAGGTGTATATCAGTATGTAGTGTCTCTACTTTAAAGAGTCCTCTCCTGCTGATGTTCAGGTGTATATCAGTAAGTAGTGTCTCTACTTTAAAGAGTCCTCTCCTGCTGATGTTCAGGTGTATATCAGTAAGTAGTGTCTCTACTTTAAAGAGTCCTCTCCTGCTGATGTTCAGGTGTATATCAGTATGTAGTGTCTCTACTTTAAAGAGTCCTCTCCTGCTGATGTTCAGGTGTATATCAGTATGTAGTGTCTCTACTTTAAAGAGTCCTCTCCTGCTGATGTTCAGGTGTATATCAGTATGTAGTGTCTCTACTTTAAAGAGTTCTCTCCTGCTGATGTTCAGGTGTATATCAGTATGTAGTGTCTCTACTTTAAAGAGTCCTCTCCTGATGAGGTTCAGATGTATATCTGTATGTAGTGTCTCTACTTTAAAGAGTCCTCTCCTGCTGATGTTCAGGTGTATATCAGTATGTCGTGTCTCTACTTTAAAGAGTCCTCTCCTGCTGATGTTCAGGTGTATATCAGTATGTAGTGTCTCTACTTTAAAGAGTCCTCTCCTGCTGATGTTCAGGTGTATATCAGTATTCAGTGTCTCTACTTTAAAGAGTCCTCTCCTGCTGATGTTCAGGTGTATATCAGTATGTCGTGTCTCTACTTTAAAGAGTCCTCTCCTGCTGATGTTCAGGTGTATATCAGTATGTAGTGTCTCTACTTTAAAGAGTCCTCTCCTGCTGATGTTCAGGTGTATATCAGTATGTAGTGTCTCTCCTGTGACATGTCTCCATGCTTTAATGTTCAAAAAGCTCTTTATTGTTCTCATACTGCCTGTGCTGCAGCACCTCTTTTCACCCTCTGTCTGAAACCAGAGCCCAGTCTGCTCTGATTGGTTAGCAAGCCGGGTCTGTTGTGATTGATCAACCTCTTAGAGATGTCCCGCCCCTTAGCCTATCACGTACAATGCGGGACTTTGTGATTTTGGCCTTTTCAGACCATTTACTTGCACAAAACCCTAGATAAAACACGACAGGAGGGAAACCCCAAAAACATAACAGGGCTTTTTTAAAAGATGATAAACAAGAGGGTTAAAGTAACATGGAGGCAGAAGAGCTGTCTATGACCCCTTACTCACTCACTCTATAAGGAGAGTTAACGTGCCAACATATTATTACATCTTTGAAATGAACACAAGGTGCAAAAGTGTGACGGTGTCTTGGTTTCATCAAAAGCTGTGCGCAGTTTATATTTATTGTATTCTAAATTGACATTAAAAAAACAAAAAAAAAATATCTGCCCATGTCTTTATGAAAGTTAACGCACAAATTCAATATACATCTCGTTGTAATTTTTACATAGAGGGTAAAAGTATAGGCATGAAGGTGGCATGATTCACATCGAGGCTCAGAGGGAGAATCAGAAAACAAACAAACTGAATAAATACAAAGTGCTAAACTTAGCAGAAAGAAAAATGCCTCGTGTTAACAAAAACAAAAACCAAACAAACCGTGTCAAGCATCGTCCGAACATCAGCAGCGTGAACGCCTGAAGCTAGTGACGAGCAACTTATCAATCGGGAACATCGTCCTGATGCTCGTCGCTCTCACACAGAATCCAATTACCTCCTCTTCACATTAAACCAAGAGAGAGTGTGTTAGTTACATTGTCTGTCAGTCTCCGATACTTAACTGTGTTTAAAATTTAAAAAAAAGAAGCTTTGGGGATACTTAATGACCGGGCCATTAAAAGTCATGCACGCTGCAAATAACTGCATGCAGTAGTAATGGGAACCCATCCAAGCACTTTTTATTAATAGTCAAGAACACACACAGCAGCTTCATCAGAGGCGCCGACGCCCTCTAGACTTTTGAATGTGGAGTATTTATATACGGAGAGCCGCTTGCATGTCACAGGAAGCTAAAGGAGTGCCTGTAACATTTACCTGATAACGAAAAAAGAAATGTGGATTGATTATCAACTTCATATATATCTTATATATATATATATATATATATATTTAGATATTTCTCTTCTCTCGCTCGCTCACTCACATGTATCCCACTTGCTCTCATTTATTTTTTTGCTTACAATGTAACAAAAATGGTGACAGGCCTGAAATTACAATCACCAGAAACAAACTCAGAGGAGGACGAGGAGGAGGAGGAAGGTGAGGCGTGGGGGGTGGGGGACTGCTGCTGATTGGCTGCCCATCACTGACAGAAGCAGCAGGGAGGACACAGTCTGCTCGGTGCTCGGACATCAAAGAGGCGGCGGCGGCGGAGGAGGAGGCTCTTTCCCCGAAAAGCTGCTCTCTCGGAGCTGGAGGTTTTCCAGCGCCACGTCTAAAGGCATGATGTCGACGCAGCCCATCGCGCCGAAGCTGGCGAAGTCCCGCCGCTCGTCTTCGTCGGAGGAAGAGCTCTCCTCGTGCATCAGCGTGGACAGAAGCAGCTCCTGGACGAACAGGCTGCGGTCGGCGCGCTCGCCCTCCAGGAACTGACGCTCCGCCTCCGACATCTTAGGCTCGTTCAACCTGGAGGAGGAGGGGGAGACAAAGCATGAGACCTCAACTCTTTAGATGTTTTCTATTCTTAAAGGTCCCCTATTGTACTGTCTTTCATCCATATATCACAGGTCTCAGATATATACAGAGCCTGTCTCTGATTGGCTGAAACACCAAACAGATCCTTGCAGCATTACCCATAATCCCCTCTGTTTCAGCCCTGTTTCCAAAGTGCTGATTCTCTGTCTGTTACTTTAGATGAAAATAAGGAGCCCCTCCCCACGCCCCTCTGAGAGAGATTTGGTTACAAAGAACTCAATGGTGCTCTAGGAGGAGATCCAGGTGATAAGGGGGGGGGGGGGGGGGGGGGGGGGGTTACCTTGGTTGCTGATTGGCTAATGGTTACACAAGACAAAACATCGTTATGACATCATTAAGTGGCCAAAATCTGATCAGCTCATTTTCAGACAGGTTTTTATAGAAATGGATCAAAAAGAGAGAGAATCTTTGTTCCTGAAACTTTCAGAGTCTCTTTACACAGAGGGGACACATGTTGATGAAGAAGAGACATGAAGAAGAGGGGACACATGTTGATGAAGAAGAGACATGAAGAAGAGAGGACACATGTTGATGTAGAAGAGACATGAAGAAGAGGGGACACATGTTGATGTAGAAGAGACATGAAGAAGAGGGGACACATGTTGATGAAGAAGAGACATGAAGAAGAGGGGACACATGTTGATGTAGAAGAGACATGAAGAAGAGGGGACACATGTTGATGAAGAAGAGACATGAAGAAGAGGGGACACATGTTGATGAAGAAGAGACATGAGGAAGAGGGGACACATGTTGATGTAGAAGAGACATGAAGAAGAGGGGACACATGTTGATGAAGAAGAGACATGAGGAAGAGGGGACACATGTTGATGAAGAAGAGACATGAAGAAGAGGGGACACATGTTGATGTAGAAGAGACATGAAGAAGAGGGGACACATGTTGATGAAGAAGAGACATGAAGAAGAGGGGACACATGTTGATGAAGAAGAGACATGAGGAAGAGGGGACACATGTTGATGTAGAAGAGACATGAAGAAGAGGGGACACATGTTGATGAAGAAGAGACATGAAGAAGAGGGGACACATGTTGATGAAGAAGAGACATGAGGAAGAGGGGACACATGTTGATGTAGAAGAGACATGAAGAAGAGGGGACACATGTTGATGAAGAAGAGACATGAAGAAGAGGGGACACATGTTGATGAAGAAGAGACATGAGGAAGAGGGGACACATGTTGATGTAGAAGAGACATGAAGAAGAGGGGACACATGTTGATGTAGAAGAGACATGAAGAAGAGGGGACACATGAAGAAGAGGGGACACATGTTGATGTAGAAGAGACATGAAGAAGAGGGGACACATGCTGATGTAGAAGAGACATGAAGAAGAGGGGACACATGTTGATGAAGAAGAGACATGAAGAAGAGGGGACACATGTTGATGTAGAAGAGACATGAAGAAGAGGGGACACATGTTGATGTAGAAGAGACATGAAGAAGAGGGGACACATGTTGATAAAGAAGAGACATGAAGAAGAGGGGACACATGTTGATGTAGAAGAGACATGAAGAAGAGGGGACACATGTTGATGTAGAAGAGACATGAAGAAGAGGGGACACATGTTGATGTAGAAGAGACATGAAGAAGAGGGGACACATGTTGATGCAGAAGAGACATGAAGAAGAGGGGACACATGTTGATGTAGAAGAGACATGAAGAAGAGGGGACACATGTTGATGTAGAAGAGACATGAAGAAGAGGGGACACATGTTGATGCAGAAGAGACATGAAGAAGAGGGGACACATGTTGATGTAGAAGAGACATGAAGAAGAGGGGACACATGTTGATGTAGAAGAGACATGAAGAAGAGGGGACACATGTTGATGCAGAAGAGACATGAAGAAGAGGATTTTGCATAATAGGTGACCTTTAAGATTTTCATTGATGTACGAATGAAAATAAAAGCCTTGAATCTTGAACGTAACCCACACTGAAGTCTCTCACCGTGCTAATAGGAACTGGGAGCTGTGATTGGAGGAGGGGTTGTTCTCCCCCCCGGCGGCGGCAGAGTTGGAGGAGTTGGTGTTCGGGGGGGGGATGGCGGTGCCGGGGTTTCCGGGGTTGTTTCCTCGTCGTGTGGCGTGGCGTCCCGTCTCCACTTGTTGCCGCGCAGCCTGAGCCTGCTGCCTCTCGAGCTGGAGCTGCATCTGGAGCTGCTGCAGCTGAGAGGCCGAGGGGCCGGACGAGTTGATCTGCCCCCCCGCTGCACGCCGCACGCCTGACAGCTGGGACAACAACTCTGCAGGGACAACAACAACAACAACAAACACGAGTCAGGGCTTTAAAGACAACACTGTAGATACCTGTGGAAGATGTCCAAGCCTAATACATCACACTGTCATGTATTAGGCTAACACACTAACACATGTTGACCAGCAGAGGGAACCAGCAACTGTGCAGAGTGTATGTGAGTGTATGTGAGACCCTCACCTGCGATGGGGTCCATTGCCTCTCTGTTGCTGGGGGTGTAGGTGGAGCTCTGTGACGCCGAGGATGACAGCCCCCCCGTGGAGCCGCTAGTAAAGTGCATATTTGTCCGTCGTGCTCGTGGCCCCCCCAGCCCTCTTCCGGGGTGAAACATCCGGCGAACATGCCGCACGCTGCTGGACTCGTCGTGGAGAGGAGCGTTAAGGGGGAATAAAGTAACTGGATGTCCTCTTCCAATATGAGAGTACACATGCTAACAAAGGTATCCCAACTGTAGCTGTGTGCATGACAGGATGTATGATTACCTAGAAGAGCATCAGGACTGTTTGAGGCATGTGATAGCTATGTGATTAACATGATGATTCAGCCTCTATGGAGATAGACATATGACAAGCATGATCATTTCTGACGTGGAGCTAATCTGAAGTAAACATTGAATACTGCTTTCTATTCCTCCATCTTGTGACTGTGGAACTCCCTCTCTTGGATATCAGCATGTGAAGGACACTGTTCAGGAACTAGTTGGAAAATACATGGATCCTGAGATTGAAGATCAAGCCGGTGACCAGTGAGATTTTTCTAACACTATCAATATTTCTATGTCAGTGTTTCTGTTAGCTGGTATTTACAAGACGTAGACTTGGAAAATATGTTAATGTCTGAAAACAAAAGAGAGAAAGTGAGAGGTTGATTCTCATTTTGTTTAAAAATATTAAAGCTAGTCAAAAATGTATACAGCATTCGTAAAAATTGTCACCTTCGAGCAGCTTTTGTTCAAACTAAAGCTGGTTTTGCCACCATTTCTATTTATTTTAATGTATTTTGTTTTGAAAATCCACAGCGGAGGTTTGTGTCGTAATACATGCCGTGTGTTTGCATTTCTCTCAGTAGCCAACGATCTGTGAGTCTGTTAGCTCGGACATAAACTCCGTAATAAATGTAGTCTACATTTCATAAGACGTGTAAAACCTGTGAGCATTTTAAATCGCATTTGAACGAAATGCTTATATAATCTGTAGTTGTATTTGTATTGTTGATTTAATGTGTGAACGAGGCGATGTAGAGAAGGTTAAGCTGTCATTATTAGGCTGTAATTTGTTATATACTGTTGGAGTGGTAAGCAGGCCTATTGTTTTTTGGATATTTGTGGAGTTAGATGGTCCGCTAGTGTTTCTTTATTGGTTAAGTGGTCCTTTGGTTTGAGAAACACTGTTATAGAGGGATGAATTTCTGAAAAAAACCTATGAATTAGTGATTCCAGCTAAATGTATTCTGATAGGGGAAAAACTGTCCGAGGAAAACTTCTTGATCCCCGGATGCAAGCATGTCTCATTTAAAATATTTTGATCAAAACAGGTCTACAAGAATTTAGGTTTGTCTACAAATTGTTTATTATTACGTTTTATTTGATCTCAGAATATATACGCCTTAAGCTGAGGGAAGGTTTCTGCGTTAAGAGTTACAGCCAAGTCTATTGACAAGACTTATCAATTAAAACACAAATCTAAAAAGGCCTTGATGGAGTCATTCTGTATAATAAAAACACATCATATCTGACCCTAATGTCTCCCTTTTGACCAGGACATGGAAATCGTCCGAGACACATTTTTACCGGCACTCATTTTTTCCCGAAATGCTGCTATACATGTAGACCAGGGGTGAGTTTGACCCCCCTGATGTAGACAGCAGTGCGTAGAAACACAGAAAGGATATTAAATCTCGTGGCGCTCTGTGTTCGAGTGTGAGGTGAGCTGTGAAGTCGTCGGTGACGTGGTTGGGGTCTCCGCCCGGCAACGCAGCACAAATTGGACAGATCTGAAAGCAAAAAGAGACAGAGGGAAACGTTTAATTCTTGAGTTAAATGTAATTTCCCTCAACAAGATGAAAGCCTGTCACACCTTAGAGCAGCTTTTGTACAAACTAAAGCTGGTTGTTACCATGTCTATTTATTTTATTGCTTAAAGTCCTGTCCTCGTACGTTTAATAATTAACACACATTTTGTGAACCATTCCTCATGATTAACCTTATATGTATATTGTGCACATTTCTTTCCAATTCTACCTCTTCAAATTCTGAGCTACATATATTTCTTAGAGTAATTTGTAATACTGCTGTTGTACTGACACTTTGGTAAATGTCTTGTAAACATGTCTTTTAATTTAAAAATAGTGGAAGAAAAGTTGTGTCATTGTCAAAGAAAACCACACACACACACACACACACACACACACACAGAGAGAGACATAGACACACAGAGAGAGACACACACACACATAGAGAGAGACATAGACACACACAGAGAGAGAGACACACAGAGAGAGACACACATACAGAGAGAGACATAGACACACAGAGAGAGAGACACACAGAGAGAGACATAGACACACACAGAGAGAGACACACATACAGAGAGAGAGACATAGACACACAGAGAGAGACACACACACATAGAGAGAGACACACACACACATAGAGAGAGACATAGACACACACAGAGAGAGACACACAGAGAGAGAGACATAGACACACACAGAGAGAGACACACATACAGAGAGAGAGACATTGACACACAGAGAGAGACACACACACACATAGAGAGAGACATAGACACACACAGAGAGAGAGACACACAGAGAGAGAGACATAGACACACATACATAGAGAGACATAGACACACATAGAGAGAGACACACAGAGAGAGACACACAGAGAGAGAGACATAGACACACACAGAGAGAGACACACATACAGAGAGAGAGACATAGACACACAGAGAGAGACACACACACACATAGAGAGAGACACACACACACAGAGAGAGAGACACACAGAGAGAGAGACATAGACACACAGAGAGAGACACACAGAGAGAGAGACACACAGAGAGAGAGACACACAGAGAGAGACACACATACAGAGAGAGACATAGACACACAGAGAGAGACACACATACATAGAGAGAGAGACATAGACACACAGAGAGAGACACACACACACATAGAGAGACACATAGACACACACAGAGAGAGACACACACAGAGAGAGAGACACACAGAGAGAGAGACACACAGAGAGAGAGACACACAGAGAGAGACACACATACAGAGAGAGACATAGACACACAGAGAGAGACACACATACATAGAGAGAGAGACATAGACACACACACACACACGACAGAGAGAGACACACACACACACAGAGAGAGACACACACACATACAGAGACACACACACACACAGAGAGAGAGACACACACGTTTTTGCTTCATGTCAATTAAGCTAAGATGCAATGATGTGGATTTCCTGCTCAACATAATTAACTTAATGAGCGGCTCCCAAATAAAGCTTAAGAGGTTTTCCGGCTGACGGCAAAGCCCAGATTCCCTTCACTAAGACTTTCTTTAGCTAACTAACATTTAGTTGACAGGCAGACTTAATCTTTTGCCGACACATTTTGACTTTACCAATACATTCTTGAGCAAGCTAGGGTCACACGAGTCTGGTACAATCTTCAAGTCATTTCTATAATACTGCAATATCTTTAATTACAACTGTGCAGGTTTTAAAAACACAATAAATACACGATGCAAGGAAATAAAAAACATGGAATGAAGCTGGGAAGTTAAAAACGTTTCCCAACAGCCTGATATATTTTTTTAAACCACCCATACGAACAAAATCCAAACTTCATTGCATCACAACAAAAGGTGTTCATCTGTTCAACTAAAAGTATTATTTAGAAACCAAATCCTGAATGTTCTGAGCAGGACGTGTGAACTCATGCTTGCTGTTTCTTGTCTTTGTAAAAGTAATTTATTTTTGGTTGTTTTGTACAAAGAAATGATTTGTTTAAAACCATGAATCGAATATCACGGATGACGATGACCTAATCTTTTATTTTCCATGAACAATGTACGCTAGAGGAGGACCAGACACGTTTTAAGATTCTTCTTGCCCCCTTTGAACATGATGGAAACTATTTGAGAACTAAGTACTTTGCCGTACTTAGTTCATGAGAACTAAAGAGCAGATCGCGTTCACACCGGAATAAATTCCCTGAGGGAGGATTACGCAAATGAGCCGCTGACGTCACTTCTTCTTCTGCTGCTTTGGGTTTACTGGCAGGCCGCAAACAACTTCACGGTGTATACTGCCACCCGGAGTCCCCGGCCGGAAGTCCCCGGAGTTGGGGAAGGCTTCAGTAGAAGCTGCTGGGACTCCCAGCAGCTTCTACTGAAGCCTTCCGAGTAAATCGCCAGAACGCCGACACCTCCTCATCTCCACCGCTCCCATGTTTTATTTTGTGTTGCCATAAGTTAGTCTCTCTCTGTTGGTGCGCTGGGCGAATGCTAATGCTAATAATGCTAATGCGAGCAAATAAAATGGCGGCTTCACAAAACTTTTGGGGAGTTTTACGGGGCGTGGTTTGCAATCCGCACAGCCAATCAGAAATGGGAACCTTTTTCTCCCACGAAAGTACCTGCTCTCTAGCAGGGACGGAAAAGGGGGTGGAAAGGTTCTCATGGACTAAGTTCTAGTTCGGGATTTTTTTGGTGTGAACGCACATTTTCGGGAAAAGTACTCCGGTGTGAAAGCGCCTAGTGTTATAATTATTACTATTGTTTCTAACATGTTCAATAAATTGACTAATACAAAAAGAAAAAAAGATTCACGTGTACTCACCACCTCTGTGGAAGTCTCTGCATGTTCGGAGGTGACGTGCTCCTGTAGAGACGTCTCTGTGTAGCCCATCTTCCCGCAGTAAGGACACGTGAAGGACTGGGGCTGCTCTACTGAAAAGGTGTCTCCTCCATAGTACAAGTCTGCAGGAATCAAGGTTTTATATCAGTAATAATACTTTAATGGTCAGATCAAGTCTGAAATGTGACATAACAGCACAATCAGTGAGAGAAAACATGCTCTAAGAGCCTTCAGCGTGCATCTGATCTGGGTTCAGCTCTGTAACATCATGGCTGGTCCATAATATTCAGAAATATTCCAAAGTACGTTTCAAAAGTTAGCTTCAACAACATCTCCGTATCATAAAGTGTAATTGAACTGTGTCTGTGGGTACGTACAACTGGTAGTATTATTTTATGTTTGGCTTAATGGTTATAAAAAGATAAAAGCTGTTTTTTAATTTGTTTCATGTGTGATTGACTGTGCAGACCATAAAGCGGGTAGCCAATGCTAGTGCTAATCAGAAACAGAAACAGGTTTATTACCAGATAGGTTTATACGTACGAGGAATCTGACTTGATGTCATGGTGCATACATAAAAAATAATATAGCAGTATTTACATAGACATAGAATGGAATAAAATGTGGTACTAATAAAAAAAAGAAAACAGATATTGTACATTTGTGTGCATTAATGTAATATATATAATATAAGATATACTAGCCTCAAAACAGCATACATTACATTTCTTATGACTCTTAACAAAAGGAATTGTATGGAACAGGCATGAGGAGTGTGTGTGTGTGATTCGTATAACACCAGAGGTGGGAAGTAGTGGAGTACAAATACTTTGTTACTGTACATGTTTCTGGTATCAGTACTTCACTCCACTACTTATTTTTCTGACGACTTTTTACTTTGACTTCTTACATGTTGAACACAAATACCTGTACTTTCTACTTCTTACATGTTGAACCCAAATACCTGTACTTTCTACTTCTTACATGTTGAACCCAAATACCTGTACTTTCTACTTCTTACATGTTGAACCCAAATACCTGTACTTTCTACTTCTTACATGTTGAACACAAATACCTGTACTTTCTACTTCTTACATGTTGAACACAAATACCTGTACTTTCTACTTCTTACATTTTGAACTCAAATACCTGTACTTTCTACTTCTTACATTTTGAACTCAAATACCTGTACTTTCTACTTCTCACATGTTGAACACAAATACCTGAACTTTCTACTTCTTACATGTTGAACTCAAATACCTGTACTTTCTACTTCTTACATGTTGAACACAAATACCTGTACTTTCTACTTCTCACATTTCCCAAACAGGCTGGTTCCTTTAGTTTGAATGTGTGTTTGGTGGCGTGATCATTATTATTTAGAGTCATTGCGTGCCTATTGATTTGAACACGATCCGTGTATCCATCATTTCCTGGTCTTCTCTAAAGAAGAGGGACCAATGAAAACGTTGTCATGTTGCCGTTGTTCAGCATGGAAACATTCATTAGCTAACAATGACATTATTGTTCTATTAATATAAAGGGAGGTCAGGTACTCTTTAAAACAGCTGCTAGTTATGGGTACTTTTTACTGAAGTACATTTCAAAGCCTCTTTACTTTTACTTGAGTAAAGAAGTTTAGTCAGTACTTCTACTTTCACCAGAGTATTTTTAAACACGAGTATCTGTACTTCTACTTGAGGAAAGCATGCGTGTACTTTTTACTTCTTACCATAGTCTACCCTGGTTAATATACACTGCATGGGGTGCTCTGTGGTGTGTCGGGTGGTGGTGGCTCCGCTCTCGTAGCACGACGCGCACAGGTCGTAGTCGTAGCAGATTAAACACTTGAACCGTCTTCCTCTAAAGTTCCCTTTTAAACACGCATCACAGCTCACACCTGCAGGAACAACAACACAAAAGGGAGGAGTAGAGGAAGACAAATTATGAGGAGGTGGCGGTAAAGTCACAAATTCCTTATAACTGCAGGAATGACGGAGGTGTTTTGGAGTGGCACCAACACACAAGTGGCAGCTATGAGGAACTATCTTAATATGCAAAGTGTTAAAGACATTCCATAACCCCATTACGCATCTAATTACCGGTTAACAGCTTTTATTTACTAATTGATACCGCTATGCTAATTTCATAGGTAGCATATTACTTTATGTATTCATCTAGAACTCCATCTCACTAGTATTTACTTCACCATGAGCAGCTGAACCCTTTAAAGCTGCATTAATCTCATTAGTTTGAATGCACCACTGGATGAATTGCAATATACATAAGTAGGAGTGAACTGTGCACATTTTTCTATATTAAAATATTTGTATTGGACATTTAAATCTAATGTCTTATGTGTAGTATACATTTCTTTATTAATTATTGCACACTTAATGTAACTTCTTATGTCTGTATACATTTTTTTACACTGAAATGGAGCAACTGTCACAAAACCCACATTTCCTTTAAGATAAATGAAGTGTTCTGAATAGCTTATTGATAATCACAAGGCAAGGCAAGTTTATTTATATAGCACCTTTCAACACAAGGCAATTCAAAGTGCTTTACAACAAATGAAAGACATTAAGAAATAGTGCAGCAGAAACATATTATAAAATGGCATTTAAAAGCAAAGATAATAAAACATGAATAACACAGGACGTACATGAATAAATGTCATAATAAATACAACTCCTGTCCTGTGCACTCTTTACTATGTGATTGCATAGAAGAAGTCTCAATTATCTGCACACACACAACCAGTTATTTTCCATGCATCATAGTTACCATCACACACACATATTATATTCTAACTCCTGCCTCGCGGACGTTTCCTTTCAAGGGAAGAAAACACCTCGTTTGGCAAACATTGGGTGGAAGGTGTGCAATTATTGTGGGAATTTCCTTTGTTGAGACTGCTGTGATGCCTCGCAACAAAAAGCTTTATTTAAGGAAGAGAAAATCTCAACATTTATTGAGCAAACCTAGGCCTGAACAAACAAATCACAGGGTTGAGTCTAAATATCAGCGGTAAGGCAATGTGTTGATTAAAGGTTGCTTTGTTTGTGCCATTGCATAGGGTTGCAAAAACAAGGTATTGGTATAAAAACTGCACGTCTTCTTCCACTTATACAAAGAATTTCTAATAAGAACCGGTCCATTAGGGAATATTTAAAAAGGTTACCAAGTACATTTTCTGTCCTTCTTTCAACATGGTAAAGATAATATCATACAAGCTGCACCTTTATTGATTCCCATCGTGTATTGCAGCACTCTTATCTTTTCAACGGTTTAAAAATAGTTGTGCATGCTTTTGTGTCCTTTCTCTCGTTACCTGGTTACTCACAAATATTCACACATTTATCGCACATCACCCAGTTTTGAAGTGGCTTCTGGTTCAATGTAAGCTTCAACTGAAGATCTATCTGATCATCTGTTAAGGTGTCTAAGTATCTTGAGAGTATATTAGTGAACCGACAGGCTCCTCGAGGTCTCTGCACACGTCCTGCTAGCTGTACCTTGTTCAAGACTTAAAACAACACAAGAGGACAGTGCGTTTTCTGTCCTGGGTCCAAAATTGTAGAACACTTTTCCCCCCTGTAACTCTGGTCAGCAAATTCTCCTGGGTGTTTACGTCACAGTCTGAATGTATGTTTTACCCTCACCTGCAGGTCACTGAGCATTTCTAATCAGACACTTTTTCTGTCTGTCACTTCTGAAAAATATGTAGAAATCTTTAGAAATATCTCAACACTGAGTCAGGGCATCAGACATTGGAAATATAAGATATGTCATGTTGCCTTACACCCAGACTATTGTTAACTTGGAATTGCCTTTTGATAATAACTTTTGTTAATATATAAGGACAACAAATTGTGTTTTTTATGCTGCTGCAACTCAAAGTACCTAAGTATCTATCTATCTATCTACTGTTTGTTTTTGTTACCTACCACAGCCAACCCCGCATTTGGCAGGTAGCAAAGGCTCATTTAATTTCCTGGTCATAACAACGTGTTTTAATGCTCGACATAATTACTTCATTCTACTGTAAACGTTTGTGCACTTTGTAGTCTAGGTTTTGAAATGTGCTGAATAAAAATAAATTAACTTGCTTACCACTTTCTTAGTTAGTTCCTTTACAAGAACATTTACTCAAGTTCTGTACAAATTTGAGGTAGTTGTACTTTACTTGAATATTTCAATGTTTTGCTACTTTGTACTTTTACTCCACTACATGTATTTAATACCTTTAGTTACTTCACAGATCTGGATGAATGATGTGAAATATAATCAAGTGTTAAATCAGACTTTAGTTCCACCTGGAGTAAATCCACAAGCTACCCTGCAGTATACAAAGTCATTCAAACTAGCTGCACCTTTACCAGCTTTGAGAACACTTTAATGATCAATCATTATAAAACATATCATATATATTATTCTGAAATGGACCAATCTGCACAATCACTACTTTTGTTACTTTAAGTATATTTTGATTGTAATACTTTTCTGCTTTTACTTGAGTAACATTTTGAATGCAGGACTTGTACTTGTAACAGAGTATTCCTACTCTCTGGTACTTCTACTTTTACTCAAGTACAAGATCTGAGTACTTCTTCCACCTCTGATGAATGAAGGGAAATGAAGCACAACGTAACTTAACCCTATAGCTAGCTGTTAGCCTGTCAGCTAGCTCACTTAGGAGACTGGTTCGAGGCCTCAGACTGTCTTCTTGATGACAGTGCATTCGCTAACAACAGTGGTGATACCAGACGTCCAGTATTTACATTACATCTATTTTGAATCAAAACACAAGTTAAAAAAGGCTGCGTAGAGCTACAACGCGATATATTGAAATAAACAACATTTGAGAGCCAATTAAATGAAGTCGCAGCTACACCAATACTCCTTATGTTAGCATTCATTAGCTGCTAATCTACCTAGCAACGGCTAATTGCTAAGCTCCGCAATGTTGCCGTTTCATCGCCTTAAGATACCCATGTGCTATTAATTAGAAGATTTGGGGGATTTATAGACGATGAGAGTGAACGTATGTGTTTCCGTACAAGATTTAAAGCAAGCTGCAAAAAGCGCAACACCACCATCCGACTGGAATTAGCACTTAACTGAGGAGGCTAGCATTAGCACTTAGCTCCGGAGCTAGCATTAGCACTTAGCTTCTGGATCTGTTTACTCACCCTCATGTCGGGACATCCTACAAACGGACCCCTCCTCGGGCTCCCCAAGCGTCCTTCACCGGTGCACAGTACGGGTATTTTATTTGCTGAATCTGAATAGAAAAGCTCTTCACCCTTTGCCTTTTTTTTCTCCAAGCAAGATGGATCCTCCGGCAGCAGCTTACAGTTTGTTCTGCTTCCCCTCCCAGAGTATCGCGATATTTCGGATGAACACCAGGCGGCGCAGTCACACATAGGAGGAGGTGGTGGTGGGTTTATTGTGCCCATGGTTTTGCCTCGCAGGAAAATCTCTACTATTACAATTCAGAGGTAAATGGTGTACTTTTACTCCACTGCATGTATTTAATACCTTTAGTTACTTTACAGATCTGGATGAATGATGTGAAATATAATCAAGTGTTAAATCAGACTTTAGTTCCACCTGGAGTAAATTCACAAGCTACCCTGCAGTATACAAAGCCATTCAAACTAGCTGCACCTTTACCAGCTTTGAGAACACTTTCATGATCAATCATTATAAAACATATCATATATATTATTCTGAAATGGACCAATCTGCACAATGACTACTTTTACTGTCGCTACTTTCACTATATTTTGATGAGAATACTTTTCTACATTTACTTGAGGAACATTTTGAATGCAGGACTTTTACTGTAACAGAGTATTCCTACACTCTGGTACTTCTACTTTTACTCAAGTACAAGATCTGAGTACTTCTACTTTTACTCAAGTACTAGACCTGAGTACTTCTACTTTTACTCAAGTACAAGATCTGAGTACTTCTACTTTTACTCAAGTACAAGATCTGAGTACTTCTACTTTTACTCAAGTACAAGATCTGAGTACTTCTACTTTTACTCAAGTACAATATCTGAGTACTTGCCTTCAGTAATCAGAATCAGGATTCCTTTAATCGTCCCACAAAAGGGTCATTTTCGTTTTTATGTGCAATATATGTATATATATATATATGTATATATAAATAGTAACTAAAGGTATTAAATAAATGTAGTGGAGTAAGAGTACACGATTTACCTCTGAATTGTAGTGAAGTAGAAGTACAACGTAGCAGAAATTTGAGATGTGCATGTAAAGTACAATAAACCTCAAAATTGTACAGTACTTGAGTAAATGTACTTTGTTGCACTTTTAGTAACCACTTCCTCAGAGGTGGGAGAAGTACTCAGATCTTGTACTTGAGTAAAAGTAGAAGTACTCAGATCTTGTACTTGAGTAAAAGTAGAAGTACTCAGATCTTGTACTTGAGTAAAAGTAGAAGTACTCAGATCTTGCACTTGAGTAAAAGTAGAAGTACCAGAGTGTAGGAATACTCTGTTACAGTAAAAGTCCTGCATTCAAAATGTTCCTCAAGTAAAAGTAGAAAAGTATTCTCATCAAAATATAGTGAAAGTAGCGACAGTAAAAGTAGTCATTGTGCAGATTGGTCCATTTCAGAATAATATATATGATATGTTTTATAATGATTGATCATGAAAGTGTTCTCAAAGCTGGTAAAGGTGCAGCTAGTTTGAATGAATTTGTATACTGCAGGGTAGCTTGTGAATTTACTCCAGGTGGAACTAAAGTCTGATTTAACACTTGATTATATTTCACATCATTCATCCAGATCTGTAAAGTAAAAGAATAAATGTACTTAGTTACTTCCCACCTCTGCGCTTCGCATGTTTCTTCATGTGTTTTGTCACCTTTGTGTTTTTATATTTGCACTGTTTCTGAAGCTGCAGTGTATTTCTCAAAATGTGTTGCAGCTTTAACTATAGATTATAATATATTTGTCATTATAACCTTTGAACAAAAAAGCAGACTGACTGAGTGCGTCTTCGTAAAAAGTATTTTTATTTTTGTACATAAGTTTCAGTTCATTTCTGTGCTGATGAGGACAGTCTGACGAACCAGTGCATTACAATGAAGACTTCACAGCAGTGTAGAAGTTTGGGGTGGAGCACGACTCTCACTTTGGGAAATACAAGAGAGACTCCACCCTCGTGCATAAGCCTGATGTAGCCATACAAAAGTCACACAATCTGTACATACAATTCATTACATGTGCTTCAACAGTGGAGAGTGAGAGGAGGATTTCAGTATCAAAAAGCGGCCTCTTCTTTCCGTCCTCCCTCAGATTTATTGTACGACAGTTAGGGGGGAAACAGTAAAGAAGAAGGAGGCAGTCTCCCCAACATACAATATAATCTCTTTGTGTAGCTGTGCAACTTCTGGAAACAAAAACAAGACAGAAAACCTGAAAGAATTACTCCGTGAGATACTGCGTACCACATATATATTGGGGGGGGGGGGGACATTGACCCCAAATGTTTTGTGTACTTGTTCAACAAACCAAACACCAGGGAATCCCAATGGTGATGCATGTTCTATATTTGACAACATTTACCATCCTCTTTGCAAATTAAACATACGCTACAGTCGTATCTCACCTCGACAGTCATTCACAAAGGCTTTCAGTCCAATAAAACCAAAGTAGTGGATACAAACCCTCATCTTCAGTACAGAATATTTATACTTTCTCATCAAAATATAACAATATTTACATATTTGCATCAGATTTGAAAGTGTGAGATAGGCCGGATCATTTCCTAAAAATGTCAAATGTTATTCTTTTAGCACCTGAGCAAAAATAATCTTCTCTGACCACATTTAATTTTTTTTAAATTACATGAATTAATGCAAACAACATTATGTACATTTTTAAAGCTTTACATTTTTGGAGCATTTACTTGTATTTACAGTACAATCAAAGGTTGGGATTTTGAAGGCGCAGCTCAGTAACGTCTGTGACGGAAAAGAGTCGGGACGAAATGTGTGGTTTTTATAACAGAGTGGTGCAGTGACGAGTCCTAAAACCCGGAAGTGAGTTAGCATTTGATCACTTCCTGTTCCCTCGTCTCAGAGCCAATGGGATCTCTCCATAGGATTTTGGAAAATAGCTGAAATAAGGTCTGTGGTTGAGACACATTGAAGAGACGGATCACGTTTTGTTCTACGACATTAAATCCATCAGCAGTGACCCCAGTGGTGATTTCTGAAGAGTTGACGTGTCTGAAAAACGATGGTTGTTACCAAGTGGCTGAATAGGACTACAGAAGTTGTGGAGGCCGTTGTACGTCATTACGCCGAACACATAAACACTGCTCTAAGTTTGTTTGCCCTGTTCTGCTTGAAAGCAAGTACCTGCCTCCTGCAAAGTGTTCAAACAAACGCTTCAACTTGAACCATTTAGAATCTGTGTGTTTGAATATGGATCTGAAGTTGGCGTGACGTTGAAGCAGCGACCCGACTGTAGTTCCTTTATAGCATAACGTTAGCATTTTGCTTCTGGCGATTAGATTTACGATTAGAAAATTATAAAAGTAGGGTAGACATGTGTCTCTTAAATGTGTGTCAACCACAGACCTTATTTCGAGCTATTTTCCAAAATCCTATGGAGAAATTGCATTGCGTTTTTGTCGAGGGAACCATGGGGAGAGATACATCCATGGAGGGAACCCATGCGCAGCTTACTCCCGGGTTTTAGGACGCGTCACTGCACCACTCTATAGGTTAACTAGTATAAAAAATAAAAGCATACAGTCTGCAGCTTTGCTTGAAATAAATCTTGTGTCAAAGTCAGTGTTTTTAGCCAGAATTATGCAAAGGATGTGCCGTGTTATATTGTTAAAATTCAGCGATAACACCAAACAATAACACAATGCTATAATGTAAAGGTACAGTGTTTTAAAAAAAAGTACGGAAGCCCTGAGAGGAAATCCCAAAAATAAAATGATGAATGAAAAAGACATTGATCCAGATGTATTCTTAATTGTTTTTCTTCGTTGTTTGCGAATATATAATACGTTTATATGTAAAAATAGGGTTTTTTCAGGATCATTATTTTACATTTACCTTATGTTTAGAGTGTTTAGATAATAATATTACATTTAAACTAATATGGAAGAACAAATAATGCTTTTTGGGTTAGTGCCCCTTGTGGACAAAATGGATATTACAACAACAATCAATGAGAAATAAGAAGGAATACAAAATATCCTTCAAAATGGTATTATAAAAATGTTCCTACGTCAAAAACACAATAGAAAATAAAACATGGAAATTAATATCCGGACATTTTTTTTTGCACTTGCTTTTTCGTTCTTCGTTTCTTCGGCGACTTGCAAACCACGCCCCGTAAAACTCTGAAAAGTTTTTTGAAGCCGCCATTGTATTTGCTGGCATTAGCATTATTAGCATTAGCATTAGCCCCGCGCACCAACGGAGAGAGACTAACTTATGGCAACACAAAAGAAAACATGGGAGCGGTGGAGATGAGGAGGTGTCGGGCGTTCTGGCGATTTACTCTGAAGGCTTCAGTAGAAGCTGCTGGGAGTCCCAGCAGCTTCTACTGAAGCCTTCCCAACTCCGGGGACTTCCGGCCGGGGACTTCGGGTGGCAGTATACGCCGTGAAGTTGTTTGCGGCCTGCCAGTAAACCCAAAGCAGAAGAAGAAGAAGTGACGTCAGCGGCTTCATTTGCCTAATCCTCCCTCAGGAACTTATTCCGGTGTGAACGCGATCAGCTCTTTAGTTCCATGGGGTACTAAGTGCTGGGTACTAAGTGCTGGGTACTAAGTACGGCAAAGTACTTGGTGTGAAAGCGGCTCTTGTGTTTAGAGTTAGTGCCTCTTGTGGCTAAAATTAATATTACAACAACAAACAATACAAAATATGAAGAAATACAAAAGGAAAATATGATTCTTAAAATGTTCCTACATCATAAACACAACAGAAAAAAGACCTGGAAAACGGGTAAAGTTGGATCACCATTTTTTTTTACTTCCATCTCAGTGCTTCCGTACTTGTATTGCTAATAAAGCACATTCGCTTAGTTTGAACTGCTCCAACACGTGTAAAGTTCACATGTTATATGTTTAAAAAGCAAACAGACCTTTGGACGTTGATGCTGTAATGACAAAGAAAGAAAGTGAGGTCGCGACATTTGATCTGCACACAGAAAAACCTGAGTACTTTTTTTCCTTTGAAGCCGGAGAGCAGCTAGCTCTTAGGTAAAACAGCTGTATGTAATACAGATATTCGCTTCCTTGCCAACAGATTCCTGCTGAGTTATGGCTTCTTCCTCCTCTTTTGTGGTTCCTTTTTTGACTTGATGTGATATTGAATGCAAGTAAGAAGCTGATCTACAACAAATAGTATTCGCAAATACAATTTAAAGCAGCCCTCTCTGTGTGTGTGAACCTGAAGCATCACCGGGAAGTATTTGCAGATATTATTTGACGCAGGCTTGTTTATTTTTTCCAGGTCTTCATGATGTCGTATGCTCCGAGGTGTGTGTGGGTCCTTTGGCGTTTCCTCCGTCTGTCCGACTGCCTGTTTTAAAGTCTGCTGTCACAGAGCTGCTGGGTGTCCTCAGTCCATCATGTCCTCCTTCGAGTAGTCTCTGGATTTTCTCTTGAAGAAGCCCATCTAAAGGAGCAGAAAGCTCAGTTAGAAAACGACCAACAAAGTCTACGGGAATGTCAAAGCTCAGAATCTTGGAAGTTTGTTTATTCCCTTTATTGATAAGGTCAACAACAATATCAGGATTTCTGTGAAATATGAAGATAACAGTTGAAGAAGCAGCTGCTTAGTGAAGCATAACGACTGAGTTGAAACACTTACAAAATGTGCATTCAAACATCAAAGCTCCCGAATGAATGCATTACATCTCCTTTGTTTAACTCAACGGCCATTTTAAATTGTTAATTTTATTTACATCTCATTTCAAAGAGTCCAAATTAGAATCACTAGCTTACAAAACAGGACATTTGAGTGCCTCATGTTGACTTTGGGAAACACTGTATGTCATTTTCTTTTACCTACCATCGATCAATTAAGAAATGTCATTAAAGAAAGATTAATTGACGACGAAAGCAGTTGTTAGTTGCAGCCCTAAAGCCAGGGTAGCTGTTGATGCTAAGCTAGGCTAATGGTGTCCTGCTGCTCATAGCTTCATATTTAACATACGGACACAAAAGCACGTTACATTTAGCTCAGACTCAGGGTCTGTTTTACCTTCCAGAGAGCGAAGATGACGAGTGCTAAGATGAGCAGTCCTATGAGGATGCTGATGATGATGATCCAGATGGGGATTCCTCCTGAAGACTCCTTAGAAACCTGGATCTTCGTCTGATGTCACACACACACACACACACACATCATGTAAATATATTTAAACTTGCGACACACAGATGTTTACAGTGAAAACAGATCAATAAATAATGCCTTACACTCCTGGTGTTGTCGCTCAGTTCGAACAGGTCTGTGTTTGTGATCTTCAGCGTGGCGTTCACCAGCATGTACAGACTGGTGAACTCCCCCTGTGAAAGAAATCTCATTTTAACATTTGATTTGTTGATTATCAATCAGTTAGAAAGCTTAGCTAGTCAACCTGCTTCACTGTTCTTCACTTTGAGCAATTCAACAAGAGAGACAAGACAAAATGTGCCGGACGTTCTTAGAGGAAATATAACATGTCTCAAAAACGGTTATAAAGATATTTTTAAATGTTAAATCTTGAATATAACTTAAATTCTAACTATGACTACGAAATAAACATTGTTTTTCTTACAGTTTTAACCCTTTAAATGCCAGTTTGTTTACATAATGTCACTGTTAAAGTGGGAAAAAACACTAATATAGGATTACTTTCTGTTTGTTAAAGTCTAGGAGGATTGTTTTCCCCACAGTGTAGGATATGTCGATTACTACTGTAGCGACTAACAACATTGATTTTGAAAATTGAATGGAAAATAGCATGTATTTGTCCCAAAAGGCACATGAGAAAAGGTCTTAATCTGGTTCAAAATGGTAAAAAGTTAAATTTTGAAGCATCTCGATGTAAAGCCAGATATAATGTCAAGTATAAGTTTAATTTGTTATGGCCATGGGATCAAAATGTGGTTTCTATAATGACATTTAAGGTCTTGGCTACACAGCTTATTATAGTCTTATGATCTATGAGTCTGGGGTTTTCTATTTTGTTGTGTTTCATGTATGAGGGTTTTCAGTCTGTGGCTATAAGTATGGTTTTATTGTCTCGTGCTTTTACATTAGTTTTGTATTGATGTACAGCACTTTGGTCAACACTGTTGTTTTTAAATGTGCTATATAAATAAAGTTGGATTGGATTGATAGGAGGTAAGGTTCAACTTCCACAATTGGACGAAACCTCCCACACTTGCCAAATGATATGCTATATGATTGAACACAGAGTGATGGCTTAAATATCCGGCAGTGAGAGTCTCACCGTGATGAAGGTGGGCTTCCAGACTCTGAACGTGACGTTGACCTGGCTGGAGGTGTTCTCAGGGAGCGAACATCTGAAGGACGCACACTGGTTCTCACATCTCTGCAGAGGACACAGGAAGATTAGAGCTCAGGGCAAAACATATTCACCGGTGAAGCTGAAATTAACTCGACACTCATTAAAAAAATAAACCCACACAGAGTCAGGTCACTCACCAGCAGGAAGACGCTCAGAGTTTCCTTCTTCGGATTCGGGTAAACTATTTTAATACTACTAATTTGCTGATAGTTGATCAACCGAGTTGCGTCACATACAACCTGCAGAGAGACGGACATTAAGGTGTCTCTTCAGATACAAGTGTGTGTGTGTGTGTGTGTGTGTGTGTGTGTGCGTGCGTGCGTGCGTGCGTGCGTGCGTGCGTGCGTGCGTGCGTGCGTGTGTGTACCTTGGCGCTGGATGTGACGTTTATGAGGTACAGGAGGTTGTTCTCCCGAGGCGAGAGTTTAGGATAAACCACATAGAGGTCCAGAGGAGGAGTCACCATGTCACCTGACTTCTCCACCTGAACACAGGGGAGGGAAAAAGCAGATTTTATTAATTAAACTAATGAATAATTAAACTGTGTATTAATATCAGAGGTGGGAAGTAGTGGAGTACAAATACTACGTTACTGTACTTAAGTACATGTTTCTGGTATCAGTACTTTACTCCTCTACTTATTTTTCTGACGACTTTTTACTTTGACTTCTTACATTTTGAACACAAATACCTGTACTTTCTACTTCTTACATGTTGAACCCAAATACCTGTACTTTCTACTTCTTACATGTTGAACACAAATACCTGTACTTTCTACTTCTTACGTGTTGAACACAAATACCTGAACTTTCTACTTCTTACATGTTGAACACAAATACCTGTACTTTCTACTTCTTACATGTTGAACACAAATACCTGAACTTTCTACTTCTTACATGTTGAACACAAATACCTGTACTTTCTACTTCTTACATGTTGAACCCAAATACCTGTACTTTCTACTTCTTACATGTTGAACCCAAATACCTGTACTTTCTACTTCTTACATGTTGAACACAAATACCTGTACTTTCTACTTCTTACATGTTGAACACAAATACCTGTACTTTCTACTTCTCACATTTTGAACACAAATACCTGTACTTTCTACTTCTTACATGTTGAACACAAATACCTGTACTTTCTACTTCTCACATTTTGAACACAAATACCTGTACTTTCTACTTCTTACATGTTGAACCCAAATACCTGTACTTTCTACTTCTTACATTTTGAACCCAAATACCTGTACTTTCTACTTCTTACATGTTGAACCCAAATACCTGTACTTTCTACTTCTTACATGTTGAACCCAAATACCTGTACTTTCTACTTCTTACATGTTGAACACAAATACCTGAACTTTCTACTTCTTACATGTTGAACACAAATACCTGTACTTTCTACTTCTTACATGTTGAACCCAAATACCTGTACTTTCTACTTCTTACACGTTGAACCCAAATACCTGTACTTTCTACTTCTTACATGTTGAACACAAATACCTGTACTTTCTACTTCTTACATGTTGAACCCAAATACCTGTACTTTCTACTTCTTACATGTTGAACACAAATACCTGTACTTTCTACTTCTTACATGTTGAACCCAAATACCTGTACTTTCTACTTCTTACATGTTGAACCCAAATACCTGTACTTTCTACTTCTTACATGTTGAACTCAAATACCTGTACTTTCTACTTCTCACATTTCCCAAACAGGCTGGTTCCTTTAGTTTGAATGTGTGTTTGGTGGCGTGATCATTATTATTTAGAGTCATTGCGTGCCTATTGATTTGAACACGATCCGTGTATCCATCATTTCCTGGTCTTCTCTAAAGAAGAGGGACCAATGAAAACGTTGTCATGTTGCCGTTGTTCAGCATGGAAACATTCATTAGCTAACAATGACATTATTGTTCTATTAATATAAAGGGAGGTCAGGTACTCTTTAAAACAGCTGCTAGTTATGGGTACTTTTTACTGAAGTACATTTCAAAGCCCTCTTTACTTTTACTTGAGTAAAGAAGTGTAGTCAGTACTTCTACTTTTACCAGAGTACTTTTAAACACGAGTATCTGTACTTCTACTTGAGGAAAGGATGTGTGTACTTCTCTGTTAATAACCGAACACATGGATGCGATGTGTTACCGTGTAGCTGATGTTGACCTCCTCTCCGATCATCTTCGTTTCGTTGAACGAACTCGCAAACGTCTCACCGTCTTTCACCACCACGTGTTCATCCATAGGACGCCTGGAAACAAAAACACATATATTAGATTTATGCATTTAATTTAATCAAAGTACCATGAAACCAGAAGTCTCGTTACCAATTCATACGATAATAATTATAACAGTAATGATAATAATACAAAATACAAATAATAATAACGAGATATTCAATTATTTATGATTTTGAAATATTAATTGTATTTATTTATTTATTTACATTTTTGTAATTTCATAACTCTTTTTTATGAACTATAAGCTACAGTAACTCTGTTTTCTTGTTCCTTGACTGTATATATTAATATTAAATTACTGACTTAAAAAAAAAGACATCATCTTGAAAAACGAGTCACTTAATTGGAAGTTTTTGACTTTTTTTCGCACATTTTATTGACCGAACATTTAATTAATCTAGAAAAATAATTGGCAGGTGAATCAATAGATGAGAGTATTCCAGTTGTTAGTTGCAGCATTGATGAAGAGGAGGAGGAAGAGGAGCCACTCACACAGTGAAGATGATTCCAGCTTGGTACTTCACGGGGATGGAGATCTGCACCGAGTTATCGTGCAGCGTCGACTCCAGCTCCTCACTGTCACTGTGGGGGAAAGAGGGTATAATCAATAAATACAATAATCAATAAATAGTGTAATAAATAAACATAATAATTAATAAATATAATAATAAATAAATATAATAATAAATAAATAATATAATTAATAAATACAATAATCAATAAATAGTGTAATAAATAAATATAATAATTAATAAATACAATAATAAATAAATATAATAATAAATAAATAATATAATTAATAAATACAATAATCAATAAATAGTGTAATAAATAAGTATAATAATCAATAAATAATATAATCAATAAATAAATATAATAATAAATAAATAATATAATCAATAAATACAATATTAAATAAATAGTGTAATAAATAAATACAATAATAAATAAATATAATAAATAAATAATATAATTAATAAATACAATAATAAATAAATAGTGTAATAAATAAATATAATAATAAATAATATAATCAATAAATAAATATAATAATAAATAAATAATATAATCAATAAATACAATATTAAATAAATAGTGTAATAAATAAATAGTGTAATAAATAAATAAAACAATACAAAAATATAATAATACAAAAATATAATAATAAATAAATATAATAATAAATAAATAGTGTAATAAATAAATATAATAATAAATAAATAAATACTAAAATAAATACAAATGTATATAACTAGTTTCAAGTTAAAGAAGAAAAAAGCTTTTGGATTTAAGGCACATAATTAAGCATTTTTTAGATTTAGTTTTTCTATGTATACTTAATGTAAAAGCATGAGTTTGTATTTTGAACAAAGTATATTGGTCAAATAAAGAAAAAGTCAAACATATAAAAAAATACCTCGTGGCTGTCACGTTGATCTGAATCACGTCCTGGATGTGTTTGGGATTCACCTCAAATCTCACTTTGAAGTCTTCCTGTGGATATCAGAACATAACACATATTATTAGCAGCACTAAAGACAACAGCAACTCATTTAATACAGACTCAATACGGCTGACACTGACCTCTACGTTGCTTCCTAAGAAAGGGTATCCAACCGCACACTCCACCTTCGTGTGATTCAGCGTGCACGCTTTCTCCGGCTGGTAATAACACAAAATGAAACACACATCGTTACACACATGGCTTTCATTTACCCATAAGGACCCACCGTGACACAGGTGTTACATGACATCGGCCCCTAGTTTTGCTGCTATAGACTTAGATTGTCGGGAGACACCTTACTTCTTCCTTCTCTCTGTCTGTACCTGTGTACTCTCATGAATAACCCAGCTTCCCCCAAATTTCTTTTTGGTATCTATCTACGCCGGGATCCTGAGTCGTGGATGATCCTGTTGCTGTGGTCCTGGATCATAAGTCCTGGATGGATATCCTCGTGGATTCATCTTCTTATTATAGACACACGCATTTCCAAACATTTGGTCTACCTATGTTGTAAATGTATTATCTTTTCGATTTACACACGGCATCTATTGCACGTGTGTCCGTCCTGGGAGAGGGATCCCTCCTCTGTTGCTCTCCCTGAGGTTTCTCCCATGTTCCCCTTTAAACTGTGGGGTTTCTCCGGAAGTGTTTCCTTGTACGATGTGAGGGTCTAAGGACAGAGGGTGTCGTATTGTCATACTGATATTCTGTACAAACTGTGAAGTCCACTGAAACAAATGTAACATTTGTGATATTGGGCTATATAAATAAACATTGATTGATTGATTTCAATGTTCTGGAAAGTTCCTTATACAGCTTTAGCCTTGGTTTCATCTCATGAAGTCCCTGAGTGACACACCCTGAACACTCTGGTGGATCACGGGCCAGGTCATGTGACTTTGTGTTCCCATAACAACATGTCCAAGGGCCAGGCTAACACATGTGACAGAACTAGCAACATGTTTTGTTTGTTGCTAAAGGGAAAATTCAAGCCATTTAAGAATTAAAATTCTTACATAACATGTCCTTTATTACATTTAACCTGTTGTGGAAACATTTCTTGATCAAATTGATATGAAACGAATTAGATAAATGTTCACATCGGGACTTTAATCCTAAACTTTCACAGTAAACCCGGAGTGACACATGCACAATCAGAAATATTATTATGATCTGCTCAGTTAATTTAGCTGATTCAATTATATTGAGTTAATATATTCTTTATTCTTGAATTCAAAGAATGTTCAAACAAATTTAAACCAAAAAACATCCTCATTAATTAAGTTATAAATAAGAGTTACTTTACCATTAAAGCCCAATGTGACATATATGTCACTTTTCAGATATTTGACACTAGGGGGGGTGTTACTTGTCAGAAATGTGTTCTATGTGGTCTATTTAGTTTAAATTATGTTCCCCTTAATTTTCCCAAAAGTAGAAATGGGTCCGGGTTCTTATGGGTTAAGATGCTGCAGACAGAAGATGGTCTCACCTCCACTTTAACGTAGTTGATGTTTGGGGAGAAGCTGAGGATGACTTTGGTGTTGTACGCGTTGTCTTTGCTGTTCCTCACGTTGATGTTCACGTCGATCTTGTCTTTGTTGGTTCTGATCATCATCCTGCAAGATTATTACAAATGTGAGTATTTGTGGGTGTAATGCAAACATCTATCCACCAGGAGGCAGTCATGCACAGGAAGCTGCTAATAAACACAGATGGCAAAAGTACTCACATCCTTTCCTCAAGTAGAAGTACAGATACTCGTGTTTAAAAATACTCTGGTGAAAGTAGAAGTACTGACTAAACTTCTTTACTCAAGTGAAAGTAAAGAGGGCTCTGAAATATACTTCAGTAAAAAGTACCCATAACTAGCAGCTGTTTTAAAGAGTACCTGACCTCCCTTTATATTAATAGAACAATAATGTCATTGTTAGCTAATGAATGTTTCCATGCTGAACAACGGCAACATGACAACGTTTTCATTGGTCCCTCTTCTTTAGAGAAGACCAGGAAATGATGGATACACGGATCGTGTTCAAATCAATAGGCACGCAATGACTAATAATAATAATGATCACGCCACCAGACACACATTCAAACTAAAGGAACCAGCCTGTTTGGGAAATGTAAGAAGTAGAAAGTACAGGTATTTGGGTTCAACATGTAAGAAGTAGAAAGTACAGGTATTTGTGTTCAACATGTAAGAAGTAGAAAGTACAGGTATTTGAGTTCAACATGTAAGAAGTAGAAAGTACAGGTATTTGTGTTCAACATGTAAGAAGTAGAAAGTACAGGTATTTGAGTTCAACATGTAAGAAGTAGAAAGTACAGGTATTTGTGTTCAACATGTAAGAAGTAGAAAGTACAGGTATTTGGGTTCAACATGTAAGAAGTAGAAAGTACAGGTATTTGTGTTCAACATGTAAGAAGTAGAAAGTTCAGGTATTTGAGTTCAAAATGTAAGAAGTAGAAAGTACAGGTATTTGTGTTCAACATGTAAGAAGTAGAAAGTACAGGTATTTGTGTTCAAAATGTATGAAGTAGAAAGTACAGGTATTTGTGTTCAACATGTAAGAAGTAGAAAGTACAGGTATTTGTGTTCAAAATGTAAGAAGTAGAAAGTACAGGTATTTGAGTTCAAAATGTAAGAAGTAGAAAGTACAGGTATTTGAGTTCAAAATGTAAGAAGTAGAAAGTACAGGTATTTGTGTTCAACATGTAAGAAGTAGAAAGTACAGGTATTTGAGTTCAACATGTAAGAAGTAGAAAGTACAGGTATTTGAGTTCAACATGTAAGAAGTAGAAAGTACAGGTATTTGTGTTCAACATGTAAGAAGTAGAAAGTACAGGTATTTGTGTTCAACATGTAAGAAGTAGAAAGTACAGGTATTTGGGTTCAACATGTAAGAAGTAGAAAGTACAGGTATTTGTGTTCAACATGTAAGAAGTAGAAAGTTCAGGTATTTGAGTTCAAAATGTAAGAAGTAGAAAGTACAGGTATTTGTGTTCAACATGTAAGAAGTAGAAAGTACAGGTATTTGTGTTCAAAATGTATGAAGTAGAAAGTACAGGTATTTGTGTTCAACATGTAAGAAGTAGAAAGTACAGGTATTTGTGTTCAAAATGTAAGAAGTAGAAAGTACAGGTATTTGAGTTCAAAATGTAAGAAGTAGAAAGTACAGGTATTTGAGTTCAAAATGTAAGAAGTAGAAAGTACAGGTATTTGTGTTCAACATGTAAGAAGTAGAAAGTACAGGTATTTGTGTTCAAAATGTAAGAAGTCAAAGTCATCAGAAAAATAAGTAGTGGAGTAAAGTACTGATACCAGAAAAATGTACTTAAGTACAGTAACAAAGTATTTGTACTCCACTACTTCCCACCTCTGGTAATGAAGTACATATCGTTAAGTATTTGTATGCTATTTTATACAAGTATTGTTTTAAGACAGATTAATTCCACTTACTTATTGACACTAGGCACTGCTTTGAGAGAGAGATCAGCGATGCACTTCTCATCACTTCCACAGTCCACCAGGGGAATCTACAAGAGAGAGACATTTAAAATTCATCACTAGGGACATTTTTGCAATTAAAATAAGTAAAGAAATGCATCCTTTAAGTCCACCTCCATTTGAAGATGCATTTTGATCATTGCTAAGGGAATAGTTTGATGTATTGCAATGTAATGAGGGATGTTTATATTATCTTTTGACATAATTGAGGCTATATTCCCATTTCCTATGGGTTCCTAAGTGTCCAAACTGCAGCAGAAATACACAGAGCAGTCGATGTGTACTATATTTCCTACTGTGTTTTAATTCCCATCGTATCTTTCATCAATAATGACATTCTATCCCGGTTTTTATGCATATTTAATGTTTATTTCCCCTTATTGTAATGCATTTCTTGTGGGAAAGTTCCTATAAAAACAACCTGTATTAGTATTAATCTTCAGGAGCTCCTCTGCAGAAATGAGCAGATGAACTAGGGTGAAAGTCAGCTGTGTATTTGTTTGTATCTCAGACTAAAAGGGGCCCTCAGATGACCCTCATTTCCTCTCAGAGTGTCACAGTCACTCCTCCCAAGAAAAGGACAGGAGAGAATGTGTGTGTGTGTGTGTGTGTGTGTGTGTGTGTGTGTGTGTGTGTGTGTGTGTGTGTGTGTGTGTGTGTGTGTGTGCGTGTGTGTGTGTGTGTGTGTGTGTGTGTGTGTGTGTGTGTGTCGCTTCTCTTCCCTTCAATAACAATAACAGGAGGCTTGTGTAAGAGCATCGCTGCTATCTGACACCGAGGATGTGTCGAGGCTCATAAACACATCACACATGCTACTGTTGCTTCTGCATGTTACCACACACACACACACACACACACACACACACACACACACACACACACACACACACACACACACACACACACACACACACACACACACACACACACACACACACACACACACACACACACACACACACACACACACACACACACACACACACACACACACACACACACACACACCACACACACACACACACACACACACACACACACACACACACACACACACACTGTAACAAGAGCATTAATAGCAACGGTCGCTGCCGTCAATATCAACATCTTTCTTTACAGCTTTGTATCTGAAATGAATAAATTATGCATAAAAATGTAACGATAAATGATGAGAGAGGGGATCTCAACAGATGCATCGGAGCGTTATTTTTTCATTTACTGATTAAGAGAAGCATGGTAAAAGGATCTTGATAACTTCTGGTGTCTCTATGGTGTTTGGAGTTAGCGCCTACACCTGTTCTGCTTTTTGTATGGCGTTCCCCTTCCTGTAGTGTGTGTTTTAAGTGGTTTTTGTGCATGTAAATGGTCTGCAGAGGCTAAAATCCCAAAGTTTCGTAACATAGTGACATCACTGTAACACTCGCGCTCCTATTGGCTAGCGCTCCAACACATTAGACGTGTTTGTTGCAATGGCACAACAAAGCCAAACGACCGTATTTAAAAAGTGAAAAAGGTTTGTTGAAAATGTTAATTTGCAAATGTAATTATATTCTTGGTCTGGTTTTATTTTTTAGCATTATTATGTAATCTGCCATATGTCTAATGTTGGGGAATGTTCGGTTGTGTTTGTGTAATGTGATGAATGTAAAAAATCCATAAATACATGTTTAATAAAAAAAATAATGCAAGTGAACAGGTTGCACTCGCTGGTATCCTCCAAAGATATGAGGACATCCCCTTTGCATTTTCTGTATGTGCTGAAGCCGAATTCCCACGTCAGATTCCCCCTCTTTATCTGGATACACGTCACTCATTGGAAACATTATCTGGAGAGCCTCTTGTTAGGACAGATATGCATGTAGGAGTGTGGGAATTCAGAAAACTGACCGAAGGATGGCAGTCAGCTGTTCTCATGTTAACGAAGTGTAACAGTTTGGAGCCACAGTTGGATTATGGAGACAGATGGAGGAAGTGTAAGATATATATTTATGAAACACAGCACATTTGGAAGTGAGGCGGCAGAGAAATGTATTTTTTTGTATATTTGATAGGGACAAATCTAATGCTAATTCTAATTTAGACTTTTTGGAGTTGCTGTTGTTGGTGTGCTTATGAACTGAACTGAATGGAGTTGCTATTGTTACCCAACTAAACCCTTTATTGAGCAGATTGAACTATAGATATTGAACTATTGAAGTGCACAACAGTAGAGCAGTCCTGACTGAAGGACGGCAGTCAGCTGTTCTCATGTTAACGAAGTGTAACAGTTGGGAGCCATTGTTGGATTATGGAGACAGATGGAGGAAGTGTAAGACGAGCATCAGATGCTTCCTGTCTGCGGCTCTAAATCTTCTGCTCACTGTTACTTGGCAGTTCATCCCCAAAGTGCTGAGAGGACACTCTTACTGGTGGGATTAAAAAGTGTCTTACTGTCTTGTTGATGGATCGAGGGAGGTTTTCATCCAGGACGGGGCCTTGGTCTTCATCTGAGAGGCCAAACTCCAGAGACACCATGAGAGGATCTCTGAAGTCCAGACGGGCCTGTAGGAGGAAGAGGAGGAGAGTTAGTAAAGAATGATTAATGATCCTCCTCACACATGGTCCTCCCACACAGGGGCTTTTCACTAGAATCCTACTCAGGACTACAGTACTGTATGTGGGTGTTTACACAAAAGCATCATCGCCATGAATTTCCTGTTAATGCTGCACCCACATCACCAGCACATGCATCAATAACCCCCCCACTGGACTTTAACACCCCCCACTCACACACTCACATCCAGCACCAGACACTATCTTTTTACGCTGCTATGGACAGTCTTGCACTAATGTACATTTCTCAAAGATATTGAAGTGACTGTTATTTTGTATATATTGATTGTTGTGCTTTTATGTATGTCTTAATGTGTGCATACTGTATAAATATGTCTGTTGATTGTGTATATATAGGTATATACACATTTTTATATATATTTGTTTTTGTATTCGGGATTGTGGGAAATGGTATTTCGATCTCTCTGTCTGTACACACACTGAAAGATTGGCAATAAAGATGACTTTGACTTTTGACTTTGACTAAAGGGTCCATAGAGTTGGTGCTTTGCTGAGCTGACGTCATGTTGGGAAGACATAGCGCAGATGGAAGTAAATACTGTGTTATAGTAATAGACTTTTTTAGTAATTTGCATATTGCATGTATGTTTTGCTTCCATGGAATTCATGTGGTGTTGCAACCCAGTGTCACGGCATTTCGTGTTATAGTCACAAAATGTAATCTATTGATTCGTGTTCACCAACACGATTTCCCCATTTTTTTTCGTGTCACACAGAACGATTTTAAAAGCAATGTAAATAATAACAAATTAGAAGGAAAAACAGATGTCAGTATTCTGAGGCTCTGAGCCACATTTCTTTTCCTCACGGACGGCAAAAAAAGTCAGATATTATACGATTTAAAATAAAAACAATAATCGTGGCTTGATATTGAGTAAGACATTTTTTTTATGAACCCCACAGCTTCTGGTCTTCCAAGACCCGACCGGACAAAAAGACGTGGTGCAGGCACGAAACATACTACCAATAGAAATACATTGCTTTTAAAATCGTTCTGTGTGACACGAAAAAAATGGGAAAATCGTGTTGATCAATAGATTAAATTAATTTCGTGACTAAAACACGAAATGCCGTGAGACTGGGTTGGGTATTACGGTTGTAGTCCGTGTAATAAGACCTGGATTTACTAGAAAAAAAAATATTTATTAGCATTTACCATGATAATAAGTCCGGTAAAGCAGTGTTTTAGTGGTTTTAGGAAACGTACTGGTGAACAGAGTTGGGTGTAACGCGTTACAAAGTAACGCGTTACCCGACACGCGTTACTTCGTTACTTTTATAAAATCAGTCATAATCACACTGACAGACAATAGGGGTTTCCGCCGCAGGTTTATATGTACGTAATCTGCGCGACTTGCACGTCCACATCTCCGCTCCATAAACATGGCAGAGTCAGCGATAACTTTCGAGGGGTGGAGGTATGCCCATTATTTTGAGTTCGTCCGAAGAATAGACAGGAATGTGACGGTGAGGTGCAAACTGTGTCCAGGCCAGAAGCTGTTATCCACTGCTGCAAACACCACGTCAAACCTCAACAAACACCTGCAAAGAAGCTAAGGTGAAGCTAATAGCTAAGGACCCCCGAACCCAGAGTGAGGATGTTGTGAGTCGCCGCCGCCGACTCTGAAGCGGCACAAAGTAGAATTTGGAGGACCGGTAACCAAAGCAGAGATGGACAGGCTTGTAGCATCCTTCATAGTAGAGGTAATGTTGCCCATTTGCACAGTGGAATCACCATCGCATCGTTCAGAGATATACTGCGCAAAATACAGATAGCAGGAGACAGAGGACAGCCATAGTCAGAGCTATCTGGATCAGTCTTATGCGACAATGGAAACTGAACTAAAGAGAACATTTGAAACTTTAGCAGTCTGCGTGATCTGCCTGCAGGGAGGGGCGGGCCGGCCCTGCGAGTAAAGTAACGAGTAAAGTAATGAGTTACTTTATGTAGAGAGTAACGAAGTAGTGTAATATATTACTGTTTTTTAAAGTAATATGTAATATGTAATATATTACTTTTTTTTAAAGTAATATGTAATATGTAATATATTACTTTTTTTTAGTAACGACCCCATCTCTGCTGGTGAACTCTGGGACAAAATATTCTTTGTAGCGTCCGTATATGTCCTCCATCTTACAACTAAACACACAATTGCGAGAACAACTTCCCAAATTAGGAAATTAGACGATCCCAGGAGCATGTGGATGCAGCGTAATGTTGTGCCTCATGTAAGTACGAGCAGATAAGTCCGAAAAATATGTGAATGTCTGAGTTGTAATCCTAAATTAAGTCTGCACGGCTCATCCTCTTGGGACCATGCATGTCTGCACGCTCGTTCATAACAATCTATTCAAATGGCTGCTAAGATATTTCAGTTTGGAATAAAGGGGTAGACGAACATTGCGTTCCCTAAAGCTTTGCTGCTGTATGGATTCAATCAACCAGAATAACTGGAACAACCTGCAGAGTGGGGGGCTCAGGGTCTGAAACATGAAGGAGCTGCTTCACAATATGAGTCTATTTTCAAGCCAAATGCTGATCACATTAACGACAGGAGGCATCACTCAATGAGCTTTAAACCCTTCTTTTGGACATGGATTCATCTGTGATTAATCTGCAGTTGTTCAGATCTGTTCACATTTGGGTCTGATCCACCTCGGTCAGACATGTCGTGATGCTTTTTGTGTCCGGGACAAATTGTAGACTCCTCCGTACTGGAAGTTATTGAGAGTTTGTGCACAAGGAGAACAGAGCAGGTATTCATCACGGAGCCATGACACAGCAACAACAGCTGTCTCCACTGATTAGTTCCTCTTCCTGAAGCTAATCAGAGGAATCCATTGCTGCCGTGAGCGTCTTGAATGAGAAACTGTGTGTTCTGTCACGATGCTGGAGAGTTCATACAGAAGGTGCTGCAGTGTAACGTACAAAAGTGTGATGAAGAGTCCGTCATGTGCTCGTTAAGTCCCTCTCTTTTCTTTGGTCTCCTCATTCTACGGTGGCCTACAGGTGCAAAATGCGTACGGGCTAAAAAGACGCAAATATAAAAACACAAACGTTCCTAAACACCTGCGATGAAAATACATCTTGAGGAAACATGCGCAGCGTTTACTAAAAGCTTTAACCAAAACGCTGCAAGATGCTCAAGACCAGGGGACACTAAAAAGTGAGGCACACAGCTGGGAGACCAGGGGACACTAAAGAGTGACGCACACAGCTGGGAGACCAGGGGACACTAAAGAGTGACGCACACAGCTGGGAGACCAGGGGACACTAAAGAGTGACGCACACATCTGGGAGACCAGGGGACACTAAAAAGTGACGCACACAGCTGGGAGACCAGGGGACACTAAAAAGTGAGGCACACAGCTGGGAGACCAGGGGACACTAAAGAGTGACGCACACAGCTGGGAGACCAGGGGACACTAAAAAGTGACGCACACAGCTGGGAGACCAGGGGACACTAAAACGTGGCGCACACAGCTGGGAGACCAGGGGACACTAAAAAGTGACGCACACAGTTTCCTGTTGTGTTTTGAGCTTCTTGCAGCGTTTTGAATTTGCAGCTTTCAGTAAACGCTGCGCATGTTTCCTCAAGTTGGTGGAGATGTTTCTTCATTTGAATGCATTTTGGCACATTTGTGTTTTCATATTTGCATTGTTTTTTAAAACTGCAGCTGTGTTTGGGCTGTTGTTAGCTACCATACATAATGTCCAATTGCCTGCAGATCATTTATCACTCAGAGCTGTTTCGCGGCCTGCTTTGATCCGGTCTGTTTCATGTTTCCTGCTCTGTCCCGTCTCCTTCCTCGCTCAGAAACACCTTCTACATCTCCAACCAGCCTACAAATGAACTTCCATTGATGCACGTCACGGAACTTGTCGTCATTAAGTTGATTTAATTGCTGTGTCTCGTGGATACGGTGCTAAAAGTAACCACCTGTGTATAAATCTTAAAAGATCAGAGCACTTGCCGACATCATGAAGGTTTCTTGAGCACATTTTTTCTCTCTGTGGCTGATATTGAACGTCCTGGCGACTCTGCGGTCGCTCTTTTCGTCCGAGCCGATGAACGACGCCCTCGCTTTCGCACGCAGAGCATCCAGAGTCAGAGTGTAGCGGATACCTGTAGGATAAAGACAAAAAAAAGGAACATTTATTCATGAAACACAGCTAATTTGGACGTGAGGCGGCAGAGAAATGTATTTTTTTGTATATTTGATAGGGACAAATCTAATGCTAATTCTAATTTAGACTTTTTGGAGTCACTTTTGTTTGATGTGTAATTTATTTGTGACGGATGTGATATTTCACTTTAACTTGTGTGTATGGTTTGCCTGAACTATTTTTGTTAACTATTTTTGATTGTTTTTCGTCAGACTTGACTCTGACTGGCACCCCAATTAATAACAAATATGTCAAATCCACTAAAGCATCCGTAGTAGCTTCTAGATGAAGGGCTCACCTGCAGCTGGGTGTTCGGCCAGCTGGTCAGATTTGACGCTGTAGACGAAACACACCTCCGTCTTCACACACACAGATTTACGTCCTCCGTGCTCACACTGATGCTGAGCCTGCTGCAGGTTGATCTTAACGGGGTCGAAGGTCATGTTGCCTCGGAGCTCTGCGACGTCTCTGGACCTGGAGAGAGGAAACAGACGTGCAAAAGTCCAGAAAACTGTCTGTGCAACGTGTGCAATAAACCTGTAACGTGTGATATATAGAACACCTTTTATGGCAATTCTACTGTGCAATTATAATCACTTTTATCTGCAACAAAACGTATTTTTATAATATATCAAAACCTTAATATGTTCACTCATTCTCAGCCATGGATGAGTACTTATTTGTCTTTAATTTAATAACTAAATGTGCTATTTGTTTTGCTAAAAACTGCATAAAACAAACGCTGCAAGAAGCTCAAAACACATCTGGGAGACCAGGGGACACTAAAGAGTGGCGCACACAGCTGGGAGACCAGGGGACACTAAAAAGTGACGCACACAGCTGGGAGACCAGGGGACACTAAAGAGTGACGCACACAGCTGGGAGACCAGGGGACACTAAAAAGTGACGCACACAGCTGGGAGACCAGGGGACACTAAAGGGTGACGCACACAATACTTTTTTCTGCATGCTTCTTAGGTAACATTAAGCTGTCTTTGGCTCTTTTCTGCTGTAACAATGTAAATGTCCGCTCTGTGGGACTCAGAAAGGTATTCTGATTCTGATTCTCTACTTCCTCGAACGAAGGAACAAGAAGCGGATGCAGCTTGATTGTAAAACTTGGCCTCTCCATCCAACCGTTAAAGCTTTTCTAAAACGCAGCCAGCAGCTCGGGGGAAAACCTCCGCCTGCTGCCAGATCCTTTTGAAACTCTGAGCCTCTTGGGAGACGGGAGTTTTCACACAGCTCAGCTCCGACACTGTGGGAGAGGAACGTCTTCCTGGGAAGTTAAATCCTGGAGTGGGAGGACTGTGAGGGCTTGAGGTCATTAGGAAGTTGTTGGTCTCCAGCGGGACGCACACAGCTGTCTAAACCTGCGTAAAACAATGCAGCGCCGACAAATTCTGTATTATAAACAGAGGTGGGAAGTAGTGGAGTACAAATACTTTGTTACTGTACTTAAGTACATGTTTCTGGTATCAGTACTTTACTCCACTACTTATTTTTCTGATGACTTTTTACTTTGACTTCTTACATGTTGAACACAAATACCTGTACTTTCTACTTCTTACATGTTGAACACAAATTCCTGTACTTTCTACTTCTTACATTTTGAACACAAATACCTGTACTTTCTACTTCTTACATTTTGAACACAAATACCTGTACTTTCTACTTCTTACATGTTGAACACAAATACCTGTACTTTCTACTTCTTACATGTTGAACACAAATACCTGTACTTTCTACTTCTTACATGTTGAACACTAATACCTGTACTTTCTACTTCTTACATGTTGAACTCAAATACCTGTACTTTCTACTTCTTACACGTTGAACACAAATACCTGTACTTTCTACTTCTTACATGTTGAACACAAATACCTGTACTTTCTACTTCTTACATGTTGAACACAATACCTGTACTTTCTACTTCTTACATGTTGAACACAAATACCTGTACTTTCTACTTCTTACATGTTGAACTCAAATACCTGTACTTTCTACTTCTTACACGTTGAACACAAATACCTGTACTTTCTACTTCTTACATGTTGAACACAAATACCTGTACTTTCTACTTCTTACACGTTGAACACAAATACCTGTACTTTCTACTTCTTACATGTTGAACACAAATACCTGTACTTTCTACTTCTTACATGTTGAACACAAATACCTGTACTTTCTACTTCTTACATGTTGAACCCAAATACCTGTACTTTCTACTTCTCACATTTCCCAAACAGGCTGGTTCCTTTAGTTTGAATGTGTGTTTGGTGGCGTGATCATTATTATTTAGAGTCATTGCGTGCCTATTGATTTGAACACGATCCGTGTATCCATCATTTCCTGGTCTTCTCTAAAGAAGAGGGACCAATGAAAACGTTGTCATGTTGCCGTTGTTCAGCATGGAAACATTCATTAGCTAACAATGACATTATTGTTCTATTAATATAAAGGGAGGTCAGGTACTCTTTAAAACAGCTGCTAGTTATGGGTACTTTTTACTGAAGTACATTTCAAAGCCCTCTTTACTTTGACTTGAGTAAAGAAGTTTAGTCAGTACTTCTACTTTCACCAGAGTATTTTTAAACACGAGTATCTGTACTTCTACTTGAGTAAAGGATGTGTGTACTTTTGCCGTCTCTGATAATAACGTCTGGTTTAGCTCCAGGAGGAATGTGTAGTTTGGGGAGTGGGTGTTTTTACTCACCAGAACAGAGAAGCCCCTCCCAGACCTCCTATGGTAACGTCAGTGATCCCGTCTCCGTTCAGATCCATGACTCCATGGATGGA